ATATATATATATATATATATAACATGAATTTCGCCCATGTGGGGCCGAAGGACCTATCGATACAGCACCCGCCTAAACAGAATCTAAGATTGGCCATCATGAGTTTAAGTTGGTTAGCCCCTATCTTTGATTGTAAGACACCCCATCTTAAATGGTTATCCCATGTTAGAACCCGTATCTTTGATGCTTAAACCTCTTTTTTTGTCGGTTAAACGGTTAAACCCTCCATTTTTGATGGTAAAACCACCATCTTTGTTGGTGATCATTTTGTGGCAAAGCCTGAACCCCGAACCCGCAGGAGTCTGGGAGACTCCAAGAGCCGCTGTTGAACACTGAGTGCCAAGAAGAAGCCTTGCCGCCATCACCCAATAAGGGCGGCTGAGCGGAGCAGCTCCCTCGAGGTCCTGTGGAGTTATGGCCCTGAAATTCCAGTGATTTTAGAATGATAACCTCATGGATTTTTTAAGCATAACTGGCAAAAGGGCCATAATTCTGCAAACACAGTGATGAAGTGGCACTGCAGTTTCTTGCTTCTCGAGTTGCTGCTCCATCCAGCCAGATGTTTTGCCATGTCTTGCCAATCTTTTTCAGGCAGTAGCTGTAAGACCCCGGCCGCCAGGGAGCCCGCTTGCACCGGCCTAGTATGGTTTGGTGGTGCGAAGCATTTAATGACTGATCACGTATCTGGATGTATATGGTACATTCATGGAAATATGTAAAACACATTACAAGGATGGGAGTCAGAACTACCTATGAGATCCATGAGTTTCTTTCTGTCGCATCAGTTTCTTCACTCCTGTGACCACCTTGCGAGTATCCAGACGAGTTGGAAGGTAAGGAGGTAATGGTAGACGGGTACCCGAGGGTGTTTTTCATCAGCTAACATTTAGGGGTTGATTTGGGTAGATGTAGCTAATTGATCTCGGTTTCAGATGGCTGGACAAGTATGTTATTTTCAAACCTACTCAAGCTGATTGTTATAAGATTGTTTTTTCAAACCTACTCAGGCTGATTGTTATAAGATGTTCAAACGGATTCATAAGAACAAAATCTAAAGCCTGTACGCAACAAAAGATACATACATACATACATACATACATACATACATACATACATACATACATACATACATACATACATACATACATACATACACACACACATACACATACACATACACATACACATACACATACACATACACACACATACACACATACACACATACACATACATATACATATACATATACATATATATATATATACATACATACATATACATACATATACATACATATACATACATATACATACATATACATACATATACACATATACATACATATACACATATACATACATATACACATATACATACATACATACATACATACATACATACATACATACATACATACATACATACATACATACATACATACACAGACATACATACACACATACATACATACATACATACATACATACACAGACATACATACATACATACATGCATGCATGCATGCATACATGCATACATGCATACATGCATACATGCATACATGCATACATGCATGCATGAATACATGCATACATGCGTACATGCGTACATGCGTACATGCGTGCATGCGTACATGCTTACATGCGTACATGCGTACATGCGTACATGCCTACATGCATACATACGTACATACGTACATACGTACATACGCGGACGCGTACGTACATACATACATACATACATACATACGTACGTACGTACGTACGCACGCACGTACGTACGAAACATAGATACACAGATACAAAGATACATAGATACAAATATACACAGATAGATATATATATATATATATATTTATATATATATATAGATAGATATATAGATAGGTAGATAGATAGATAGATAGATAGGTAGGTAGGTAGGTAGATAAATAGATACATACATACATACATACATACATACATACATACATTAAATAAATACATACATAAATACATATCATCATATGAATACATATGAATACATATGAATACATATGATGTTTTGTGGGTGGGAAATGCTGGGAATAGCTGGTACAGAACTACACTCATTCCCCTCTCTCCAACAAAGACACAGAAAAGCGCCTCGGTCGAAAACATGGCAGAAATCCATCCAAGACCGGCGGAAGGTTTCAATGAAAATTCATCGTTCAATCACCAATCTTTATGGCTAAAGACCCTGGCAAATTTATGGTACTTGGATGGCACACATTGCTTGGAACGATGTTCCCATCTCCATGGTGCCACCAACGGTCCCTGGCGCTGAAGTCGCGCAGCAGTTGTAGCAGGTGTTCCTGCTGTCAGCGTCTGCCCAGAGGTCTCTTGTAGCTCATTCCAGAGGAAGCGGCTGCGTGATCGATTCAACACCTTCAGAAGTGTGTGTGTGTGTTGTTCTTTAGTTTAACATGTTTGCAAAAAAAAAAATGAAAACAATGGGCAGAACCAGACATTTTTTGGCCAGCAACATCGGGATACACTGACCCAGAAATCAGAGCGGGAAATCAAAGTGGTTCAGGCAGGTTTGTAATTTTGAAGATTCATCACCGAACATGTTTAATCCCTACCTCTGATGTTTTGCATATCTGCGGATGGATCAACCACCAAGCAGTTTTGATACTCTATGATACTCTATGAACTAATCGTTCATTGGAGATGTTGAAAAGATCCTTGTGATCCGTGACCCGCTCACGGGCTAGACCGTCCGACCGTTTCGGCCGTGCAAAAGAACATCACTGGTTGACTGCATCATGAAGTTGGTTGCTTCATGTATATTGCTGGTCGGTGGTTTGGAACCTCCGTAGCCATTTTGGCTCAAGCCCTGGGCCCAAGTCTTGCCAGCGAGTGGGGCCGCGCTGGCCGATCCTTGGGAGGTTAGGTTTGCCCTTCGACTCGTTGCTCCCATGGATAAGATGCCTCCTGCACAAGCCGGACAGTCGGCTTGAGTTTACGTTGTCCTTGCGGTCTTTGGCCTGCATTGTTCGGTGGCTCGGGCAGTCAGTGGCCTGCTGTCTATGGAGATGTTGTTGGCCTTGGACGTGGCTACTACAAGGTGGACGCTCAAGACAATGTTTGTTGCTCGCGTGGAGCGAACATGTGCTTGTGGGACGCGTTTCTGTGGGAACCAGCTCCTGCGCTCGGATTTGCGTGGATGCATAGGATGGACATTGCTTACATGCAAACTTCGTTCGGGTTTGCAAGCCAGCTTCGTGCGCTTGGCCTTCATTCTTGTTGTCACAATGCTGCGGGGACTGAAGCTCAGATGCATCTACGGTTTGCTTTTTCAGCAATTTCGGAAGACCCCCTACACATTGGAAACTACAAGCTTGCTGCCAACTATGGTTGCTTCAGGGCTGACCAGCGCATCCATTTCTACAATGTTTGCTTCTCCGCTGCTTGCTGTGGAGGGAACGTGCATCTGTGGGAAACTGCTTGGCTACCAGGAGTCATTAGGCTACAAGGGATGGAGATTGCTCATGTGCAAATCTCGTTTGTTGTGGATGTGGTCTGTTTACAAGCGAGCTTCGTTTGCTTCGACTTTCGTGCTTGTTGCCACTATGCTTGGGACCTGGAAATCAGACAGATGCTACTATGGTTTGCTTCTCCAACATATGCCGGCAGGCACGCAGCACATTGGAAACCACAAGCTTGGTGCCAACGATGGTTGCAGCGCAAACAGTTGATCAATGCACTTTGGTTGTTCGAAGTCACCTTTGATTGCACTTCGCTGCTGCTAGTGGAAGCTGGTATGTTAACGACCGGCACGTTTCTATCATGCCACAAGGAAGGGACGAAGGCTTGAGTTTGCCAGGCGTGGCGATCGCTGCCACTTTTGCCTTGTACAGTTTTGGTTTTGTTGGTGGGTGGCACACGCTACTCGCTGTTTTGTGACTATGCTGGCTTCAGTCCATCCAACAGTGAAGCCCCAAGGGTTTGTTTACACACGTAGGTTTTTCTATTGTTACTTTGCTCGCACGGCCCCGGCCCTGGATCTGGCTGTGCACGTTAATGTTCCCACTACAGCAATGGTTTGTTTGAAGATGGCCAGAAGCCGGTTGGGGGCAAACTCTCCCTACCGGCCTCGATGAGTCTGATGCACGCTGTTGTTGCTCCCTGGTCTGGAGGTTCATTCCGCTTAAGCCGAGTGAACGTCGTTGCGGTGAAACGGTGAAACGGTGGTTTGGAACATGACTTTTATTTTCCATTTCATATATGGGATGTCATCCTTCCCATTGACTTTCATATTTTTCAATACGGTTAAAACCAAAAACCAGATTAGATTTGTTCCACGCAAGGTACATTCATGTAATATTGTAGTATATTTACATACATTCTCTATATGGGGGTCATGTGCTTAAATGTATACAGTACATAGAACACAACATGGAACATATGGGTGGGCCATGGGGCAGTGCAGGCCACCGAATTGTTGTCTCTAACCGACCAATGTTTGACTTGTTTCATGTAGTGAGAACAAAGATTATTGACGAAACCATAGTTTTTGGATGTTTTTGGCTGATGTGGAAAGAAAATGGAGGTTTTCTAAAATGGGGGTACCCCCGAATCATCCAAAATGAAACCAATTTAATATTGAAATCAATGGTTTGGGGATCTTCCATTTTAGGATTTCCCCATATACACTTTGTATTCCTTCATAGTTCCTTTGTTTTCTCTTGTACTATGCTCAGGACCTGGATTTTGCCAGGCTTTGGATGTGGTTTGTCCTTTCGACTGCTTGATCATCCGCCCCATGAAATCCCAATTTTTTTGATCCCCGCTACAACCCATTGGTCCTACCATTTCAGAACCAGCACCCATTTTGAAATTGACTTCAGCTTGGTGAAGTAGCCTTCAAAATCAAACTCCAAAATGTAGCCCAAAATCAACTTGACCTAATAAACCCAAATCATGTATACCTAAACCCAACAGCATCAATCTACCCCGAGATTCAACTCATTCGGCCACACGACCTGCGGCAACGCCATGCAGCTCGATGTCTGCGCTGCCAAAGCTGTTGGCGAGCTTCCGAGAGATCTTGGAGGATGCGAAAGACTGGGCACAAGGCAGGCAGTATTTGCTGCATTTTGAGCAGAACTTGCAACTGGCAGAATGAGTGATTCTTGTGAATAAGATAGAACATCAAAAGCTGATTGCTGTGGAGTAGCGAATGCACCCAGCCAAAAGTTTCCAAAATGGCACATCAACCATGGAAAACAAACCGTGGAAGAAAAAATGATGAATATGCATGATTATTCACGGAGTTGAGATTTGTCCAACATTGTCCAAAAATCAAAATACCCAAGCACGCCAGATGTTCACGAGAAGTTTTTGATCAACCACCCCATTTTCACATCATAGCAAACATGACTCGTATCAGTCCGCGGGCAATGTGGTCAATTGCTAGACTTCGTATCATACGTTATTCCGTAGTCATAGCCCGGAGGCGCTTGCCTCGGTCCATTTATATAACTCGAGCCTCCAACTACCTAGAAAGCAAGGGTAATGCACAGAATATTTTTGTGACTGTCACACACTTTAACCAATTTTTATGGCTACTTGGAGGGTCTAAGTAGCTCAGTTTGGTTACATCGACTACGCCCGAGGCAGCCATGAAAAGAGTAACTGGCTGATTCCTGGATGGGTGCTGCTGGGTGGATGGCCCTTCCGTTTGCCCAAGGGTCGAGGTTCCGCTGGCGAATCGGAAGATGAAGGTGGGCAGTGGCGCTTTCAGTGGCTGTGATCTACCCAAGCAGTGGTCACAATTTTAGGGGGTTATACTTTCTCATACTATCCAATACTGGTTGGTGGTTTGGAACATTTTTTATTTTCCCCAATAGTTGGGATGATGATCCAATCTGACTAATATTTTTCAAGGGGATTGAACCCACCAATTAGAATATGTTGAGGATTGTCATCATCCACCAATTGGGAATCCGGTCCGAAACACCAAGAAGAGTAGTTTTCACGACATTTCTGCTTTTGATCCCCATTTGTAATGAAAGGGCAGAGAGTTTGAACACTGCTCATGCATGACGCGGATGCCCCTGAGTGGTACATTTGCAGGACCACATTTGGTGAGAGAGCCAAGAATGATGCATGGGGCTAGTAAACAGGATTGCAAGCAAGTATATATTATATAATATTTATACACATATATATATATATATTGTCGGGTAATTTGTTACATAACCATAGCATGCCATAGCCATGGAACATCACCCCTTTTCATGGGTAATTCATCCGTAAACGGCACATTTTCCATAGCTGTGTGAATTTACTGGAGGGTAAACGGGACAAGTCTACTTGCCCAAGAATGGAGTATGGTTGTGTCCTTTGAGGCTCTCATGACTCATGGATACTCATGGTGTATTTGAACCAAGAATCATCATTTATGCATGGAAAACGGCGCTCAAGTTCCAGGTGCTGCAAAGCTGGCCAGTATATTGGATGCGGGCATCCTAACTTTCATTTCGCTCACAGAACATGATGAGTTTCTCGCCGGGACGGGTTTTATGGTGGGATGATCGTTTTCGTGGGTTTTCTTAGTTGTAAGCCTACAGCAACCACGATTAGTGGGTTATCAACTACCATTAACCCCCATTGTTATGGACGTATACAATGCCCATTGTTATGTTTATCAATGTGAGCATTATTATTGCACCCTGTATATCTATAATTATCTATATACACATAATACTTATACGGAATATCATGAATTATTATCACTTATCATTATTGAAAACATGTTGTTGTTATTGATATACATAGATTATATATGTACAGAAAAACCCTCCAGAGATTTCACAATTTCACATAGCTATGGAACATGGCCAATGTATTAATTATATATATATTGTATGTATATATATAATTATATATATATAGACTAGTGATTTTCCATAGCTATAATATGTTATTTGGGTACATCAACCATTGGACCATAGTCAACCAGCTTGGATATAACATGATATAACCATGTTCAACTACCCCATTATGATATTAATATATATATACACATACATATACATACATATGTACATATATATATATAGGGCGGAAGCTGGGGGTTCCCCGGAAGCCAATTGCAATTTAATTGTATGGATATGGAAAATGTTGATTTTATACTGTGTTTTACAGTGTTTTTTGCCTTCCCTTGAAAGTGTTCCATCAGTGAAAGTATCAATGTCGGCGCGGATAAACTCGGAGTTTGTCCGCGCAGAAAAATGATAAATTTACATCTTCCATGGATAGCCAAAAATGCGTTCAACATTTTTCCCATTGGAATTGCGGTTTCATACATTTTTTCAGTTTTTGTTGATAAGTACAAAATGTCATAATCCACTGGAGAACCATGGACGAAATGAACATCACATATTTTTCATCTTCGCTTTCCCAAACCTTTTTTTTGGCATGGCGATGGAAAATGTTGTTTTTACACTGTGTTTTACAGTGTTTTATGTTTTTCTCTGAAATGGTTTGATCAATCGAACTTTCATTTTCATCGCGGAAGAACTTGACGTTTGTCCGTGCTGAAACAGGAAAATTTACATCTCCCATGGATGACTAAAGATGTGTGGAACATGCTAACCATTTGTGTGAACTTGCGTTTATTTTAGCAACATCTTCCAACCAAGAGGATTCAACATCATCCAACGCACTTCACATGACGTTTTACACCCCCCCACCCCCCCTTCTGTAAACAACAACGAAACTTGAAACGTAGCAACATCTTCCAACCAAGCAACATCTTCCAGGATTCAACATCATCCAACGCACTTCACATGACGTTATTACCCCCCCCCCCACCCCCCCCATCTGTATACAAGAACGACCTTTCTGGTATAGCATCAAGACTGAGGGTTCCTCGAAGCTCCGGGGAACCCCCAGCCTTGAGCCTATATATATATATACAATGTATATGTATACATTTTATTGGACATCACACTATGTCGTTTTGCCCTCAGGATTCGTGGCAAAGCCTACTGCTACAACCGCTTCCGCAGCTGCGCAGAGCGGCACCATGCCCTCGTTTCGCTGCCGCGGCGGCAGGCGAAACGACGGGGAACGGAGCTGAGATTCTTGGAGACACTTGGCATAACTTGGGTCATCTTGGATCCATGGAACCACCAAAAATGGATAAAAATGGGAGATAAGTAGTGGGTGTCATCATATGTAACTTTATGTAACCCAGCGTTGATAATGAAAATGGTAGCCATATGTACAGTAATGGTAGCCATATGTACAGTTGGCATGTACATCTTTACTATATATATATATATTATGTGTACTGATTTGTGGGGGGGTTATCCCCTTAGAGGTGAAGGACGACATATTTGATCCTTGCAGGTATACCAGGTCTGCTGTTTGTTGGAATGGTTTTAGGTTCCCTTGAAACCTTGAACAGGTGACCACTACCAGTTCTGTGGTCAATTCAGAAGAAATCTTTTGTTGGGTATGTTTTTTTTTTTAAGCACATTTTTTTGGTCATACTGTGGATGGAAGAAATCCTGCACTACCTTGGATGATTGAAAGCTTATAAAGAATGGGATAAACCAGCAATCAACTGGTGCAGGATTTCGCAACCATCCACAGTATCACATGAATCCACGATGCAAATCATTGGACCTCCCTTGGAGGATTTCAACTCGTGACCGCGGAACTGCCTCAGTTCTTGACTCGACGCCTGTAATGCTCACTGGAAGGGTTTGTCTGACAATGCGGCATACCCGTAAAATGGGAAAGACGATGACAATGATGACCAACTATGGCATGGAATGGGGTACTGTACTGTACCCTATTCTCGCTATTCTCAGACAAAACTATAATCATTTCAAAAGTGATGTCGCTGTAGCTGGCCTTTTCCAAGCTAAGATGGCAAGAATAAGCTTCTGAATTCGGTGGAAAGTTATTTTCACATAAATTTTCTATGTGAACTGTTCAAACTACTGGACATATCTGACATATCTAGACATATTAAATCGAAGAACTGCTGTTTCTGGAAATTGGGGTACTCCACTTCACCTATAGCCCTACGATGCCAGGGTCTTGTGGCGATCTCATTTGACCTTGTGTTTGGGGAGTTCGGGTTACTGTTGTTGATTTCAGACTCACAACATTGCTCATATTTGAAAGTAAATGAGTAAATCATAGATTTTAAGTCCATTTTAAGTCCGATCTCCTCTCAATATGAACTACACCCAAAAAAAAACATGGAAGGGAGGCTCCCAGAAAAATTGACCCATCCCCAGCCACATTTTTCGAGGTGCCCCATGCCCGACGGCGGCACTTGTGCGGACGAGAAGGTCATGCAGCTCCTGGGGAATCTGATCCAAGAGCTTGAGGATGGAAGGGTGGCTGAGTGGCATTGGGGATGGGGGATAGTGAGCTATAGTGATTTAAGATTGATTGGATAGTGATGAAGATAGTGATGGATAGTGATTGGGGATAGTGATGGATAGTGATCAACAGTCGCGATTTGATGAAGATTGGCGATTAGATGGTGATTTTTCACGGCGATCTAATGGGATTTAACGATGATTTGCAGTATGGGAAGAGCCTGGTATTCTTAGTTCACATCAAAATGCCTGAGATTTTAATGGATGTTTACATTTTTACATATTTTTACCTATAGTATTTTATTGCTGAGACCTCATTGGCAAAGCCTCCACAATTGATACCTATAGGATTGCGGCATTTATCTCACAAAATGAGGTAACATTGAACTGAAACCCTACCTACGTTTGCCGTTAGAGGGTGGTATGAAACCCTAGAACCTTGAGGGTTATTATATGATATATGGGCTACATATATGGGTAATGATTCGGTAATGATTGGGCGTGCCTTTTTTGACCTTTGCCTTATAAGCTTTTACATCACCATTTCAGCGTTTGGGATATACAGATTCTTGAATCAGTCCCCTGGTTCTGAAATGCAGCCATAAGGCTGTGTACATCCATTGCTACGGCGGCCATGGACGGACCGGAATCGTGGCATGTGCTTTGCTGTGCCTCTTCATTGAAGTGGCCCCAGAGGAAGCGGTCTCTATCTTTAACCACTTGCATTCGTACCGCGTGGAGTACCTGGGTTGGCAAAGTTCCATGTCATGTAATCGTGTATCCCGAAGACTGGAGCGTTCCTACTGGGTTGGGGGGTCTTAAGTTTTGGTCCATACCAAGATATTTGTGCCCCATTTGGTGCAGAGTGGACCGCAGTGAACGAAGGAATGGTGGAGTTCCGACCATTTATGCACAATCGCTAACCACTGGTTTCAATTAGTATCAAATAAATTATGGGCCTATCTGAAAATAGGGTACCCCTAAATCCAATCGTCAATTATAATTGTCCCAATGAAATTGGCATTTTGGGGTAATACCTAATTTTCAGACGAACCCATATTGCGTTTTACTAAATATGTACCTACTATATTGTATCTAATATATGTTCCGTGGTCAAAACATGGTTAGCACAAAAGTAGGGGATGGTCATCCCCCAATAATTGGGGTTAATACAGGTTAATATGCATTAATATACCCATAGTCTCATAGTACTAGTAAGTAGGGAATCCCTAATGATAGTGGATGACCCAACCTACCATCTCTGCAAATACCTGCCATGATTGTCTCCCCTGTTTTTTAGCGCTAAATCATTGAAAAGGTCTCAGAGAACGCGAGTAGATCCGAGATGCACGGAGTGTGCATGATATATATATATATATTAATGATTAATGATACTATTCTGGACATCATCATCTTCCCAATTAAATTGCTGTTTTTTTTGGGGGGGTATACGGTCTATCTCATTTTCAGACACACCCAAAGATACCATATACCAGAGCATGTGGGGATGCAAAGAGTCATCGACAGATCTATCACAGTGTATGGATTGTACATCTCAGGTGTCATGCAGGGTCCAACCCTGGGTGCGGCAATCAAAAAGTGGAGGATTGATAGCCGATATCATGACCAGCAAAATGGTTGTTTGAAACCTCATGATCATAAAATTATCCCCATGATTCGGAAATTTTCCATGGTCCAACCCAACTCTGCGTTTCAATTTGCCTTTTCCGAGACAGGCTACTTCCTGAGGTGTGGGGTCGGCGGTCCAGGACAGTTTCCTCACAGCGAGCAGCAGTTCGAGCAGCTCTGTCGCATCGCGAAGGAACGCGGCCGTTTCCGTTCTCCGCTCATTGGATCACCCCTTGCTGCAACATGAAGACGGAGAGGTGAGTCGACTTCTATGACATGATGTTCGCGGCCGAAGAGCAACGGCACACAGAAGCCGGCCCCTTTGTCCCATGGTGCATTGGAGAACACCTTGATGGAGCCTTGAGTAAACTTCTGAATGTTTTTTTTTTGCTGGTGTGTCTGAAAATGGGACATCTTCCGTTATCTTCCAGAAAAAAATGACGATAAAACATAGGATTTGGGGTCGATACCCAATTTTCAGATAACATGTACTGTTAATGTTGATGCTTTTGGTTGCTCTTAAATCGCATCCTTTGGTGAATAACCACTCTTTGAGGTTGTGGCGAACCAGTGCTTGAAATCAGACCCGAAGATGGGATTATAGTCAGAATTTGATCATACATGTAGTGCTTAAGTATTAAAAAAGGGTAGAAGTATACCCATAGGATCCATGGTGCTGGTATATATGCTAACATTGGGGGTATATTAATGGTAAATGTTACCATATATGGCATACATGGATCCTATGGGATATGAAAACTGACGACGTTCAGTTCGTCTTGGGATGTCAGTGACCACATCCCGCGAGTCAGAAAACCCTCTGTGAGGACAGCTGCCCGCAGAACGCGCAGTGACTCAGATCAATCCCATATGCGTCATGTATGGAGTGGAAACCCACATTTGGAGGTTTCCATAGTCATGGGATGTCATGGGGGTACCCCCAGTTCTCATCCCATTTATAGATGGATTTTCCATTAAATCAACCATCCAGCTATGGGGTACCCCCATGGCTATGGAAACCATGGAGCAGCGCCTCCGCGAAGAAAGTGGCGCCTACGTTTGGCGAGAAGCGCAGACGTACAAGTGCCTGGCTTGTTGGGCTGGATTTGCATAGCAGTTGGTACTTAAGTGGTTTATTACCAACATACAACCCTTGTGTAGCTCGTATTTCTATATATATATATATGTTTATAATTGATTATATATGTAATATAATTATAAAGTGGGGGCTCACTCATATCTGGATCTGGAAATTTATTCATGGAGCACCTCTATTTCTGTTTGTGGCTTTATTTGCATATAGTTATATATACACTATACTATACACATGAATATTGTGTGGTTCAAACCTCTACCTTCAATCCAGGTGCATATAGGTTATGGACATATATAACTATATATATATGTATATATACTGTATATACACGTACAGATATCCTTACTTAATACCGAAATATCCAGTCTTTGTTGGTGAATTCCCGATTTTTTCTGTTGAAGCCCAAAAAGCCGCCACCATGGCGGCCGCATGGAACGTGCCAGGCACACGCTGATCTCCTGGAATCTTCCGTGGTGGCTCTGCGCGAGGCCAGGGATAGACGATTCTGTTATGTATGTCATATCTCGTATATATGTTTCATTTTATATACAGTACTGTATATGATGTTATTTATGTGTTGTGTAATGATGTTGATTTTGATTGACTATGTATATGTTCATTCATGGTTGATATGCTCAATTATGAATATGTTGATTTGCTTGATTACTCTAGTCCAGGGGGTTATGCAACCCAATATAAATAGTAACACCCAAAAAGAGAGAAAATCATTTGCCACCGTTTTAGTAGGATTCCACTTGCCCTATGTTTTTGGTGTTAGTTACTACATGCATGCATGCATGCATACATACATACATACAGGGGATATGATAAGCCATTAGGTGAATATCTTTGCTAGCTGGTTGATTGTTGACCGATGTTTATTGGTGATTTTGTCATGATGACATTGACAAATCAGTGTATCAGGATGACAGAGGGTTTTGAAAGCTCAATTGGTTTATATAGAGCCGTTTTGCCGTGTATATATATATATATACACATAGAAACAATATAACTGGTGAGTTTTCCATGCGTATTATTGGGTTGTACTTACTATGGCTATTAAATGTTATTAACCGCTTGCCAATTTCGATCCACCCCCACGCGAGATGGGGGGAAATGAAGACTGACAAAGAAAACCCTTGGACCACCGAAATTGATCATGTTTGTTATTGAATCAGTATTTCTGGTTGTCAGTCTTGATCCACACCAATTTGGTGGGTTGAAGGTTTGATAGTTGATGGTGATTTCCGGAAATGAAACGTCATTGTTTGTTTTGATGTGAGAGGCTCAAGTTTGTTGAGGGTTCAAGCAACAAACCTGCATATTGAACCAACTGGTGAATTTTATTTGCAGCAATGTGGATCCGGCACAAAGAAAGATAGGATTCACAGACAACATATCATCTGGGTAATTATAACGACCTCACTGTTCTCCCTCATTATAATCATAGTTAGTAAGGGGAATCATCCCCAAGATAGCCTTATTTCAGGTTTGTGAATTATTAAAATTTACCCAGATATATGGTATGTTAGTTTACAACATTTTACAACTATATCAATCAACTATGGTTTACATATAGGTATCCCATGGTATCAGTTTAATTACTCACAAAGGCATGCTTCAGAAGAACACTACAGAACCAAGTCATTGGATGATGCGGAAACTCCGATGGAAAGTGTGACCATGCCATAGCGCTTGGTTAATCGAATCGGTTGAAGCAAGAAATGTCTAGATGATGGTGAAATGTCCCAGTGATTGTAATTGGATCCACATGTCAAGTGGGTAGTGTGGATTTATCCCCCTATGTTACTATGTTCAAGTTATGGCGGAACTTATGGTCCAGATATTAATCCTTGAAGTGATCATCCCAGCCCTCATGCATCAAGTGTAAAATTTAAAGTCCCATCAAATCCCGCCATAACAATGCATAGATTGGGTTTGACATCACACATGGATGTTTCTGGAGTTTGGGTGTTCCCCACGTTGTAAGAGACCTCTATATGTTTGTAGTTTAGAGATACGAAGAAAAGAAAGTACATCATCAATAAACCATCAATAAGCGTTACAGTATACCCATTTGGTGGGGTTAAAACCCTCATTATGAGACATTTTGGAATAGCAATAAGAAACCCAAGTATTTTTATAACATTACAAGGGGGTGCTCCTTTTTGCTTCTATTCCTCCCCCCTTGTTTGATAATTTTATTTGTCCCTCCTATTCCGTGATTCAGACAAAAAATCATGGTGCTGCAAGGTTCACAAGTTCAGTTTCATTCTGCGAAGCTGTGCGATGCAAAAATATTCAATACTTGGATAATTTTGTGTCCCAATTATAAGAAGTGTTCACACAAGTTTGTAAATAAGGGTTTCTGATTCACCAATGTTACTTTCCTTTGTTATAAAAACTATTTTGAATAAACTGTAACATAGGGGAAATTGGTAGACGTGAAAAAAACAACATCCAATTTTCTTATGGGTGGATTTCCCAAGAGTAAAGCATCAACCAAAAAGTCCTATCAGTGGGAACCACGGAGAGCTTTTTGAACCAAGTTATGAGCAATCGCAACCCCCGAAAAGGTGCCAAAACGTCTTTCCAGGATGGTTGGTTTGATGATGTCTTCCCCCATATTTTTCCAGGTGTCCCGATTTTCTATCTACTTGGTAAATATACATGTCCCATATCTTTTCCATACAGATACATACAGATTTCCCCATATCTTTTCCAGGTTTCCTCACCTTTTCACAAAAAGAACCATAACATTATAACAAGTCCATATATTTCCAACATGTTGCCAGGTTTTCCATATCTTTCCCATATTACCCATTTATTTTCCATTACTTGTGGAGCATGGGTCATGGCATGGCTCTCTGCCAAACTTCGCTCCAGGACTTGGAACACCTCAGCGGCCAATTCCTTCTGCTGCAGCAGGAGTTGAAGGCGGCGAGATTTACACTGTATGATATGTATATATATATATAGTGGTTGGTGGTTTCAAACATTTTTAATTTTCCATAATATATTGGACAATCCTTCCCAACTGACTATATAATATGTTTCAAGATGGTTAAAACCACCAACCAGTATATATCTATACACATCTGTCTGTATTTATAGATACTTAGTTACTTATCTAAATATACTACACATTATAGGTGCATAATATAATAGATAATATATCTGGTTCAAATTATGATATGTAAACATGATTTATTTGGGATACTATCAAACACGGGGAATTTCTGTCTCTACAAACGCGTCACTTTGGTGGCCAGACTGGGCTTGAACCCTTCTGGCTGGGGCTTGCCCATCGAAGCTTGGCAGTGGCTTGTGATGATCAGATGACATTCGTTGTGATCATCATGATGTTCCTATGATCATGATATAAGGACAATTACCCTCTGGTGAACTAACATAGCAATGGAAAATGGCTATTTATAGTGGATTTTCCCATTAAGAATGGTGATTTTCCATTGCTATGTTAGTTCACCAGAGGGTAAGGACAATAACAACCACAGTGACAATAACAGTGTATTTGTCAGCAACATCATGAATATAATGATATCATCGGGAGCCTCAACAGTAATATCATCATATCATAATTCAACATCAATATCCCACCAGTAAACAGCAACCAACATCAAAACTCCACCTTTATAGACGAAAACATGTTTATTACAGTAGTCGTTAGTGAACATATTTATACATTATAACTACAACCATCCCACACATCATCCCAAAATCCACACGAATGACCATCCAATCATCGACAGATAGTGAATTATCTCATTTTCATAGTCTAATTGTCTGAGTATACCTAATGATCCATGAAACCATAGTATAATTATAGTCATCAACATTATCATGTCATGGTTTTAAATCCGTCATCCACAAGTAAACCATTCTATAATGTTATATAATCACCAATAGCCATAACACTAGTACTCGTATATAGCGGTGATAATGACAATAGCACTAGTAAGAATAATCGCAGTACAATATTTCGTAGCCAATAATAGTACTGTAACATTACACATCATATCATCATTGGATTGGTTTAAGGGACAGTTTACAGCAAGCCCCTATAGTTATGGCATTGCAATTTTATAGTTTTCCCAATCCCTTGATTTTGTTCCATTATGTTACATCCAAGTGTATCCCCATTCTATCCCAAATTCTATCCCCATTTTGTGTTGGTTAAATGACCATTTTTGATGGTTACATCCCCCTTTGATCATCTGGTTGGTGGTTTGGAATCATTTTTTTTTATATTTCCATAATTTTCCATGTATATATATATATACATATATATATATATATATTGGGAATTTCATGATCCCAACTGACGAACTCCATCATTTTTCAGAGGGGTAGGGCTCAACCACTAACCAGATCAGGTATAGCCCCCAAATCATCCATTCTAGTAGGATTATAAACCATCCAGCCATTGGGGTACCCCCATTTTAGTGGAATCTCCCATATAACCAATGTTTAACCATATTATATGACCATCTAAGTTGGTTACATCTTGGGGATACATCTAAGTTGGATACCAACCAGTCATTTTTATCTCTGCTAGGCTTCCTTTGATTCCATGGCAATGCAGCTGGGCGCCGTGGTGAGCTGGGTGCAGGAGGCACCCGGTGGCCCGTGGTGGCCCGTGGCCCGTGCCACGTTGGGAATCACTATGGGATTTCTATGGGATTTGAATGGGGGATTCAACGTTTCTATCACATATATATATATATATCATGGTTAGTAAGGGGAATCATCCCCAAATGGCCTTAATTCAGGTTGGTGAAATATTATAATTTACCCAGATGGTGGATTTATAGCATTAGAATCTAATGGGATACTGTAGTTTTTTTTGCATTTAAACTATTAGCAATATCCATATATACTGTATCATACCATCTAATGGGATTCATATATCTATATATCTATATACAGTACTTGTAGCATGAATGATGGATTTAAATGGATTTAACTCATTTAACCACGAGGATTCAACTAGTAACAATGGTGGATTTTACCATTGAAAAATAGTTACCCTCTGGTAATTTAACATAGCTATGGAAAATCATAATTTTCAATGGGTAAATCCACTATTTCTATGGTCATTTTCAATAGCTATGTTAAATTACCAGAGGGTAAATCTTGTGATTTAACCTTCGAACATAGTGGATTGACAAGGAATGATTCTTCGGGGATCTGTGAGATTATATTGTATTTCAAGTTGGATCCACATGGGATTATATGTGGCACGGGATTATGTAACCAGAAAAGAACATCCAATTTGCGAGCATATCTAGCATATCAGTGGATTTATCAGTCATATACTGTTTTTTTGTGTCTATAAAGGGATTATCATTCTCTTATATCTTATAATAAGTGTAAGTATTGCACATTTATCATCCCATTATCCGATAAAATACTTGGGCTTAAAGGGATTAATCAGTGGATCATGTGATGACCAGCAAGATCACTCCGAAGGATCACAGGGCCTTAAGGGACCAAAGATGTTGTTAAAAAATGTTAAAAATATTGGAGTGATTGTGGTCCCAATTTGTTTGGATTCTATATTCTTGGATGATCCACTTTTATTTTTTGGATTCTATATTCCAAACCAGCAATATTGGCATATCCACTTATATATACTACTGTGGATAGTTGCGAAATCCATGAAATCCATGAAATCCTGCATCAACAAAAGGATGGTTGAAAGCCTGTAAATAATGAGATGTTTACCACCGTTTTCAACTGGTGATTCGGATTTCGCTGGCCCATCCACAGTAGGAGACCGTACGAGATTTATAGTTGATAGAAACATCATCACTTGGGATATCCAAAGCCTGGGTATGGGTTAACACTCAGAGCCAGTTCCTGGAGACATGTTTTTCATGTGATCGGTGAAAAATATGCATGGTCATGTTAATGGGGCCAATGACAATAAAACACTGCAGTCACTGGATATTGGGTTGTATAAATATAAATATTTATAAATATATATATATTATATTGTTTTAAGACTTACTGAGCGTAGCTACTCACTATCAGAGCTATGAGTTCCACGAATGGATGTCACGAAATGGAACGGTTGAATGTTGAGATTTGCAACTACGTGGTGTGGATGATTGAAAGGCCTACAGTTGTGAGGACAATGATAGAGATGCTAACGGTCACAAGATCCAAACCACTTCAAGTACATTAGCCACGGTTTTGATAGTCACTGATAGTGTTAGTTATATTTATATATATATACATGATATATATAAATAATAATAATAATAAATATAATCATATAAAGTACATACATAACATAACATGACATGACATGAGATAACATAACATATCATACTAAACATAACATAACATAGGAAACATGACATGAAATAACATGACATAACATACAATGAGACAAGAAAACATAACATAACATAACATACAATGCACCACCAACTTTTGTATTTTTGATCATGTTTGCCCGGTTACTAGCATCCTCGTGCTGTCGATGGGTACAGCCCAGTGGTATTCCAGTGGTGCCCCAGTGCCCCTCCCACGACCGGCTGCCAGAAACTGGAGACGATCGGAGACCCAGCTTTGCAGTGGGTGTTGACCCAGCCATTTGGGGCTGTTTTCAATTCCTGACGAAGCAGTAAACATATGCAACAGAAAGGTAGTCTATATATATATAATCATATAAAATCAATCAGTTAATTCACAACCTGCACATTTTATGTTTATCAGTTAATTTACAATCAATCAATTAATCAATAAGTTAATTTACAATCAATCAGTGAATTTGACAGTTAATTGTCTCGAATTGTGACATGTTTTCTTTTCCAAAGATCACCTCCTGCAAAAACAATGGAGTTCAGGTCACCAAAACATCCGTCGGATCGGGTGCCAGAGTTTTCCGTCGGCCCTATGGGTTTTTGACTGAGGACTAAGATGCAGTAGTCGAGAATCTTTGATGAAATACTGTCTGGAATTATAGTAATAGTAGCAATTATAGTAAGAAATCGTTGATAGTAATAATTATTACTGTCTGGAATCGAGAATCTGTAGTGCTTTGATGCCTGTCGTATAGCTAATCACTGTTCGCAAGTTCTGTGCCACATCCTACATTGGTTGTGAGTAGCAAGAGGCCGGGAACTGGGGCAGACGATATCTGTATGAACCTGCCATCACCGCTTGAAACATGGAGGGGTGCGATGTTTCAGCAGGTTTCAGCCACTGCTTTAGCAATTAGGCATTATCAAATGAAACCATGAAACCATGAAACCCCCAAGAAATGGGTTCGAATGGATTGCCTTCTGTGCATTTAGCATGGCAATGGGAGATCCCATTCTAAATAGGAAAACATCTAGAGACCTCATTAAAAAATGGTGCATTGTCCATTGCCATGTTAAATGACCCCAGGATATGATATGTCTAATTGAACAAACATGACAGTCCGTGGGAACTTTGGGCTGCTTACTCATGCTGGGATCTCATCACTGGAAAAGCACGGCTTGCGGCCCGACGCCAAGGCAGCCCTTTGCAAAGGACGGGTTGCAGGGGAAAGGCACTTTCTGCCCTCTATGGTTCATGGAACGAATATTAATATATCCATCCAGTTTCTATTCAAAAAATAGCCTCTGGTAAACTAACATAGCTATTGAAAATGGCCATTTATAGTGAGTTTTCCCATTAAGAATGGTGATTTTCCATAGTTATGTTAGTTTACCGGTAATGCTGGGTGTTGGGCTCTGGTTGACTCATGTTTTTCAAGAAACCCATGGGTGTCCTGAAATCACAACTGGTGACAGCTTCCTTCTCCACTGGACTGGTGTCTTTCAAGTGTTCAGCCCTCCAAATCACCATGCTGATAGGAACACTGATGATAAAACCCTGTATTTTTGGTGTACTTTGCACCTAATTCTGGCCAAACCCAAACCACATACATATAATACATATATATATATGTATATATATATATATACATATACACATACATAAAGATACATACAGATACATACATATACATACATATACATACATATGCAGTACATACATATACATGCATATACATGCATATACATACATATACATATATATATATACATACATATACACATACATATACATACATATACACATACATGCACACGTACGTACGTACATATATATATATATATATAATATACATGTAATCCAAACATCCAAATTTCAATTACCCCAAATCCACTTGTTATTCAGCAAATGTCGGTCCATCACAGCCCTCTTCCAGGATGGCATGTGTTTGTCTCCCATCATGGAGGCTCGATACAGACGCTATGTTGGGGTAAATCTTGGTTGGGTATACTGATGGTTAATGGGTTACTTATGTTGGTTAATCTATGTTGGGGTAAATGGGTGACTTCTCTTATAAAAGATATGCTCGTGAATATTCTCCTGCTCTATTTCAGTTTGTTTCTCCAGAAGCATTTGAAAAATTGGACATGATGGAGAAAGACATTCAACCTTCGCAGGCGACGGTTTTGACATGCTGTGAGGGTTGTGCTGAAAAACACACACACATCACATCATCACATCATCACATCGTAAATTTCGGTATGCAGAATTCATTCTTTGGTTTACCACGTTTTTTGCTGTCTCTTTGCTTTTGACATTTTAAAGGGCCGTTTGGGCCCCAGTGTATTCTCCTTGGACTTTTTGGGTGACCTTTTGCCGATGCTCCAGATCATTTCCAGACAGCTGATGAGTCGCACGGTGATGGCACGGAGGGACATCCACCATCAAATGCCCACCAATACAAAGGGAGATCAGATGATGATAGTAATTTGATGTAATTTGTTTCATTAGGTCTTTATTCTCATGAGATTCTATACTATCCCCACCCTGACAGTCCCCTCTGACCTTATTCCTGGCTTACTTCCAATCAACCCAGAATGTTGTAATTGCAGCCCCAGGATGGTATAGATATGTATAGATGATCTATCGGGTTGAAAACATAAATGGAAACATATATATACATATGTAATATCATCTGAATTCCAATATATGTATAGATGATATTTCCATATGTTTCCCCTCACAAATTCCAGGTTTACTCTTCAGAGTATCCCATGGTATCCCCAGCTATGCGCCCTATGCGGCTATGCGTGCACGGTGTCCGCGTCCAGCAATGGCTACGCGTGGCTGTTCGGCAGTCAAGAAAGGTGTAGCCCAAAGAATCGGAAATCAGGGATGGCTTACTACTTATGGCAATATATTGGTTTCTGATGTATGCAAATTATGCATTATAATGTATTACAGTATATATTACAAATTATTACAATATATTCAGAATTGCGTGAAATTGTTATTCCCCTGGGTTACCAGCGTTGATTCCGGTCACGATGTTGTTGCAATCCACCGAAATGATCAATCTCTGGAGCATTTTCACACAGCTGGGCTGCACTGATCCCGTTGTTAATTGGTTGCAATGCCCTGCTGTCAGAGGCTGTGTTGGAAGTATGTATGTATATATATATATTATATATATATTACATATATTTATATTACATTTTTATTTATATATAATACATGTATATCATATATTTATATTTCTATATCCATGGTATCATAGAAAATCATCGACATGATTCAGTCACGTTGATTGGTTTTACCCAACCACGGCCTGGCAGGGAAGTTCTGCTGCGCGCTGCGCAGCTTGGCCTTTACGCAGCTTTTCAGTGTCGCGGCGCAGCGATGGATACGCAGCGATGGTGGAGATGAACTCGGTATACCCTTTGGTAAACTAACATAACTATGGAAGATCACCATTTTTTACTGGGAAAATCCACTATAAATGGCCATTTTCAATAGCTATGTTAGTTTACCAGAGGGTAACTCGGCATATCCTTAGCCATCATCATTGAAGCGCTTAACTGTTTCTGTGAAAAAAAAACGCTGAATGAATTTTGCGAATCGCCAAGAATTCGAATACAACCAACCAAAGGCACCAGTTCTGTGTGGGATCTCCGACAAAGTGAAGCTGTTTGAAATGCCCCTAGGTCTTGACGCCCATCAATGATGCCAAGTTCAAGGCCACGGGGCCAAAAAAAAAAGTCCTCCGGTTCCAATGGGACGTTGGTTTTATACCTCTGGTAAACGTACAAAAAACAGTGGAAAATCACATAAAATCACCATTTTCAATGGATAAATGCACTATTTCTATGGTCATTTTCAATAGCTATGCTATGCAACAAATTACCAGAGGGTAATGGTTTCTACCACAATCTGGTTTGATAAAATAGAGGACAATTATAGACAATTACAATAGATCACAATCATTCACACATATCCACAATCTAGTTTGATAAAGAAGATCATTCAACTGTCTTGGAAAATTGGAAAAGTCTTGGTCGGGAGCACCAGATGACCGAAGAGTGCGCTTCACCACTTGGGGATGATGTGGGGAAGTCTGTCAAGTGGCCTAAGTGGATCGCCATGAGTTTCAAGGATGATCGTCCAGAATGCCGAAACTGATTAATGTGGGTAAAACAATAATAGCCATTTTTGATGGTTTATACCACCTCAAAAAATGGTGATGACTTGGAGATGGTTTATGGCATTGTTTTAACCACATTAGACACTTTTTTCGACGGGGCCCCTCTCAGAACACCTGCCTTTTCGCCTGTGGATTTGGACCAAATCCGAGAATTGGTGAATGTGTACGAGCATATGCGGTCAGTTGTTTTGATTCTGAATTTTTAAAACAATGTAAATACAGAATCATAATATGTACACATATATATATAATAAATACACAGGTTAAAGCTATATATATATATTGAAATGTGCATGCGTATATATATAATATAATATAATAAAATATAATATAATATAATATAATACAATACATTATAATATAATATAATATAATATAATACAATACATTATAATACAATACATTATAATATAATATAATATAACATAATATAATATAATATAATATTATATTATATTATATTATACAATATGATATAAAAGGAATTGCAATTAATGTGGGTTCAATTGCAATTAATTTGGGTTTGGTTTTTGAATGTCCCTTGGGCTTTTGATTCCATGTAATTCTGGGACTTTCATCCATATGCACACCACATGTTCAGAGGTATTGGAGAAGCCCATCAGCGGTCCATGTGTTTGACAAAAGGGATGCTGTGAGCCCTACGCGTTTCTGAATCTTGTTCTTCTTTATCAAATTAAATTCATAATCTCCGCAGACACAAATGAAGTGACTTTTGAGTGCGCCTAATGAATAATTAGTAATTAGTAGACCCAGCTCCACTGTGCCATTTGATTTCATATATCACATGCAGGGACTCAGTTTCATTAAATAAGACTGGTATATTGCAGGAATCCTTTCGGATCCGGAAGCGGTGGGCCACCAGCAAACCCCACAAAAACCACAAACAAAACACAATCAGCGAGGGAAGATAGTCACATGTGGCCCAAAGTTTTGTCTTTTTGCTTTTCTTTACTGTATTTTCCGCGCGTTTGGGCTCCCAGTGGTTTTGGATCGTGGAGTAATGTTTGAATTGTCACAAGACGCGCAAGACGCCCAATTTCACCGGATTTGTGTGTGATTTAATCGTGTGATTACTTGCCTTTGATAACCCGGTGGTGTTTTTTACATGCGTGACACACCCCGCATGGACATAATCGCTGCATGTTGTGTTCCAGTGTTTGTTAAGCCACTGGAGGAGCTTTTTACTTGCTCGGTAGGAAAGCAAAATTGCCTGACAAAAAAGATGCATATAACTGTTTCCTCAAAACGTACCAAATACTTTGCCAGCATGAGTGAGTTGGGCCGTGGTCTCTAGTTTCAGCCAATTGCAGGAAGACACACGCACAGACACACATTGAACCACGTGGCAGCAAAGTGGCAACAAACCCATATCTGCATTTTGCTTAAAGGACATATGTATGTATATATATATATGTGTGTGTGTCTCATATTTCATATATATATACGCAGACACAATCATATTTGCAAATATACACATATATTATATATGCTTGCGTGGTGCCGAAAATTTTCGCACATGACATGAGGTTTCATTTTGCACCAATTTTGTTCAGGGTGTTGAGGACTGTGGTGAGCTGTTGTCCCTGCTTTGTACTTTCAAAGACGTATTGAGCCGATGCTGCCAAGGATTTGAGGACTCTGCGCTAGGCTACTTCATGCTATTTATTTGTTTATGCAATAACTCTTGCACGGGAGAGTAGTGTTCTTTGAGGAAAGCAGTTGTCACTTCATACACGATTTAGGCACTCAGTTTGAAAAACGCCAACCATTTTCAAAGAACACACTTTCCCTAGAAAAGTGCAGCATCACTTTCGGAGAGGGCAGCAGCTCTGTGACAAGAGTGCAATAAAGCCTAGCTTTCAATGAGTCTTTCAAGATATACAGTATCCACAGATAAAAAGCATAGTGTTACCTTTCAAGTCCTTTGACATACAGCTGTCCTTTCAGAAAAATCTGTTGCCATATACAGTACATACTGTTTCAAGACAGTCCAGTTTCTTCCCTTGAGAAGATGCAGAATATTCCATAGATAGAATCTTTCAACATATCATGCGCATTGGAAAAGCGTGCCGCTTGCTTGTAAGAGAGTGTCGCGTCGCTGTGTGCAAAAAATTGCCTAGAAGACCGCAGCATTTCTGTGAAAAGAACGCGGCATTTCCTTGAACATGATGCAACCTATATTGCTTTAAGTTCAGGGAGTCCTCAAAATGTGCGGCATTCTTCCGAAACGATAAGCATTTCTCCGGAAGCAAGCGCCATCCCTTTACTAAAATCTCTCCCGTAACATATATGTATAACTATATATATACACATACATGTATATGATGTACATATATGCATATCATACATATATCATACCTCATATAATTATATATATGCGGTTGTTCCATGGATTATTTATTGAAAAACACAATATTCCGTTAATAAACAATGTAGTAGCACTTTATGCAATTTTACCCTTGAGAGAGTTCTGGATTACAATATTTCTTTGAAAGAGTACCATTGGCTACATGTAGGCATGTTTTTTCAGGAAACTTCTTGGCAAAGAAGTTGAGGAAAGAGGCTTTACAAGATAATGGCTCCAACACTGTTTGTGTGAAAATAAGGGCCACACCTCTATTGTTTCATTGGAAATTGGGTTTGCACTTTTTGCCCTGAGAAACCCACAGGCAAGTATTGCACTGGGACTGGTTGGGGCATAATCGTTGAATTACCAAAATATTGGAGCGTGATAGACTCATTAAAACACAACTAGTACATAATGCAACAGGTACGGTCCGACTTAGTTGATGAGTTTCCAGCTCATCAAGTACCGCAATCTCATGGGTATCGCATGCTAGTGTTTATTTGATGCTCATTAACGGGTGGAATCTGTCCATCGTTTGGTGGGGGTTGGTACTTTAAGCGTTGGGGATTCCAGCGAAATTGCAATAAACCCAAATATATAGCAATTCAGAAACATCGATATGGTAGATCTTGGGTTGCAAAAATGTGAACCTGACTTCTACCAAAGTCGTTTGACTTTGGTAGATCTTCCATTGCAAAACCAAATATGGTAGATCTTGACCCTTCAAAATGTGATAGCAAGATCTACCATATTTTGCTGGGATAAGGAACATCTACCAAAGTCAAACGACTTTGGTAGAAGTCAGGTTCACATTTTTGCAACCTGACTTCTACAAAATCATGAAATTTCAGACCAAAATTGTTGCTATTAATTTGGGTCTGGATTTTCCCACTTTTATACCAAAGTCGATCGACTTTGGCAGATAAGTGGACCCTAATTAATAGCAACAAAATTCCAATCAATTTTCAGGACTTCAATTGGTAAGATTTCTGAAGGGTGTTTGTGGTCACTAAGCCCACCAAACATTGATAACAATCTTGAGGACCATGATTGCCGCATATTGCTCCAATATTGCTATTGTAGACCCTGATTTTTGGTCGATCCAACCCAGCTAGACAAGCTACATAATGGGATGCTTACTGACTGCGCTGCACACAACCTCACAGAATTCTTCTGTCAGGCCTGTGATACGACTGATCATGTTAGGCAATTTGCAGACCCTTCCGTCATTTGATGATCAAGAATTTCATTACATGTGCTTCCATCCAGAGTTTCATTTGTTTTTGATTTCACGGCATGGGCTCGTATGGACAAGTATACGGCTAGCCACTACACGGCTAGGCCCCCAAGACCAAAGTTATGGAGCAAGTCTGTATGAAGTTGAGGTGTGCCCTTCCAAATTGCAATATTTTTTGCTAAACAAATTTTGCACCAACAAATTTTGCACCAACAAAAAACATCGCAGCCAAAGCTACCACTTGCTTGAGAAGGGTTCGCATTCGCATAAAGTGCATGTCCATGAGCAAGTGCAGTATTCATTGCACGCCCCTTTATCAAAAAATAGTACTTGCTCAAGAAGTGCCGCATCCTTCAAGAACATGTAGTGCTTACATCAGAAAGTACCGCCAACAAGTGGCACGCTGTAGTCCCATACAGCAGTCTTTTTGAGAAGTTGGGTGCCCTCAGAAAACACATTGTTTCTCCAGATCAATGCAGCAACATATGCAGTATATCAGTAGTTATGCGTTCACATAATGCAATGCATTTGAGCAAATGTGGTGTGTCTTTCGCAAGATGTTATTCTGTTGAATTTTTGCGCTCTTTTCAAAAAATCAATATCCCCTGCAAAGGAACAGCCTCAAGATTGAGAGCCTATGTGTACAACGCAGCGTTTCTCCAGAGAGGTATCTGTATCCTTTTCAGAACGTATAGCTCCATAATTATGCGCAGCATTCCTTTAGTGCAGTGCACATACACATATAAGACAGAAAAAAAGATAGAGAGAGAGAGAGATATATATATATACACATGTAGTGTCACAATATATAATTTTGACTTACCAGGGGCAGCATTGCAGGCAAGGCAAAGTTCCGTTCAGATACTGTCAATTCCCTTAAGGTGTTGGACTTGGAGGCTTTCTTTCAAATGTGCTATATTCCTTGGAGGGGAGGTGCCAACCATCAAGGAAAACAGCATTCCTAAATGCATATTTATATGTGGTTCATTCCAATCACATATAAGGGCAAGAATAAAGACAATGTGATTGTTGCATAGTGCAATACCTATACAACTGAATGTTGTGTATAGTGCCCTGTACCTATGCTTAGGTTGTTCCAGGAACCTGGAAAGGTTTGGACCAATCTTCAATGTCAATCCTGTACTTATGATTTGTTCTAAAGGTGGTCCCGATCTGACACTATGTAGTTCCAGTGGTTTCAACATTGAACATTTCCAAAAGAAACATCGGACAATCTTCACTCAATCCCTTACTTTAAACTTTCTGGGGACCGTCCAGGCTTTTAATTTACTCTTGAGTTTCAGTGGATCAAAGATCGAATATTGCCAGGACAAGTTTTGAATCCAGTTGACTTACAGTGCTTGACAGCTCTTGAAGAATGTTCATTATACAAGGGATAGAATATTACCAGAAAATTTGGCAGAAATCTTGCAGTAACAAAAAAAAAATCAGAGCACCTTAACATCCATGAGCGGCCTGATTTATGCTACGTAGGGGATTCAATATTTCAATCAAGCTGTCGTAGAATCTTGACTTTTCAGCGTAGCGAGCATCGATGTGCTTTTAAGTCCCTATACATGGCCGAATGTACGTTAAGCGCATGATTCAAAATCTTACAACTTATGTTGAAATAAGTTGTAACAATATTCTATCTTCAAGCTATTGGAACTTGAAAGTGGGTCATTTCAATCCTCTAAGTATCCAAAAATAAACAACTGCAAATTTGGTTGCATGCGCTTTACCTTAGTAAGACAAACAAATCTGACGCAGAAAGGCCGCCAAGAGAATCGCATACATTTCTGTATGCATGTATTATATAAATATATGTTGTACCAATAAATATGTATATAGTCTATATGAGACAAGTTGTTTTTGGATGTCCAACACTGACACTGAGGCCCAAGACAATATATATATAATATTTTTATTACATATACAATATGTGTGTATCACACTGCAAATGCCAACTATATCTGCACATGAAAATCAACATCACATATATCAATATATATATATGATCTACATGGCCCAAGGCACATTCAAAAAACCGGACCCAAATTAATTGCAATTGAACCCAAATTAATTGCAATTCCTTATAATACAATTACTGTGTATGAGTCCCAGTCCCAAGAGACTCAATGCAAAGGCTGGGCTTGGGCGATTGTTAAAACAAGTAGTAGCCCCAACACGGACTGTTAATGATTTCCCATGCCTGATACCATGCCATTTTGCAGGACACCTTATTTTACCCATTAATCATTGAACTAACCATTTGTTGGTTAAGCGCCCAAAATTGTTCGCCAAACATCTGTCAACAGGCGCTGTGTGATACACCTGCTAGACCGTTTCTGGTGCATTGTGGTGCATCATGGAGCCAAAGAAACTTGGTGCAACGGGCAGTGTGCAACTTGCCATTGTTTTGAACTCGACTACCCACTGGTAAACTAATATAACTATGGAAAATCAACATTTTTACTGGGAAAATCCACTATAAATGGCCATTTTCAATAGCTATGTTAACTTACCAGAGGGTACTCCAAAAAAAAACGTGGTTGAGAATCAACATGTTGCTGCTTTAAATGACAAGATAGTCTACTGCCATATAAAACATTGATGCCCACAGGATTGGTTGGACTATCAGCCAGTGAAAGTATGGATTCAACCCACAAACCAAGTGGGGCGGTGAAACAGCAACGGTGGGGAATACAGCCAAAAGAATAGGAAAACAGCCGGTGGTTCAAACATGTTTACATTTCATGGATGTGTATATATATATATGATCTCTTCGGAGGGATCAGCAACATTGATATAGTTGGATTCTTTGCAGTCACTCATTTTGTTGGGTGCCATGCCATCGGTCGTGTTGTTTTTGCTGTGTCGCGATGGGTCAAAATCATCACCCTGTCCGACAGTCGTGGCGGTTGATTGGTTTCCCAACTTGAATCCAACTAGGGACCCAAAGAAGGGGACCCAAAGAAGGGGCTTAGAGTTTTCCACAAGACTGGAGCTACAATCAGCTCATGGGATTGTGGTGCCTAGAGTCCTAGAGTTCGCTGTGGCTTTGCCCTGCACATGTGATAGGCTCTAAGTGGCTTCATGTCCCTACTCCAGCGACTCCAGTGGTTATATAAACAGCATTTTCCTTCTGAAACTTGCCACACATTTGGCTCAACTTGCATTGGTTTGCAGAAAAAAAAATGCGGTATTCAATTACGCCAGGAAGATCTGAGTGCTTGGCTCTAAACAGAAGGTTACGACCAGTTCTGTTTGTCTGAAGATATTAATCCCAAAAATTACATATCAGTATATTACATATCCCAACGTATTCCAACATATTATCCCCAAATATTCCAAGTATCTAATCACAAAATTGCTGCGCCCCCAGCTTAGGAAGCAAACGGGTCGCTGATGCATTGGCTGAATGGGACTCGGGTCATCTGGTTGCAACATGTGATGGACCTGTGGCAGGGATGTTTCGTTTGGGGAGGAACGGGAAAGGAAACACATCTGGTGGGTGTCTGCGATTTTCATGATTTTAGTCGATGTGTAAGGACTATATGTGGATTTTGGATTTGATGATGTGGATGTTTAGTTGATAATGACTGACTTTCAGAATCAACCAACATGACGTCAGCCTGTCACATATTTTGGTGGCATGAATCAACACGTACCGTATTTCGATATTTGTTTGGATGGGGTAAACATGCATTTGCCAGCTATTTTGCGGTTCACCAGGATACTGTGTAGCCGGGTTCGTGACCCTGTAGCCATATGTGTCAAAACGAACAAAGTCACCTCTCTCACGCATTCGCCACGCCTGAGGGGAGCTTCCGATCTATTCGCTGGATCTTAGCACTGCACCAGAAGCCATTGAGAAACGTCACATCAAGGCTCGGATCCGATTAGCTCCAATCCTTGGGGCGCCCATGGCTTGGAACACCAAGTTTTTGTTGGATGAATTTAGGTTCCTGGTTATTCCATGATGTTCCATGTTTGGCAGTGTGATGCAGTGTGCACATTTTTTATGACCGTCAATCACCTATAGCACTATAGCCTCACATCCTCACCAGGTAGTTTCTGCTAATTCTGATCCTTTTTCAGCAGAAAGCCTGGGCGAAAACTAAACGATGTCATTCAGTTTTTTTTTTTCAATAGCTAGCCATGTAACATTTTATGTTTGTGCCATACCTTGCATGTCAGCCCATTGAGCCATCCCTTGCGAGGGCATCCCAACCTTGTTGCTGATGCGAGAGAAGCGCGTGGAAGCAAGAGCAGATGGAGCTGACTTGCAGGTTGCAGCCTGACTTCGATGTTGAAAACCTGTGACGAACATGTCCTGGGTCCTGGTGCGTATTTTGTATAGTGCTGTATCTCATGATGTCTAATGAGTCTAATTGTCATAACAAAACCCAGACAGCAAACTATATATAACTGTTCCATCTGGTTGGTGCTCTCAAATACACGACTTAATACAAGTCTATTGTTCAACCCAATGGCAACCTCGATTAAAAGAATCAATCAGATAGAAAGAGTAGAATCAGTCCTACTTAAAAAATGAACACATAGTGATGAATACACTAACACAGACATTCTTAGTTTTTTCCTTTGCGTTTCCTATGTGTTTCCTTTGTTTTTTCCTATGTTTTCGTTGGTGGTTGATGGTTCATATTTGTTTCCAGGCGTTGGCAGCATCATCGCAGTGCAGGACTTGGCGCGTCTGAAGGAAGCGGCCAGGGCATATGTCAAGCTCTCCAAGCTCTCGAGCCCTGAGGCCCGGGGGACGTAGATATATGATGTTATATGATTTAATGGATATGACAATTGATATTAGTGAATACAGTTGGATATATATACGTGTATATATATATATACTATTTTATGGATTTGATATATATATATATATATAGATACATGTATATGTATACATCTGATGTATATATATATATATGATGTATATTATATATATATATATGTGATGTATATAATATATATGATGTATATTATATATATATATATATATATGATGCATATCATATATATATATATGATGTATATTATATGTATATATGATGTATATTATACATATATGATGTATTAATATGATATATATATATATAATCTAATTGATATTAGTGAGTATTCGTGGATATATGATTTATCAAACATGATGATTCAATGGGATTTTAATGGTGATATACTGTTTTATAACTATATAACCAATAAATATAAATTAATCCCATCTCTCGTTCAAAAAAAACTGAAACCATGGTGGATGTAAGGGATAAAAGTGTTCTTTTAACATTAGTAGGATGGGATTGCGCATTTGGGGAGGAAACAACGTTTTGTTGAACCTGGTGTGTGTCTTTTTGGGAAGCAACATTTGCCATTTGAGCCACGTCAAAACTTCCTTTTTAGTAAGAGGGTTGCAATAAGGACCTCGCGTAAGCAAAACCCTGGTGTGCGTAAGCCCACGTAAGCATCAGCGAAAGCTATTCCTGCGCGTAAGCTAAAACTGCGGGCGCGTAAGCAACGCGTAAGCTGCCGCGCAAGCATTCCCTTAGCGCCTTCAGAAGAACAAGACCTTTTGAACACACTCACTTAGATCCATTTAAGGTTGATTGGAATATGTAGCCCAAACATATGGTGTGTAAGGTTTGTATGTTATATTTACTCTCCTGATAGCACAATCATCCCATCCCATTCATATTACACACCCTCTAAATGGTCCCAAATATGTCATTGCATCCCCTACATCCACCATGCTTTCCGGGGGTGCTTTTTTCTACAAATGGGAGATGGGACGACAATGGATTCAATCTGATTACGTACATGACATGCACGACTTTTTCTGGGTGCATCAAGTATTGTGTCGTGGGGATGGTGTTTGACATCTTGACCCCACCTGGCATTTCCGCTGGCCCCACGCCGCAACTTGGTGCCCTTTATACTAGCTGAAACCATGGATGGGTAGCTTAACAGTCCTATTAATATCTATTAATAAGTTATGTGTTGTTCTAGGTTTTTCCCCACCTACCAGGTGAGGGTCTCTAGACTCAGAGGTGCATCCCGTGGGCACTCCAGACCTTAACCGCGAGCGCCAGATCTCAGCACTGCGGGGCTTCAACTGCGAATGTCAGATAAAATGTCAGATAGAATGTCATGGTGGGGATCACATGAAGAACGTTATTTTTTCATACATGTCGGAATATTTGTACAAGACATATTTACCTGGAACCCTACTGACCCCTGTGTTGGAGGTTTTGACTTATAAACTGGAGGCTCTACTGGCTTAGGTTCAGGTTCATGGCATGTATGGAATACAAAAAAAAGGTGAAGCTTCTGTAGATACATCAGGCCGTGTTTGAACAGCTGTAATTCCTGTGCGGTGAAACTGGTGAAACGCGCACAACCTCGCCACGAAATTTTTGGATCATGGGAACAGACAGATTTATTTGAGACCCGGCTTCATTGCCCATGCAGGATGCTGCAGATGCCTTGAAGAGAGCTGAAGTGATGTGGGATGCGAAGAGTTTCCTGGTCAAAGTTGCCAGTGCGACTGGGGATTTGGGATTTATAACCTTCGGTACTCAAACTGTTTGCTACGGAAAATTGCATTTTTGGTTAGGTGATTTGCCATCATATGGTGGTTTTCCATACCTATGTTAGATTGCCAGAGGAGATCGGCTGTTTCTCTTTAGCTATCCAACATTGGGCATGTGAACCAACAGGACATCGTGAATTGAACCTGGCGATATCAAAAGATAGTCTTTCGATGTGTTTAGGATATCACCAAGAATAGGGAGTGTGTGGCAGTGTGACAGTTGTGACAGTTGACCGATAATGGTTCCGCTGGGTGGTTTTCTTTCCCACAGAAAGACCCGTCAGAACACTGATCCCTCTTATGTGGGTCTATTCAGATTGCATCTGGGGGCATTGCATCGCATCTTGAGGATATTTCGTATAGGAACCTCCAAATCCAATCATTTCGTGTGGTGAAACTTAGTGACATGAAAGCATCATGGGTTTGACCGGTTTGACCCACCCGAGAGTCACCACAATATTACTTTAGCTATACGCACTGGGTTGCAGGCACTGCACGTAATGCACACAGCAAACCTGTCTTCGTCAGCTTATAAGTCAAGATTGAACATCCCAATAACAGAACTGGAATCAACTGGAGGATTTGTCCATAGACAGTCATAGACATGCATAACTGGTTGGCGGTTTGGAACATTTTTTATTTTCCATAATATATGGGATAATCCTTCCCATTGACTAATATTATTGAGAGGGGTTGAAACCACCAACCAGATAAACATGGACCCAAGCTGCGTTGTATCAGAGATTCAGACTTTGACCGCATGACCATCCCCAAATCCTGCGGCTGAGATGTTTCAGCAGCGCAGCAACTCTATCGACGAGCACTGGAAGGTGGCAGAGTCAAATCGGGTCAAGTGCTCCGTTTGTTGTTGTGGTTTTTGGAAAAATGTGGACACCCCAACATCATTCAAAATCGGCCACACATTATATAATTATATATATATATGTTTTGGAAATTATTGAAGCAGAGTACCCGCATATTTACGATATTTGGCAACACCTTGGTCATTGATCATCAAGGTATGTAATTACTTATAATACCATAAAGTTTGAGAAACACTATGATAAACTGATACATGTTGTGATCTGTTGCACAATTTAATATATATATATATACGCAGCACCATAAAGCATTTGTTGCACGGTGAAATCACGATGCCTCAGCAAAACTGGTTGAGGATTTCATGGTGGAATTCTCAACCACAATAAATGACACGATGATACTGACTCCGTATTTTTTTTGGGTGGCACAACCACCACTCCAACAATTGCTCATTTTGCAGTTTATGTTGCAATTTACAAAGTGTTCACTGTTGGCAGCGGTTGGTAAATGTCCCGTTCTCGTGATTTGGCACATCACCAAACCACAGTGTTCAAGATGATATTTATAAGGGGCCAGGGTGATGTTCAAGTGGGACATGGATAGGTAAGTTGCGATATTATCAATCTACCGAGGTCCAGAGCTGGATTTATTTGCAGTTGGATGGGTCTATAAACCAACTCATATCCATTGATACCAGTACAAGGTAAATTGCCGATGTACCCTCTGGTTATTTAACATAGCCATGGAAAATGGCCCATTTATAGATGGTTTACCTATTAAAAATTGTGATTTTCCATGGCTATGTTAAATAACCAGATGGTATATAGATATTCAAAAATTGATTCTCCCCTGGTCTCCCGAGTGGTTTCCCCTTTGTTAACCTAAGAAACACAACTGATTTAGTATGATTCCTTATTATATTTACTATACATTACTATACACAATCAGTCAAACCATGTGGATCCCTCATGATCCCTCCATTCTTAATGCTAAAACCATCATGATTTGATGGTAAACCCAGCAGTTTTCATGATTTATCCCACCTGGTTGAAGGTAAACAGTGCAGTTTGAAATGGTTACCCTCTGGGAATTAAACGTAGCTATTGAATATGGCCATTTAGTTCGTTGAACTAGGAATTAGCTAGCTATCAAAGTGGTGATATATGTTCCATAGTTATGATAGTATACATAATCTACATGTTTTCTCCATAGTCCAGTCATTAGTTATTTACCATGCTGACCCTCCAGAGTAAATATCTAATGGTCACTAATAGTTCACCATAGTTCGCCCTAAAACAGATGCTTCACCAATAGTCCATAAATAGATCTTAAATAATCCTAAAGTCATTAGTTCTTAAATAACCCTAAAGTCATTAATCATAACTAGATCTTAATCTTATAACCAGATAGATATTTATAGAATCTATTTAGTGGATGGTCATCCCCCATGTATGGTGGGCTACCAAAATAAAACGCTAACATTAATGGGCCTTGAACTATGGTAATAGACCTTACGAATGGTTTTATCTACCATAGTTCAGGGCCCCCACGGCCTTCACCGACGGCGCTGTTAGAAAAAGCCTCCGAGGCGACCTGGCGAAGGGGAACGCCTTCCGCGCACGCCTGGGCCTGGTGAAGTGTGCCGTCCAGGCGGGCTTTTTTTTAGCTGCCGGCCGTCCAGGGGAACGGCTAGGATTTTGCGCAAATATATTTAATATAATATCATATTATATATATACATAATCATATATATATACCTTGGATCATCTACTTTATTAGATCCTGGGATTAACTTGTTGTTGATCATCCAAGTATCTCCTGAGAAGGTATTTGGATCCATAGGGAAAAGGGGCTAGGGTATGCCAGGGTGCTAATTTCAAGAGTAAATGATCACAATATATTTTGGGGGGAATCCGCCCACTTTAAAGTCAGTGTTTCTCAATCTAGGACACTACGTTGGGAATCTACCTTTACATGTTGGTTTTATCATTCGACATCTCCATTTTCTTCGTTCAATCATGTTGCAATGTTGCAACTTCATTTTCTGTGGGTGAAATCATGTTTCAAGCACCATTTTTGTTTGCAAAATCATTTTCGTTCCATCCCCTTTTTTTCTGGTTGCGAAATGCCCTGCATCCTAGAATTCTTTGAAGATAAAACATATCCAAGGTTTCCTGTAATACACCATGGCTATCATCCTCCTACCATACCATATCCTAGGAACCTCCCTCCATTTGGCCAACGTAACGAGCCATGGTTTCCGAGCCTTGGTTGTTTCGAGAGCATGGCATGTTTGGTTCGCCACATCCCCCCCCCAAAAAAAAACCGTGGTGATCCATGGCATTCTGAAATGAGTGTCCTATGGAAGTTTGCCATCTGGGGGTACAACGGTAAATAATCGATATGTATGTATACATATATATATATATGTATACATACGGATGTCCTTTTCCTATAATGGCTATTGTGTTTTTTTTTCTATATAGTTGATACATACTGTACATGTTATATATATATATATTACACATGAATGTTTTTATTGGATGTTCATGGATGTTCTCCGGATTTTCATAGGTGTTCCATGGATTTCCATCGACAGGTGCTGGAGAAAGCCTCAGCTTCAGCTGCGCCATCTGTGATGGTTGAGGAAATGGTGACGGGACGGCCTTGATGATATACTGTAGTAGCAACGAAAACTGGTGGGTGGTTTGGAACATGTTTCACTTTTCCATACATTTGGAATAATAATCCCAACTGACTTTCATATTTTCAGAGAGTTTAAAACCACCAAGCAGTCATGTTTTTTTCATCAAACATGATGATGTTTCTTGGTTTTTCCATCAAGAATGGTGATTTATGGATGGGTGTTTCCATCTAATCTAATGGTGAACCACCAACAAAAATGGTTATTTAATGGGATAGAATAGGGATATATTTTTTCGATATAATGGGGATAGTACTCAAACATGGCAATGGAAATTTTAATGCGAACATCATCTAAACCTGTTTGATTGGGGGATTTTCCATTGCAATGTTGGATTCCCGGAGGGTGTGTGGATGAGTGTAGCTTCTGAGGAACTGTTTGGATCCATGAGGTATCCCGTGATGTAGAAGGACATATGATCAAACAGTATGGTCATTTGGATAATTTATGAATATTTATGATAATTTTACTAGATTTCCAAGCATATGAACGTTTAGAGTCATGTTCATGTTATTTGAGTGTGTGCTGCACGTTCTGTCGGAAACGTTTACATTCTTGTACCGGTCCCTCTCACTGAATGTTTTTTCTCTCTACATGCGCATATGAGCCCATCCGGATTACTGAAGTAATGTCCGGTAATGACTTGTCAGTTGGACTATTTGCCAAATTACCAAAGGACGCCAACCAAATTGCCAGTTTTGGGAACATCACAGGGCAAAAATGAATAGATCTCCAACATTCAACTGATGATCGCTGAGGAGCTTCAAAGTGCATTGGATGAGCTGAGGAAACATCATGAGGAGGATCTTCCCGGGAGCTGCTTCCTGATAAAATCATGTTTCCCATGTTCAATTATGTTCAATTGCCATTTGAGATTTTGGATCACGATGGGATATAGCCATGAACATGGGATGACGAATATTCACGCCGCGGACCAGGCAAATCGATGTTAGTGTTTGTATGAACAGGGAAGGATCGCTTTAGCTTTTGATTTGTTTATTTTGTGCGGCCCTCAATGGCGTCCTCTGCCTTTGCCTAGGGTCAAGCAATTCAAAGCTCGATCTCATCCAGTGTTCACAGATCTGCGTTGATGTTCTCCCTGACCAGCAGAAATCCTATCCCATATCAACATGTTTACAGTAATTTTGCAGGCGACATTTTATATCGTTAATGACATCATTGGACATCATGTTCGCCAACAGTCATCAACAGGTAAGCGGTAAGAGACATAATAATGATGATACATAATAATGATAGATAATAGATAATAGATAGAAATAATAGATAACAATAATAATTAGATAATAATAATAATGGATAATAATAATGGATAATAATAATAGATCATAATAATAGATCATAATAATAGATAATAATAATAATAGATAATAGTGGATAATATTTATAATATATATAATAACAATGAAATTATGTAATAAATTTAATATATGTACAGTACTATAATAATGAATGGCTTATTTGGTGATCCACCTCCACGGGAACTGAAACAAACTGGTGCCACGTTCATCAGGAATTGCTGGGTGGTGGGGAACAAGTCCGAGTGGATGGACAACAACAGACGATTCTGCTTGCACATGCAGAGTCCCTCAGCAGTTTTCAGATTTTTCAGCGACCTCCCACAACACACCCCGGAAATGCTGGTCCATGGGGAATCTTCTGCAAAACGGCCCAAGACATCTGGTTTGGGAATGATTTTAACAAAAGTTGGTTGATCCTTGTATGGGGTAACCAGTTTTGAAAATTCATGGTTGATCATTTTGTTTTGGTGTTTTGTGCTACCCAGTATACCCAATATATATGTATACATACATATGAATATGTGTGTGTGTTGTGCTACCCAATCAATCAATCAATCAATCAAGCAAGCAAGCAAGCGAGCAATCAATCAATCAGTCAATCAGTCAATCATTCAATCAGTCAATCAATCAATCAATATATATATATATATATATATTTACATACATACACAGATATACATATGTGTATATATACAATTATATACATATACCGGGGATTACAGGGAATTATCACGATAAGTGATGAACTGGGACTGCCCGGGATTTCAGTGTGGCCAAGAAACGCCGGACGTTCAACCAGCACCGTGCCGGTGCAGGTTGCTGGTGGACGCCGCTGATGAAGACCGGAGCGTGGAGGACGAAATGGATATGGGTCAAAATGGAAGGCCTATGGCTTATGGAACCGCAGATGTTATATATATATATATATAGTATATACATATATAATATATACATATATAGTATATATATATATATAGTATATATATATATATTGTATATGTTTAGTATTAACCATCTAATTATTGGGGTACCTAATTTTGACCCATACCTAAATCGATGCAATTCAAACCAGCCAAGAAAAAGATCTGATTCAGCAGAGAAAGAACATTCCCAGCAAACAAGTGAGATTTGTAAAAAGATTTGCCTGGAATATAAAGTACAAGACAAAGGCGATTTAGCCAAGAATTGAGAAATGATCTACCGAAAATTAGTGTTTTTAAGCGCCTTAAAGGACAACTGGTGAAGTGGATGATGATTGGTTTCAATGGTTCAAGTGCCTCCCTTGGGCTATTGCCAAGTCTCATAGGAAAAGAACATCTTGAAACTTTGGGCCTGCGGAGAGCGGAAGAAGGCTTTGGAAGAGGCCCACTTCGCTGCGATGGATCCGTTGATGGGAACTGGTTTTTCTGTTACCCTCTGGTAATTTAACATAGCCACATAGCTATTGAAAATGGCCATTTATAGTGGATTTACACACTAAAAATGGTGATTTTCAACAGCTATGTTAGTTTACCGTAACCAGTGGGAAATTTGCAGGCCCGGATTCCGTGAGATTGACCGCATGTTGACCGCATGTGTTTTGACATATTCTGAGCCGAAAGCATACTAAGAAGACTGATGCGACACCAGAAATTGCTTGCGCTGTATAGAGACAAACATTGGAATTAGGGAGCATGCTTTTCCCCGCGGCTTCCGGGGAAATGCGGCAGGAAACCATAGAAAACCATCAAATGATTTTTTTTGATTCCCATGTAGTTTTCCTGATGTTCAATGTCGGAGGGTATGGGCAGTTCAATGACCAGATGAACAACTCGGGTCAATCATTTCAGATGGATGGCCTATGAACCAGTCAAGCATTTGATAAGAAAATGAAGTGGAACCAGATTTGATGTGTATACTCTCAGCTCTCTCTTTCTATATATATATAATGACCACCAGCTGTCGAACGATAGATAGACATAGATCCACTATGCGAAAAGACATGGAAGCACCATGGACCATGGGGCAATCTCGAAGAGTTGCAATGCCATTTTGGGGTCGGACCCAGTTTTTCTTCAACACCTCTTGGTGCCACAGGCATTGAAGTGGTACAGGCACCTTGGATGTGGGTTTGCAAGGTAAAACCTTGGCTACTGTGGTATTGATTTATTAATTTATTATTTCTGTCCACCCAAAGAAAAAGCCATGGGACTGGAGCACGGGTCTGGAAGATTACTTTCGCAGCCTTCACAATCTTTCACAATGTTTCGAGCTGGAGTTCCGGGGTTGTATTGCATTTGATGGGCTAGTACTGCCTACTGTAGTTAGGCATGATTGGGATGCATTGCCACCTTTTGTTTCTTATGTTCCGTTTCCCATCTTGCATGTTTGCATCTTTATTGGCTAAGTGCACATCAATGTGGAAGCTGAACTTTAAGATACTAAATGTCACTTATAATAATGTATACATAATTTTAATTGAATATCCAAATCGCATGACTTCGGGTCAGTCCTCATCTGTGTTTGCTACGACACGTTAGACCAACTTGCGAACCATCCTGACATTTTGATTGGTGAATTGTTGCCTTAAATCAGCTGGAATCGTCGTTGTTTGCAGCTTCAATCCCCGTAAAGTGTGCCTTGAGTCGTCCGCCATCGAGGACCGTGGCTGGCAACGACATCCCCGGCCTTGTGGCTGCCTACTGCCTCCCCGAACGCCGCATGCTGGACCGGCCGCAGAGCATCCCTTTGAGGCTCGGCACGGCTTGGAGTTGGAGTTGATTTGTTTAAAAGGAACAAAAACAAATCCATTGGTGAATTATCAGTGTCTCTGACTACATTGACTACATATATATATAATAACATACATATATATATATAGTAAAATACATATATATATATATATACATATAATGAAATATATATATATATATAATATACTTAATATATATATATATATGTATAGTATATAGTAGTAAGATTGTTAGTCAGGTAGTCATTCAATAATTTTATACATCAATGAATTGGGTAGTTATCAATTTTTTTGGCACGCCATTATCCCACCAATTCACATAGACCCTAAAATAGTCAATTTTGCGTGGAAACTAATCTTCCAACCCCTGACTCATGGCAGGGTAATTAGACTTCATTAGAAGGGTGATTACTGGCATCCTTATCAAACTGGCCAAAAAAAGTCTGGTGGTATGGTGGTGCCATTTTCAAAGCCATGTTCTCATTGATTTGAAGGACAAGCTTCCGAATCCCCTGAAACCTCACACTTTCGTCGACGCTCCAGGAGCATCTATGCGCAAATGCCGGAGTTGGCGACAGATTCTGAGGCGCCGAGACGTGAAGATGAAGGAGTGACAGAGATCGTTGCTGGTAGTTCATGTTCATGTTCCACTTAGTCCATTTTCACGATTTGTAGATGCTTGAAAATCCATTTGTACTCTTCTTGTGCATGATTGATTCTCGTCTCTGGTTCGGAAAGCCCGTTTGTGATGTGGTCTTTCCATTTTCACTGTTTATATGTATCCGGTATCCGAGCGTATCCGTTTGTTTGCTGATTTTGATACAGCATGTTGACTTTCCTCATGTAGCAATTTCATGCAATTTCAGTAGACGCGATTGTTGGATTCTTGACTTTACGTGTTTGTACTACCATATCTGAATTGCCACGATACCTGTTTTTCTACCGAACTCGTCTTTTGATTGTGTGAATCCATAGGTAACCCCCATGGTGATCAGACATGACCTTGCATGTATGTGTCCCGTTGCCTGTTCCTCCTTTTTGCTGGTTAAATCTCAAATATCCATGTCAAAACCCCAATTCTTCATGGCAATGGTTACACTCTCAGTTTGTCAGATCAAAATCCCAAGTCTTCACTGTCAGACTCCCAAGTCTTCATTCTCAGACACGTTGATTCGCCATTATCCATCTTGAACATCCTTTTGTGCTTCCCAGAATTCGTTGAAGTCAAAATATGCAGGAACCCGGATAACTCAAGGGAAAAACATGGTTTTCCATGGTTTTCCTGTATTTCTTTCCCTTGAACCAACCCATTGTGTGCTAGGAATCCCAAGTCAAGTGCCCCCCCCAGTTAATTATGTTTCTTGGTTTATAACCCATGAATACCATAGATATATTTACTACAGGTCTTATTTATTAGAGGTATGTTTACCAACTTAGCTATCGACCAGGGGCACCACCTTTCCCACCTCATTATACTCGTACTAGTTGGTTGGCAGGTTTTCCATTCATAAGGAGTTCATAATACCCATGACACCATGATGGTAATGGATTAAGAGTACAAATAGCTGGCTGTTGGTTTGGAACATTTTTCATTTTTCCATATATTTGTAATTTCATCATCCCAACTGACGCACTCATATTTTTCAGAGTGGTAGGTATACCACCAACCAGATGGTAAACTCAATGCCATCAACAATCCCAGCCATCATCAATGGGAATTCCAGGATCCTAAAATGGAGGTACGTTAGTACCATTTTGTGGGGATATTCCCTTACATAGGCCTTATGGTAGGTACCTCCACTCAATCGGTTCCTGAAATGGCCATTGACATCACCATTTCTGCAATGGGACCATGCCCAGTCGCTGGGCCCTGGGGCTCCCCGTGCCCTGCTGCGGCGCATGTTGCTGGCCGCCATGGACAAAGACTTCTTGGAGGTGGCAGGGGACCAGCCCGGGCCGGCAGAGGGTGATTTTATCATGAAAACATGGCGATTTCAAGGGTAGAAACTGTAATCACTGTAATGACACATAGATGGATGGATGGATAGATAGATAGAGATAAATAGAAGGACAGAAAGAAAAGAAAGAACAGAAAGAACATAAATAAAAGATAGGAAACAAGAAAAAACACATACATACATAAAAAAAAAGAAAGATCGCTAGATAGATAGATGTATAGATAGATATACATAGATAGAACGAGAGAGAGAGAGAGATATGGAAAGAGAGAGAGAGAGCATTCTGAATAGATTAGATAGATAGATAGATAGATTAGATTAGATTAGATAAGATAAGATTAGATAAGATTAGATAAGATAGATAGATAGATACGATATAGAAAATATAGATAAGATAGATAAGAGGGATAAAATAGATAAGATAGATACGATAGATGATATAGATAGGACAGGCAAGATAAGATAAGATAAGATAGATAATATAGATAAAATAGATACGATAGAAAAGACAGATAAGATAGATAAGATACGATAAATCGATAGATAGATAAATCGATAGATATATATATAGATAGATAGATAGATAGATAGTTAGATAGATAGATAGGTATATAGATAGATAGATAGATGGATAGACAGACAGATAGATAGATAGATAATTATATAAATAGATAGATACTGGTAGATAGATAGGTACTGGTAGATAGATAGATACTGGTAGATAAATAGAAAGATACTGGTAGATAAAAAGATATTGATAGATAGATAGATACTGGTAGATAGAGAGATAACGGTAGATCGATAGATAGATACTTGTAGATAGATAGGTACTTGTTGCTAGATAGATACTGTAGATAGAGAGATAGATAGATAGATAGATGGATAGATGAATAGATAGATATATAGATACTGTAGATAGGTAGATAGATAGATAGATAGATCGTTCGAAAGAAAGATAGATAGATAGATCGATCGATGGATAGATAGATAAATGGATTGTAGATTGATAGATCGATAGATAGATGGATAGATAGATAGATCGATAGATAGATCGATAGATAGATGGATAGACAGACAGATAGATAGATAGATAAATAGACAGATAGATAGATAGATAGACAGATAGATAGAGAGAGAGAGAGAGACAGAGAGCGAGACAAATGGAGAGAGAGAGAGCGAGAGAGAGAGAGAGAGAGGGAGAGAGAGAGAGATATATATATATATAATAGACATATATATATATATATAGACAGATAAAGAGAGATATAGATGGATGGATGGATGGATGGATGGATAGATAGATAAATAGATAGATAGATAGATCGATAGATAGATAGATATATAGATCGACAGATAGATAGATAGATAGATAGATAGATAGATAGATAGATAGATAGATAGAGTCTGAAATTGGAGGAGTGATCCCCCATTTAATTGACCATCTTCCACCATTTTTGAGTGGAATGTTTTTGATGATGGGTAGATATCAATGGAGTTCGGTAAGGCTACACCCCATTTTCAGACTAACCCGCGGGGGATTGGAAGCAGGGTGATTATATGCTTGGTTTACTTTCAGAAAATGAACAAGTCCTTCAACGCATCCTATAATTATGAATCTAGTGAACACTTGCTTTCCTCTCAAGTTTCGGCTGATTTTTTTTCTCTGAAGTTTCGATCAACCTAGCGACGTGAACCCTCAACATACAGTGTGACTCTCTCAGACATTTATTTTAACTCACCCCCAACTTGTGTATGGCTCATTTTTTGACCACGTCAAATGGGTGGTTTAATACTAGACGTATGATTGATGTAGGGTGAATGGTATCCTCTCAATGAATTGCTATGTCCCCATGTTAGCCATTTCGGTCTGCACTCATCCCCTGGAATTCATGTGTTTCGCAGGTGCCATAAATTGGGGAAGCAATGGAAAATGCACCGCTGATGATTTTTCCTATGAACATACCGTTGATGGAGGATTTTCCACCGATCCTGGTGACCGCCACAAGGGCCCATCTAAGGCGCAGGGTCCAAGCTTATTATCCAAGTCCCTGGCAGATTTGGCCTTCCTCTTGGATCGGAAGGAGTAACTTGCTGAGATCAGTTGATCAATGCAGGGGATATCAAGAACGGTTTTTGATAGATATATGATATATCATGATATATCCATAGATAAGCGAATTTGTAGTCTTTTGTAATTAAACCAAATTCTAATATGGGGCCCCACCTTGTATAAACATGCATTCCCATTTAAGGATATTCATATTTATACAAGTTATACAGTTTTTCTTTGAGTTGCAGTGAAATTATCTGTCGGAATATGGAGGAAACTTAGACTTGTCATGAACATGTGGACCAAATCGAAAACAGAAGTGTTCCTAATTCATACGTGGAGCCTTTGCAATTTGCCACCTTTCAGAATAGGGAAATATATCAGTGGTTGGTTACAGCAGGAAACGGTATATGCAAGTAGTAGGGGCTCATCAAAATAGTTGGCAGGTGCGATCCGATTCAAGTGTTTGGTTCTGCCCATTCACGATATTTGGTGGTCATAGCCCATCATCAGATATCATCAGTCATCGTCAATGGCCTGAGTACCTATACACTTGCTGTGCCATGCAAGGCAACATGTTTGATGTGTACCTCAAACACATGTTTGACACCTCCAATTGAAATGCCCGACACATTCCCTGCACACCCATGACAACATGTTGCTTTGATGTTCATTACCAAACCCATCGCAAATGAACATTCAAAATGACACACATAAGGCATCCAACACGATCGTTCAAGCAAGCCCAAGCATCCAATCCCCCGGAAACTCTACAATTGGTTGTTTAAACCACAGCGGAAACTGGTAAAATTTAGTCAGAAGAAGATTCGACATGTTCAGTCATATTCAGGATTTCCCTACGGCAAACTGCTGTGCCTCAGAATCGGAGTTTGCCAGATTCACAGGTATTTCAGAACTTTTAACCGTCAACAATTTGGTTTAAACCATCAAGAATCAACAATTAGGATTGAAATATATTTGACCACTCAAATTGGGGATTCAAACCACATTGGTGATTTCAACCATATTTAACCATGACAAACATATACAAAAATGATATATAGTTATTTTTTTAAACCATCACTAAGCATCTAAAATGTGGTTTCAACATGATTTCATCACCTTTCACCCTCTCTTGACGGCCTCAGGTTCATTCCCTTCCACACGCGCAAGACGCGCTGCCGCCGGGGCGGTGCGCCGCACACGGGAAGGGGTACCGGGAAGCGCAGCGGATTCTCCAAGCGCTACTGGATTTGCTGCCTGGCAGCTTCAAAACCGTGGTTGATGAGTTGGGATTTTGTCATGAAATATAGATATTATAGATATATCAAATATATATATAATGATATTATATATATATAATGATATTATATATATATATATAATGATATTATATATATATAATGATATTATATATATACACGTATAATTATACTTATATACATACATATATATATATATATATTATGGAGGAAATATCATTATGACATCGTTTGGGTAGTATTTAGAGGGTTTACACCGTCAAAACTGTTGTGCAATCATGCATAAAACACAGTCTGTTGATGTATATGGTGTGATACTAGTTGCAACAAAATAATTGGTTGCTATGTCCTTGGAAATCTTGAAATGGGGCTCTCCATTCACCAGCCATTCTGAAGAATTTTCGAATTGTTTTTTGACTGCGCGAGGGCGGGGTGTGGAGCCTCACGATTGGTGGGTGAATTGATGGGGGATAAGTTGCCCCTACCGGACTGGGTGGAGATCCTATGAGACAGCCGCCGCCTGAGGTTGGCCCAACACATCGTACCCCAACACCAAGTGCCTCAGCTATGCCAGTGGGCACACAGTGAGTCGTTCAACTGGCATACGTGAATGGATTAAGAATGATTAAGATGGTAATCATCAACCACGATGTTTCATGATTGATGTCATAGTCATAGTTCCATATAGTTCCAAGGTATTTGGACACAGACACTCGGAGACTCGGGTCGTTCCCAGTCGTCGCAGGAAGATGGGCTCCCCTCACTGTGACAAAAACGACTGAGTGGGTGAAAAATATGCGGCCCGGTGGATGGTTTGAAAGATCAGGAAAATGAAGAGGATGTGAAGATGCAAGATGATCCAAACATGATCAAACATGTTCATTTATCTGGCTTCTTGGGCCTTTGATTGATCACCCAAAACAGGAACTGAGGTCGTGTTTTAAGTCAAGTTTGATGACATAGTTCAACACTTTCGTTCAACACGTTTGCTCCAAGTTTTCCGAACGTCTCCCAAGCAAGAGCTCATTGAAGTAGAAGGTCAGAGTTGAGTTTGGACAAAATCACCCATCGTTTTGACGTGGCTCTCCTGGTGCTTCTTGAAGTTCACCTTGCCGCAAGACACTGGAGCAATAGATTCAGATGCCAGATTGTTTCACACCGGTTACTGTTGCCCAAAGTGAGACCAGAGGGCGGGAATGAACAGAAACAACACGAAAAAATTAGCAGATGAATCACAGATCGTCAAGCCATGTCGCGTTATGATTGAGCGCACACATTCCTAGGATATGTGCATTGAGTTTCGTTTCGTTACCAGAAGACTGAGCGAAGCATGTGATTCAAGGTGCACCTCAACGCTAATATTTCACCCTGCAGGTGATGTTGGTTTATCCTGGAGACTTGTCCAACTTCATGGAACATTTATCATATGGACTACATATAGATTACATATATGATCATATGACATAATTCATGCTTTTTAATCTATATGTAATCTATTGACTATCTGCATATGATCATATATGGTTTTTATGTTTCCATTTTGTTCCCACTGTTCCAGCTGGTCCGTCAATAACACGGCTCACACAGCGTGTCACCAGTGACCGGATGTACATATGACCATGCCAGGCAGTTTTCACCACAATGGATTAGTTCTCTGTTAGTGTTTTCCATGGATGGCTCCAAAGAAAATCCAAATCTTCAGCGGATTTGTAGTGTGGGACAGATGATGTGTGTGTGTGTTTCCGTGTACTGTAGGGGAGCTGTGAACCCGATCGAAGACCAAATCTTGAGTAGTGTTCCGTCGCTTGTGGCGGAGACGCAGTGAGTTGACTAAGTTCTTACATCTTTGCAGTATTTGAAGCAAGACATCATCGACATTGTACACTGCACACCCTAAAGATAGCATAGATGATGCAACATCGTATATGTATTAATTATCTGGCTGGTGGTTTGGAACATGAATTTTATTTTCCAGATATTGGGAATTTCATCATCCCAACTGACTTTCATATTCTTCAGAGGGGCAGAGCCGCCATACGTCGGCTCAAACTCCAATGGAAGGATCCATGGGAAAATTGTGTTCCCCCAAAAATTGATGGTCCTTCGGTATCCCAAAAAGGGAAATGCCGATCTGAACATCTTTGGACCTTGGATATTTGGATTTATTCAATCTGCTGATGGTTGAACAGACTTCAATCAAGTGTTTGAAAATTAGGTACTTCATATTCCAAGTGATTTTCCCCATTCAGTAGCTATTTGGAGGTTTCATGAGGTTTCCTAAAAATGGGAGTACCCCCAGATTATCCAGGTTGAATCCCGCTGACCTAATCCTTGCGCTCGTGCCGCGCTTAAAGCTGCGCTGCGCCAGCTGCGGAAGCTGCGCCACGGCAAATGAGTGGCGATTGGAGCGGCTGTTGCGCCGAAGGCATCAATGGATTTTCCTTTCTTTTGGGATAGTTTCCCCAGGTTTGGCCGGAAAAAACATGGTTTATCAATCATGATCCTGTGCTGGTGATTTTTTGATTGTTGAAGATCCGAGTTTCTGCGGTTGTGGATGAAACCCCAATCAATTTTGGCGGGAATTTGGGGGTTAAAAGGTTCTGGAGTTGTTTAATGTTTTTTTACAGTAAGGTCAATCCATGGGTTGGTTTCTTGTTGGTTTTCGAATCCAATTTTGGAAGAGATGTTCTTTTTTAACTACTTCGAAAAAAACACTGGAAAGTTGGTGTATTTAATCAATGTCAATGTCGTGAAAGTCCGCAGTTTTTTGTTGGTGCCTTTTTTTCAACTGCAGAAGTCACATATTCTGGTTGGTTGTTTCGGAACATTTTTTATTTTCCCATATATATATATATATTGGGAATAATCATCCCAACTGACTTTCATATGTTTCAGAGGGGTAGGTATACCACCAACCAGTATTGATGTGGATACGGATCAGCCGGATAAGCAATGAGATTGCATAACGACCTCACTGGGACGTCACGGTCACAGGGACGGGACGATGGTTTCTAAATTCACATCTTTGGTGCATACGTTATGATACTGGGTATTATCATTGATATTATTAGTGATATAGTATTATTATTGTTATTATGATCAATACTGTTATTATTGTTACGAATCATTGTTATTATTACTTTGACTAGTATTTAGTATTACTATATATATATATATAATCTATGTATTCAATTGATTATATATATATATATGTCAATATATAAACATGTATGTACATGTATGAAGTTGGTGACAAAAGGTCATGTTTTAATTGTATCCCTATTGGTTGGTTGGTTTTCCTCCAGGTTTGATGGTTATCTCCCATGTGTTTATCCTTTTATCTCATTATACCCCCGGACAGTTAGTTATATATCCCATTTTCCCCCTTGGTATGATTGAAATTTGATCCATGGTTTCCTTTTCCCATGATATCCCTTTTTGGTGGGTTTGTTTTCCCCCCACCATTTTTGATGACATGTCCTGCTATGAAAAATGGAGGAATAATTGTAATATATATATATATACGAATATGTATATATTCATAGATCTACTAGTATAGTTAGTTTTACCCGGTTACCCACTATATTATACCCATATACCCAGTGTACTTATATACTACTTATTATTCCACATTAAAATTTGTTATAGTAACTATTCTTTTCCCATCAGAATATGACTACTACTATGCAATATAAGAATGTACAGTATATAGATGCTTATTATTCCCCATTATAGTAATAATTTCTTTACCATTTTCACAAGCTATACGTTCCGTTACGTTCCGTTAGAGTCTATTTTTACACCAATCCATTCATTATGTCCAACAAAGGGATACAAGTATGTTTCAATTGTTTTTTTTTACCAATCCATTCATTATGTCCAGCAATGGCAGGTTGGTGGTTTGGACCATGTTTTATTTTTCCATATACTGGGAATAAGGTGAACAACTGACTTTCATATTTTTCAGAGGGGTAGGTATACCACCAACCAGATGGGATATGTTTCAATTCCAATGGGATATATTTCAGTTAACTTAGACCAAATATGTGAATATTAGATAATGAATAGAATAGAACTTAGACCATTAGAATCCATTCATTTAGCTCCAGTTGAACTTCCGGACCTGGGATTTTTCTGCCACAGAACCTGGTTCTCGTCCCTGCGGGCCCTGCGGCTCCTGCGTCAAGACCTTCGCGGCCGGAAGGTCTCCCTGTCTGCGGGGGAGAAGGTCCAGGCGCCATGGATCATGGAAAAACCGGGAAGCTTCGAGCAAATGGGGAACCATAGGGGTAAAACATACCAAACAGAATGGAAAATCAGAGTTTTGGTGAATGGAACATGGATGAAAATGGTATGGATGATACAGTAAACAAGAACTGATGTTCACTGTTCATTCAAAGCTGTGTGAAATGATCAGATGGCAAGCATACATTTTTTGCCACAGGAAATGATAATCTGAATCTGTTTTCCACAAATTGTCAAGAGAATGGGACATATATAATGGGTCATTGTGGGCAATTCTGGATGATTGTGCAGATATAACCGCCAACGGTGGGGTGCCCATGGCAGCTACATAAAAAAGAACCTGGATGAACCTGGCAATAGAACTGGAAATAAAGCTGATTGATGGTTTCATTGTTTTGGCTATTCTACCCTTCATATTTGGATGATGATTCAACCCGATAACTGATATAGGGGATTGACACCACGCACCAGGGTACTTGTAAATGTTTTTTCTGATTTAATCCCCATTTGTGTTGGCAAACAAATCCAACATCAAGGAATCAAGGACAGACCAATTGATCCATATCCCATTTTTACATTTTGGCATCATTGGATCAACCAACGGATATCCCTTCTGAAGAAATCCCTTTGTATATCCAATGCCTATCCCTGAAACATCACCAGCCGCAAGGCGCGCCCAACGCGTTGCAGGTCTTTACATTTTGGCATCAAGACGTCTTGCAACGGCCTCGCTGGACTTGGGCATTGGATCCTGGGCTGATCGATCTGATCCGTTGCTGGAAGCCATGGCTCTAAGAAACTAAGATGGATCATTGATAATCATCATCACAATCATCATCATCATCATCATCACCATCATCACCATCATCATCATCATCATCATCATCATCATCATCATCATCATCATCATCATCATCATCATCATCATCATCATCATCATCATCATATATATATACATATATACATACATATGCCCATATCATACAATATATGTATATATATACATATAATTATAGTATGATTATAATATATAGATAATCTGGTAATCTGACTATAGCTAACTTATGGACCCTGACTTGTCCTCATGTTGTGCCACAGTCACGCTGCGTTTGAGTCAGCGGATGTGGCATTGGTCATCGCCAAGCGTCAGTGAATTTTGTGGACCAACGATTGACCATCGCTGGTTGGGCTATAGATGAGTATGACGTATGGTATATAATACATTAATATATATATATAATATGGCATATAATATATTATGTTATAGTTTATTATTTTATATTATATTATATTATATTATATTGTATACAATCTATATATATAATATGGTATAGACTACATTAACTATTGCTAGTTGGTGTATGTATATATATAATGTCAAATATGGTATATCCCAATATGATGTAATAGTTAATAGATATAGATGAGTATGAAATAGCCAGTATGACATTATAAATATAGATGAATATAATACCATGATGTCATGTGGTATGTATAGTATGATTAATATTGTAAGTATCAATATAATGTCAGTGTCATATGAAATATTGGGGTATCATCTAATATAGTATGAAATGTCATAAATGTGGTATGTATATATTATACCACCATATTGGTGATGTGACCATTTTTTGGACCATGTATACTGTAATACTTCTTCATATCATTTCATATCCTACACGAAAACCCATCTTGCTATTGGATTTGTGGGCACCATTGTAGTGTATCCGAATCGCTGAGGTGGTCATGAGAGCTTTGCATGTTGCAGTCAGCCAGACTATGGTCTTGTTGGTTCCATGGACGGAACACGAATCTCAAGCGTTACTGTAGTGACGTTTGGTTTGGCGCCCCCAAGTTATGCAACAAGATCTTGTTGGTCTTGTAAACCTTCTTGAGTATAGATATACTATTTCAACAAATCCAATCATTCATCTATTTCTACTAAATTCCATATTCAACCCAGTATATCAGTGTTAGATATATTGGATATACTTATTGGATCTATACTTCAACCCACTGAAATATAGCCAACTAAATTCCAGTAGATCCATGTGGATCCCATTGTTTATCCGTTTTGCAAACATCCACGCTAGAACATGCTCCGCCGCACTTCCAGCCTGCAGTATCACGTGATATGATGATCCATTATTATTAATATCCAAAATGCAATGTAAAATGATTTGAGTTTTGTAATATATATATATATATAATATCATCACCCTTTTCGTGGGGTGTAAGCATGGGGGACGTTCAAAAAATGTAAGCAACAATTTTGACACCTTCGTATTTTTTTCCTGATGGGGAAGGCTATATGTATGTTAGACTTCTCCTACATCAAAAACCGTGCCCCGGAAGATTTACATTTAGGGGGGTTGAAAGTCCGTAAGAGATACGTCACCCTACCCCCCTCCGAACCCCCCCCCCAGTACTCTACGGATAAAAAATGTTAAATGTCCGCAAGCAGTTTGTAAACTGTTTGTGAGGTGTCTTTGTGGGGATGTAGTCAACCTATGTCTGAGGTCCACAGTTCCTTGCAGAAAGTGTTCGAAAAAGAAGGTCAAACTAAGATAGAAAAATGTAACCATCCTACACTTGAGGTCCTCAATTCCTTGCAGAAAGTGCTCAAAAAAAGAAGGTGGAGATAAGATAGAATCATGTCACCATCCTACACCTGAGGTCCTTAATTCCTTTCAGAAATTGCTTTAAAAGAAGGTAAAAATGAGATAGACAAATGTAACCATACTGCACCTGAGGCCTATAATTCCTTGCAGAAAGTGCTTAAAAAAGATGGTGTAAATATAAGTGTTTTTTTTAAGCACAATCCTATACATAAGGTCCATAGTTCCTTGCAGAAAGTGCCCGGAAAAGAAGGTAAAGCTAAGATCGATAAATGTAACCACCCTACACCTCAGGTTCCACAGTTCCTTTCAGAATCAACATGAAACATGTGTAGATTGTTATTATATTATGGTTGGAGGGTCATAATGGGGGCTAGATAGGAACCGTGGCAGAAGGGTGTTTTAGTTCGATCATGTAGGTACATAAAGGGGGTTTATCACGGGAGACACCATAAAGGTTCATTATAGGTTCTTTTGAGGTCCTTTTGAGGTCCATTTGAGGTCCATTTGAGATCTTTATTTGTATTCTATTGTTTTTTCCATAGGTAGGAGGTAAATTTGAAGACCTTCAACATCTAATTTTACATTTATTTGAAGTTCAAGGATGTTCCAGTAATTTGCAAGGAATAATATACCTTCTATACCTCTATGTTACATGTGGAAATGATAAAAAAAAAGATAAAAAAGGTGCATAAAAAAGTGTAGAATGTATTGGACATACCAAGCAATTGGGCTCCTACAAACTTTCAGTTTGCATTTTTGATTTTCTGCGATTCTGCAGCTATTTGCAGACCTTCACACTACAATTTTACATGTGTGTTTCATTTTCTTGCATGTTTTTTTCAAAAATGCAATCGGACATTTTGAATGCCCCCCTGTGTTTTTTAAGAAAATAAATGAAATCCCGTAAAGAGTGAGGGGACCTACTAAAATGAAATCTTGCAAATAGAACGCAGTGAGAAAAATAAATGCTTGCTGACATTTACCAGGCCCCCCTCAGGCCCCCCTCCCTCAAAAACGTCTAAATTGTGTCTTGCAATTTGGGTACGTCCCCCCCTTTAAAAGGGTAGTGATTATATAATTATATATATAGTATATAGTATATATATATATAAATTTAGATGTATTACATATGCATATCATCATCACCATCATCATCATCATCACAATCATAACCATAATCATCTCATGTATATATATATATACAAAGTATGTCAATGTATAATGTATACAAGTAACCAGCAAGATATGCCGCGAAAGACTCAAGTAGTTTGCATCCAGGAACTTTTGGGAGATGACGTGAAGAGTCTGAATCAGGCCGATTGGAGCGGTTGGAGCCGGGAGAAAGCCGAAGAATGGCATTGGTTTATGGGAAGATTTGCAGGAAACCATGGGTTTTCAATTGTTTTTTTTACCTGTAAATGTTGGAATTTCCAGGGTTTCCTGCCTTTTTTTCCCTGAAACCAGTTGTGGGAAAACTGTGTGGTTGAGAAGATGCTGGATGGTTTCCACATGTTTCCACCGATTGGCTTTTCTTTGTGGGTCGGCATAGCCACATTGAAGCCATCGCATCCAAGTTTCAAGAGTCAAATGTGACACTTAGTTGCACAATATTGCACAACTTATTTGTGTTCCACATCTTCTGTGGTTTAAATCAAGACTTTACGTGGCTTTTCTAGATCTCCGATGTTTGCAAGTCAACCCCAGCAATTGTACCCCCATATGCTCCATGGTGGAATATTTAGCCACAAAACTGGGTCATCCTGGGGTTTCTATGTTGGTAAATATTCATCACCACGTGTACCATGGTCAAAAGTTCGATGAGGAAACATTGCTGGATGGTCATCCATCCATTTTCATAGGGATTTGTGCACCCATTGAAAGGATTCCTATCATGGGATGGATGACCATAAACAATTCATCCCACTACAGTCTATATTCGAGTGTCTTCAATGGTTTTATTTTCCATATCTCCCATTACAATTCAGTCAAACATGATGAATGCCCATCATAAACTCCCATTACCTTCCCATTATATTCCCTGTATACTCCCAACATATTCCCATCTTTAGACCGTATATTATATTGGAGGTAAGAAATACCCATGATATTCCCATCATATATATACCAACTATAATATATATATAGATGTATGGGTCAAAATCGGTGGATTATTGTTAGTTGATTTCATTATATTACATTCCGATTTTCCATGATATGCCCATTATGTACCAACTATACATCCCATTGTTGGTGAAATCCACCAGTGTTATCAATGGCTATTTCAGGGACCTAAATTAAAGGTACCTACCATAGATAAGGCCTATGTAAGGCCAAGACTTCAGGAAACATCCCCACAAAATATGGCTTTACATGGCACAGTACCTCCATTTTAGTGTCATTAAATTGTAACTATATATTGTCGGATATATTTCTACAACAACTATCTATATAGTGTGTGTAACTATATTATTACAACAACTATCTATGATATAAATTTACTTAGTTGGGATATTACAAAAAATAGTCCGTAACCCGACCGCGCCAGGCTCTGTCCGTCTTGGCCCGTGCAGCTCAGTGGGAGAACGCCTTGCAGACGCTGTATGGCTCCAATGAGGCGCCAAAATCGGCGTTTTTGGGGCAGATTTTTGCTGAAGATGTTGCCGAAATGGTGATATAATGGTAATAAATACCATAAAAAATGGTGGTTTCATAGGATTTGAATGGGATTTATCCTCTGGTAATTTAACATAATTTTGCATGAATTTGCCAATTTATATAGATACTCTTCAGAAAAAAAAAAACAATTGTGGATTTCCAGTGTAACCGATTTGATCATTGGGATTCAAGCAACACAAATGGTGACATGAGATTTCATGAGATTTGATAGGATATCACCAACAGACATGATGACTTGTTGGTGAGCTAATGGAAGTAAGACCTATGAAATACCATAGCTCCGGGGGATGAAGATTCATGCGTCCCAGCTATTTTGATCTATAAATTGATGTGAAGAGAACGGTACTGATCGGGTTTTGACCCATAGCCAAATAGGTAAATTAACATAGGCCCTGAAAATCACCAATTTTTAGAGGAAACTAATCTTCCAACCCCTATCTACCAGGGTCTATGTTAATTTACCAGAGGGTAAATGAAATCTCGATTGTGACTTGCTGTTGGTTTGGTTTATAAAGGACTTAAATTTGTTGCCTCGTGGATCTGCGGGCCTCATAGAGTGGGTAGTATCCATGTACCCACTATGAGCCTCCACCCACGTGGTGAGCCATGAGAGTTGCTGGGATACCCCTACCAAAGAGACGATGGTTTAACGGTGTTTTTTTTTAGCGGATGGTATTAGACACTCACCAGTCCTATATTTATCATTGATGATGTTGTTGTTATTGTTGTTCTTGTTCTTGTTTTTGTTTTTGTTCTTGTTACGACTATGTATTTCTAGAGTATATGTATGTGTCACGAACACTTTATATTCACTATCATTAATCATAGCAATTATTCACTATACCATTTACAAAAAGAACATCACCAGTAAATTGAATGATGATATAATATTATATACCATATTATTAAATATACTATTAGCTATATACACGCACATAAACATATCAATTAAATACATATATTGTTTTTTTATACACTCTATCTATCTGTATATTGCAATATGATATACGTCATGAATCATACTATATTTGTGGCTCCGGCACCAGGTGGACATCGTGAGTTTCAACAGCGTGGCCCTGGCCTTGGCCACTGCGGCGCAGTGGCACCGCGCGGTGGCGTTGATGCAAAACTGCTGGCCCAACGCCACGGTGCGGCGATGGCTGGGATGTGGCGCCATGGGGATGTGGGGATAATCTCCAGTCAAAAAACATTTTCCTATGGAAAATGCATGAAAGTGATAGGTTTATATGGGTTGAATGTGACTATACAACGATAATGGGTGTTTAGTTGGGTTTATATTTGTTTATCAGATATTTTATAACTCTAATCACAAATACAAGGTGATACCCCTGGTCCATAGCTAAGTTGATGGTAGATATATCGAACTAGTTAATGGGGTTATAAACCAAAACACATGACTGGGGTGCACCTCATTGTAACTATGGCAATGAATACTGCCCTATTCATAAATGACTTAGCTATTAAACATAGTGATAGCTATGTTGGTTTACCAGAGGGTTTCACGGGGATACATATTATATCATATTATGTATATAGAGAAGTTGTACTATATAACTATAACATAACATACGTGTATACATGATATGTCTATATTATGGTCGAGATATACAACATATTCAAAATGACATATATTATATGATACAATATTATGCGGTTGTTTCCATACGTATATATATATATGTATATAGAGATTGCAATACAACCAACTCAACACTATGTGATAATTTCATATGCATATCTGGGATTTAGTGCTTGGAGTTCTCATGTTCAACATGTGCGGTACCGACTTCACGGAGGGCAAAGGACAAAGGTCTGCGAATGGAAATCCACCTCCAACATGGGGCGATTTTAACATCCGAATACTCTCCAGTAATTCACATAACTACGCGCAGATAGACACATTTATAATCCCTTCCCAAACACCCCAATGAAATCATGGTTTAGTACAGAAATTACACATATTTGCGAACATAGAATAGGGCTGTTTAATATGAGGGGGTTAAATTATCAGACAGCACCTTTCGAGAAGATCCTGTGCCCACCACATAGGAGGATTACGGCGGGTATTGGATAGTTCCTAGCAGCCCTTCATATGCATCATAGATTGTCTTGCCTTTGCACTGGAATCTACTCGGTGGGCTGGAGCCTGGGGGTGTTGCTGCAGACACTAGTGCTTCTACTGGTGCTACTGCACCATGATCATCATTACTTTATATTACGTTTACTTGTACATTTTGGAGACTCCATGTTGTTTGTTGCATCATCCTTTTTGCACCCAAAAACTATGCGAAAGTGATGATATGCTCCATTCCCATGAGCATCGACCTGCCGCATTCTGAATATGTGGCTGCGGGTCAGAAATCAATGCTTCTGAAAAAATAGGTGTAGATTAAGGCAACGCAATCCTTTCATCTTATATAATGTCATGTATCTCCATATTTTCCAGTTGAAGAAACAGGGCATCGTGGTAAAATCATCCAATCATCTCACATTTCTACAGCCCTGACTGGTCCCTTCCTTTCCATTCGGCACTACCTGGGAAGGCTATTACCTTCAACACTGTGGCGCTGGCCTGCAAGGACGGAGCTTAAATTTTGGTTGCAGAAAACGCCGTTTTCATGGGGATAAAAATACAGACAACCTAATGTCATGTCCGTGACACCGTGACACCCCTAAGAATTCATTGATGGTTTAGATTCGTCCAAAAGTAAATTAATGGTTCTGGTTGGTGGTTTGGAACATGGATTTTTTCCCATTCACTTGGGATTTTCCTAATCCCAACTGGCCCAACTGACGCACCAACCATCATTTTTCAGAGGGGTAGGTAGGTATACCATCAACCAGGGTGAATCCACCGTGGGGGAATCTACCCTTCACAAAACGCGGGGAAAAAAACTCACAGATGGTTGAAGATGTGGAAAAAAAAAACCTTCAAAACGTGGAACTTAAGTAACTTAAGCGGGATCTAGTTGGTACTCAAGCCCTCATAGAATCTACCATGATTCATAGTTGGATCTATAATTTCCGTTGAAATCCCATGGATTTGCCAGTATATCTAACTTTTTTTTGTGTTCCATCTTATCCCATGAATGTCCCATTATATCCCGTTAATGAATGTCCTATTAATTTCCAGACATGTCCCATGAATGTCCCACAATATCCCATGAATTGTCCATTAAATCCTATGAAATTCCCACTAAAAAGCTTGCTTAGATCGATAATTGTCCATTAAAATCCATTCAAATCACTGGTTGGTGGTTTGGAACATGAATTTTATTTGTCCATTCAGTTGGGAATGTCATCATGCCAACTGACGCACTCATATCTTTTTAGAGGGGTATACCACCAACCAGATATCAAATTTGCCAAATTTCCCATGCAATGTCGATCCCATTGGGACACCAGGACGCCTCGGAGTGGAAAACAGCCCTGTCGTTGCTTAGCACTGCCCAGCACCGTCGCTTGAGCGATGCGCGCAGCCAGAGCACTCTTCTGTCGGCCTTGGGCAAAGTGGCCAGGCAGGGGCTAAGCCGGGCTTATCCAATCATCAACTGTGGTTTTTTCAGAACTCCTGCACCAGTTGGTAGATGGTTATCCCATTATATTCCCATGATTTACAGTGTTTCATAGTTACCAATAGTGACCTATGTAAAAATATCTCATGATAATCATCAACTTATTTATGTAAATTATAACGACCTCACTCTTCTCCCTCACTGGAATGATGGTTAGTATAGGTGAAATATCCCAACAAAACCTTATTTCAGGTTAGTGAATTATTGTTAATTTCCTCAGAAATATGTTGGTTTAAGCAATGCTATTCATTTGGAAAACATGAGAAATTCAGGGATGTAATGGGAATATACAGTAATGGGATTGAATGGGATATGAGAATGATATAGAAACCATACTGATAGTTCAGTAAATGGGTTTAATATACCATACAGATAGTAGTACTATAATAACATGGTATATCATGTGGTAAAATATGGGATATCACCATCTCACCAACACATATGATTCACAGTATCTGGTTCAACGACCAACAAGAATAATGGAAACTCATGGGACATCTATCACAACATTCCCTATTAAAAAAAAATGAATAGCCCCCCCCAACTTATAGCAGATGAATAGTCAAACATGTTGTTGATAAAAGTGATCAATGATGGTAAAGTGCATGTAGCAGTTTCATAACTTTATCAGATTGTTATGGAAACACCATCTATCAATACACTGTATATTATATGCAGTAGAACCTATGGCATTACGGGGATATACTTGTTTAATCCTACTGTACATATACACACATATACATACATTCTTACATACATACATGCAATCATGCATGCATGCATTCATTCATTCATTCGTTCATTCATACGTTAATGCATTCATACATTCTTACATTCATACATTCATACACTCATACATTCATACACTCATACACTCATACATTCATACATACATTCATGCATTCATTCATTCGTTCATTCACATGCATTCATTCATACATTCATACATTCATATATACATTCATACATACATACTTGCATACTTGAATACTTGCATACTTGCATGCTTTCATACATGCATACATGCATACATGCATACATGCATAGATGCCTACATACGTACATACATACACACATGCATACATACATAAATACATACATACAAACATACATACATACATACATAAATATACATACATAAATATACATACATAAATATACATAAATAAATATACATCAATATACACATATACATGTACATATATATATATATATACATATATACATATACATACATATACATACATATACATATGCATACATATACATACATATACATACATATACATACATATACATACATATACATACATATACATACATATACATACATATACATACATATACATACATATACATACATATACATACATACATATACATACATATACATACATACATACATACATACATACAAATACATACATATACATACATATACATACATATACATACATATACATACATATACATACATATACATATACATACATATACATACATATACATACATATACATACATACATACATATACACATACATACATACATACACATACATACACATACATACACATACATACATACATACATATACATACATACATACATACATACATACATACATACACACATATACATACATACATACATATACATACACATACATACACATACATACACATACATACACATACATACACATACATACACATACATACACATACATACACATACATACACATACATACACATACATACACATACATACACATACATACACATACATACACATACATACACATACATACACATACATACACATACATACACATACATACACATACATACACATACATACACATACATACATACATACATACACATACATACACATACATACACATACATACACATACATACACATACATACACATACATACACATACATACACATACATACACATACATATACATACATACACACACATACACACACACATACACATACATACATACATACATACATACATACACATACATACACATACATCTGCCCAAATTACTGCGACCCCAGCCGAGGTGACGAGGTTAGTTAGAGAGAATTAACGAGGTCAGTAGCGAGGTTGCTTATTGAGAATTAAGGAGTATGGGCAGTTTTCGGACATGTAGATGGCACGGACCCATGGAATAAAACTTTTGGAGAGCTGGAAAGTTTATTTTGATGATTCAAGCAGGTGGTTGAGTTAAATTTGTATAGATCGAGGCGGCTATGTAGTGGAAGTAAATAGATTCCAAATCCACCAAAAAAAACTTTTCAGGCTGCCAAAAGTTTGTTTCATGTCCATCCGGTGCCTCACAGACAGCGCGCCAGGGTTTGTAGCAGACAAAACTTTTCAGTGCTGGAAAAGTTTTTTGCCAGACACCCTCACTTCAGTACTGGGGCTCAAAGACTCGCACGCGCAAAGTTCCAGGGCCATGCCGCTGCAAGTTCTTCTCCATCCTATAGATATACATATATATATATATATGTACATATATACATCCATACATACATACCTACAGCCTGAAATTTATAACGAGGCGAGGGGTTATTTTCGAAACCAGATTTAACGAGGCGAGGTGCTATTTTCTAAACCACATGTAACGAGGCGAGGTGCTAAATGCGCGTAACGATGATCAGACACGAGGTAGACGAGGTAAGAAATAAAGTAATTTGCACAGATACACATACATACATACATACATACATGTGATTATGGGGCCACTTCCTAATAATCTAGTAATTATAGCAGTTTCAAAGCTTGAGCAGTTTCAATCATACCACTTTAATGGGATCAAGGAATGTACATCATCCCGCAGCAAGATGTTGGGAGCCGGAGATAAGAACACGAACATGAGACATGAGTGGACTCCCGTAGAAATTTGCAATGTTAAAAAAAAACTTAGTTTGGGACTGATATTACTATAGTACTATATAGTATAAAGAACTGTTTTATTTTCAGTCTTTTCTTTTAAACATACAGCGAAAAACATGGGAATGGATTTGGTGCCCTGACCTCAGAATTGTGTTGCCACCTTTTTTTGGATAGCCAAAAATAGAGGTTTCCAAAGTCATGGGAAATCCCCAATGCGAATTGTTTATCATGGAAAATCCTATTAAACTGGATGATTTGGGGGGTACCCCCATGACTTAGGAAACCTCCATTTTGTTCGCCGTGTATTGGGCTTATCCTCGAGCCTTCCCAGCCTTCGCAACGAGAGGTGGGAACATGCGCTAAGTTTGTTGAGCACATCCAGCGATGATGTGGCGCTAGCTGCCGCCATCAGTGCATGTGAGAAGGGATGGCAGTGGAGGCGAACCATGGTGGGGAACTCTTTAGCCTGGTGATGTGAAAAATGTGAGAACCAACATATCAACATAGCTGGAATTTATGGATGTGGATATTTTGTGTTATTTTATATGTGATATGTTTATGTGTTGATCCATGTTGACCTTTGGTGATTGGATCCAAACTTATATGATAGTTGTATTTCATAAACATATCACGTATTGCTGATATTATGATATACAACCATCATATAAGATTGTATCAACAAATACCAGCAATGTAGATAGGGGATTCAACCCATGATCAACGGCTGTGTTTTTCACATATGCATACATTGCGAATAATGGATATGCAAGCAACATTAACTGAGGGGTTCATTAACAACACAGACATAGAATGAATAATATACATATATATATATATATATTTTTACATTTCGGGAATACTGTTGGGTGTTCCAGTCCTCGGAACAAAACGGAAATAATAAGGATCAAGGATGTAACTTGATTTTTGATTGACATGAATTGGGGACTGACTAAACCAACAATAAATGGGTGTTGATTGAAGATACAAATCTTTGAGATGGGTGGAAATTGGACAACTACTTTCAACATGCAGGGTTTAAGACCTACTAAAACCCTTCTTGCGGAACCAGCAAGGCCCTATGTTTGAGCCATAGCCAGTTGTTGGTTGAATGTGGTGGCCCCCAGCCCCCCAGTTATAAGTTGGTTTATAGCTCCATTTACAATATACTGTGTTTACCAGGTACCAAAAGCCCTAGTTATTAGAGGTATGTTTACCAACTTACAGTAGCTATGGGGCACCACCTTGTACATGTTATTTTGCCCTATTAAATTAACCATCATTAACCACTCTCAACCCATATCAACCATATGTTCATCATGATTATTAGTTAATCCCATTATTAAGTTATTATCAAGCACTAATGATAACCCTAAACTTTGAACCAGTAAGCAGTGTTAACCATTGTTCACGCTATCCAACTTTAGGGAATGTCTATCGATGAGGCCCGCCCTCCACTTGCTTGGCTCCCTGCGTGCAGAGAATGTCGCTGCACAGAATAGCGCCCTCTCAGCTTGTGAGAAGGTCGGCGGAGTGCACTGCTTGGTTGGATCTTTATATAGGCATACTGAATTGGAGAAGACGTCCATTTTGTGAAAGGAAATGAGCCACCGCTAACGTGGTGACCGGAATTGCTTCAGATGCGCTGACAGCTAGGCCATGATTAGCAGTCATTTCAACGCATGTTTGCCGCGTTGGTTGCTGGTTCTGTGATTGCCTCATATCCCAGATTTGTTGGTCCCAACTTGGTCACTGAACCATGTTCCGATCCTTGATGTTTCAATTTGCATGTTTGTTGTGTTTGTTGATTCATATCTCATTATAGTTGGCTTATGTCACATGTTTGTTCTTGGCTAAAAACACATACTTCCCCAAGAAAATTGCCTCATGCATGTCATTTACAACATTTTCTGCAATGACCTCCCACATACACTTCCCAGACTGGTCTGAGTTCATGTGTGTGTATATCTACATATATATATACATTACATGATATTTTCCATAAAAATCTAGGAATCAGTCACTTTAGCTCATAGAAAATCGCCAGACATTCACTGATAGTTCCTCAAGAGTTCCCGTACAAATATGGTCCCACTTTTAGGCCCAGCAGTGGCAGTTGGCGCTTGAGCTGCTGTCGCAGCATTCGCGTCCCAACGTCGTCACGTTCAACGCGGCCCTGAGCGCGGCCGCAGCCACGGCAGAGGGCTGGAGCCGAGGGCTACAGCTGCTCCGTGTGAAGCTCAATTCGAGTGGCCACGATGTCCCAAGAAATGATGTGACTTGAATACTAAATAAACTAAATCCACTGTTTGATCATCACATGAAATAATGAAATTGCTACTTTCGTATCTTTTTTTTTGGGGGGTATCTTTTTAGTAGTATTCACCATCCACATTCGCGTACATAGCTTGATCATGCTTGATCCATTACCAGGTGTCCATTTCCCTGACAAGAATGGGGGTGGAAGTCACAATCCCTGAGCAGACCTTTTTTGTGGTGGTCTCCTGCTTCCATAACTTATATATTATGTTATCATTATATTATATTGCAAATGTATCCCAAGTTTCGTAGAAAATTATCGTAGTGATATGGCCCATGTTGATATATTGTATATACATGTATATACCAACTATAGATACTCCCTATGGCCCTATGGGTCTGTCTGAAAAAAGGGTTCCTCATTCCATCTATTGGTTGATACATCCTGTTCCTCTTAAAATTGCCAGTCCCTGGGCGGCCAATCCCCGGTGTTCACACCCAAATATCCGGCTATGGTGGCGAAACATATCCCTTGATTTCGCATTAGTTTCCATACAACCACATGGGTATGGATCAATACCTATTAATACCATTTTTAGGGGGATGAACATCCATTTACCAGCTATTTTGATGTTCACCAGGGGTACAAGGTTTTGACACACTGCCACATGTGTAATTGTGTTATAAGTTATGATAATCCTACTTAAGTCCCTTCGTGGATTACCCCATTCATAGCTGGCTTACTTATATCCACCTTTACGAACCAGTTCGTAATTGGCGTGAACCACTATTATTCATCAGGTATATAAATTATATCCCATTGATGTCCCAGATACCCCCCATGACTGGGTTACAGTTCCATTGAGGACCATACAGTATAACTGGGACCAGTGAGCCTGATATACCATCTGGTTATTTAACATAGCCATTGAAAATCACCATTTTTAATAGGTAAACCATCTATAAATGGGTCATTTTCCATGGCTATGTTAAATAACCAGAGGGTAATGGGTAACCCATATTTTCGTCAAGGCCAGATGCTTAAGATGCGACTGTCGCCAGACTTGGTCACTTACACAGCCCTGGTGCCCTGACGGAACCCAAGGGGAGAGGACATCACTGGACGTTTAACATCGTTTAACCATAAAAAAATGGGAATTCACCATCATTTGATTTATGGAGAATTCATATGAATTAATCAGCTGAAATGATGATCTATAAAACCAAACCAGAGGTTTTAGCCAATATGGATATGGGTGTGTCTGAAAATGGGCTACAGTATACCGTGGTATACCCTGAAAATGGCGACTTGTTTCAGGAAAAATGAGGAGACACCAGTGGATTTTGGGCTTTTCTCCCAAATGTTCAGACAACTCCTTTCAGGAGATCTTTTCAGCTATAATACATATTTACATAAGCTGGTTGGTGGTTTGGAACATGTTGTTATTTTTCCATATATTGGGAATGTCATCATCCCAACTGACGAACTCATATTTTTCAGAGGGGTAGGTATACCACCAACCAGATAAGTTTTGTCATCACCCATTCCGGGAACCCGTAGTCCATTCAAAGTCGATCACCTGTGTTTTCGCCAGGTGTCCAGTGCCACCAGTGCCAGCATGTCCACCATTGCTTTGCAAGTGCTGGAAGATATGAGAAACTTGGCGAGTTTGGCGAGTTAATGGTGATATTAGAAAGGAGCGGTACTCTTGGAGTTGTCATTGCTATTTAGGAAACAATCACTTGATATCACTTGCAAAATATCATCACTTTGGCCCTTTCTTGAGAAACTTTGGTGTTCATATGGAGTTGTCAACGAGTTCTGGTTGTTATTCCCCACTGGGGAATCTAAGGAGCTACTAAGAGTTTGCCAATGTATGATTGTTCGCCTTTTCCCCCCAAACATGGTGGAATGGGTAACGAAAGTTGTCAATGATCTTCAATTGAATGAAATTACAATTTTCAAAATAAAACAATATCATATATCATATTGATATATGTTATATATATATATAAGACATACACATATGTATGTTCCACGGATGTTTTTTTTTTTTTTGGGGGGGGGGCAGTGGGAGTAAAGTAAACAGCTTGGGGCTGCGGTGAACTTGCTGGGTTGTTTTTTCTCCTTTTTTCAGGACCTTCAAAGTGGTTTGAAACCATCATGAATCATGAACAATCCAAGATTTGATCAATGATGGAATATACAATGAGTTATATGACATTTGAGTTACCATTTGAACAATCCTCATATTACCACCATTATATGAGATATATGACCTAATGTAGTGGTAATGATGACAATCCACTGTGGGAAATCCTGTTAATCAACCAGTACAGTAATGGGTGACTGCCCTTTGCTGCCTACCAGCCGAGGGATCTTCTGCACATCAGGGCATCAGGGTTGTAGCATGCACATATATGTTGAATATAAATACATATTATGTTGACATATGCACTTACCCGTGTATAATTATATATTACATTATATTACTATGTATGTATGGATATACATATATATATATACATATGTTATATATATGTGTGTGTGTTATATATACATATATATAATTTCACATATATATATATATATATACACATGCATAACTATTGATATGGACATGTTTAATCATATGTTAACATACATGTATAGTAATTATTTAGATATGTCTGTATACATGTACATATGTTAATATACATACATGTTGTATAATGATTTGTTGATGTTGGTGGTATCTCCTTTGTTACCGTTGATGTCCCCATGCCAAACGGCTGCTCCGCTTAGGATCGAACTTGGTGCAACCCCAATGCCTGGCAGTCACTGCTGCATTGCATGCCTGACCCTTGTCACGCAGGTTGATATGGTTTTATACGTGGTGTTTTTTTTATGTTTTATAATAGGTTGGAAATGGTTTACCGGTACTTTAACATAATATATATATATATATATTACTTATTTGGAATAGATGGACCATTCAGTTCGATAATTTACTTGTGTTGTGTTGTTGTTTTGTTGTTTTAAATATATTAATATATATATATAACTCTTAAATCAGGAGGGTATGGATAGCATCACATAGGGATGGACATCCTTTAATGGAGTAGCGGTAGTAATAGATGTTCTGTTGCCATCATTTTCATCCTACTACAGGTACTGCCCCTTCACTACATTGATATTATTTAAACTTTGTGTCCTTCCGTCAAAGAATGACAAAGATGTACCAATTCCGACAGAACGTCTGCACATATTTGTCTATGTCGGCTGCACGTATTCGTATGTTCTATAGCTCTATGCCCACTATTCCAGGAACATGCTACTTCTGGCTGTTTATGCACCCGCTATTGATTTGATGTCGATTTTCATGTTCATGTCCTACCATCGTTTGTTGGATTTACAAGTAACTTAAATAATTCATCCACGGGTATCACTTGTCTTGCGCATTTTGGGATATTCCCTCACCCAGCACCAGCGATTCGTGAAGTTTACTACTTTTGCGAGCATTGCTAAACGGCGATCCTGCTGGTGATGTACAGATTTTTTGTCATCACTTGTGATTTTTCCAGGGTATCCCTTGCAGTGTTTCTTGCAGTCCCTTCGTTTTCATGGCTTGAAGCAGCTTGGGACACCATTGACCCTCTGGGACACCATGAGTCCCCATCAGCAGCCCAGTGGAATCCCCTGGTGAATTCCCCATGGAATTCGTGAGTCAAAAAAAAAGTGGATTGTTGCTAAATACTGTAAAAAAAAACGCGTAGCATTTAATTCCGGATCAATTTCAGTTAAATGTGCTTGGAATTGCATTCAATCTCATTCAATGCAATTCCCCATGTCCATTTCAATCAACAAGAAAAGTGACCTTGGCGATTGAAAAAGGTAATCTCAACCATCTATTCTTGGAAGGTTAATCAACAGGGAATGGTGGCTGATTACCAATGATAGTTAGATTTATCATGTCCCATGATATCCCATTCTTTTGTGCACCATGTGTGATAGCCTTGTTGGTTAAACCAGCCATTCTCAGAGAGTCAAACCCAGTATATACTTCGGCTGGTGAGACCCGTTATTTTGTATCCGACCATAAACCACAATTTACCTAGCAACTTAGCTAAAATTTCCCAAGAGAATTGTATAGAATAATGTGTAATAGTGTGTATATCTAGAATATATATATATATACTTTTTACTAGTATATATATATATATCTTAACCTTGTATATTTCAAAAATCCTCCAATTTTTTAGGCGAACGCACTTCGGCCTGGCGCCATGCCCTCGCCACCTACGCCACCTATGCCGATGCCGTGGGGGTGGATGCAACGGGGCGGCAGGCCTTGCTGGGCGCGCTGCTCGGGGCGGGCAGCTTCAGGACGTGGCGGCAGATGTTGTGGAAGAATGGGGACTTCATGCATGATTATATATATATATATCATATATATATATATACACATTTATATGTTTATAAGATTCATTAGGGTTCAATGCGGTGCCCAGTTAATCCCAGTTAGTTATGATCAATTATGTTTGTTGGTTTATAACCCAACTAGTTCGATGTATCTACCGGAAGTCCTAGTTATTCGAGTTATGATTACCAACTTAGCTATCGACCAGGAGCACCAAAATTGTTTATCTAGGAATCAAGAACTGAATTAAACCATCAAAAAAGATTAATATTTGACCACTTAGCTACAAGATTGGCCAACCATGTAGTCGTTCTTCAAAAATGGTGGGAACATACCAATAATAATCCACAAATTGGGAGTCTACCGTCCCCACTAAGCACAAAAACTCGGCGTGGAATTAGCATATAGCCCAGTTGGGCATGGATGATAATTACATTTGGGTTTCTACAGAGACAAACAATTGTAGGAATATCTTGGACTTAATGAAGCAACGTAATTTCCAGGATGTTTCATGGTTCTGGTATAATGTATCAACATGAATTATAGAGTTGGTTTGGTTGTAAATGTTGGTTTTGGTTTCAAATGTTGGCGCATATCTCAAAACATGTTCATTTAAATCGGATATCTACATGATACATATATATATAGAGGTTGAACTTGAACTTGGTAAAGTAAAGAAAACACCATGTATCTGCATGCCATTCTTACATTTGTTTTAAAAGAGCAGGGTACTGGTAGAAACATGGGCAACGACAATAATGCTGGGCTATAATTACCGATGGCTTGCTATGATATTTGATAGTAAATGGGATCGAAACTAGTCTTATGCGGGGTTACAACTATACATCATATACCATCTGGTTATTTAACATAGCCATGGACAATCACCATTTTTAAGTTCGGTAAACCATCTATTTCTATGGGCCATGTTCCATGGCTATGTTAGTCATAACCAGAGGGTATATGAACTCCAGGACTTTCGGGCAGCTTTTGCCATCCACCCACAAGCGCTGCCTTCACTGGCTGATTGAGGGCTGCTTCAACGACTTTGTGCCTACGAACAGACTCTCGAATGCGCAATGAAAGAGGAGAAATAGGACACTCCAAAGTGCCATAGCACTACCTGTTCATCAAGATTCTATATGCATACTCGCTACAAAAGACCAAAAGGGCGTAACGCAACAAGCGCAACTATCCTAAAATACGGGTCGAAGGATGTTCCAACGTCAGCTAAACTATTTGTTTCTACCATGATATCCCAGATAGCCCACATAGAACATGTCCACTACTATTTGATTATATACTGTATTACATATGTTTCAACTGTTGAATACAATATAAATATATATATATATTATTACATACAGATATCATGTATTTGTGGATATACAATGATATATATATATATATATACCCAGGAAGTCCAAGTCCAAAGACTATTCAAAAAAAAAACAGTTTCCCCATGTTAGACGATTCTGTGGCACTTGTCACGCGAATCACGATCGTCATGCTTGTCACACGTATCATCCGGCATTCCCAAGCGCCACATCATTCCAGATAATTTTTGTAGCACTTTTTTAACATACATTCTGCCACCCATGCTGCGACGTGCGGTGAAACCCATTTTGAAGGACTTTTTAGATCTTTTTAGTCTTAAAGGCAGTGGCTCTTGTGTTAGTAGCGATTCAGGGCATGAAAGCCACGTGAGTCGCCACTACTATTGTTGTTTGTCCAGTGTCTTCTTTCTACAGAATCCTGTAACTTCAGGCTGCCCTTTGGAAGATAGTGGAAACGATTGGGTCCCAGATGGCCTAGTTGGTGCCCAGACATCTAGTTTTGATTGTTCTGCCTAAATGCAATAATTCTTGTTTTCCAATGAGAAAATACGCTGAAACCACGCCAGAACCACGCTAGAAAATAGGCTTTTCCCACGCGCAATTTCTACGCGCAATTTCTCATGGCATGCTATGGCTGCATTTCTCCACTACACAAAGTGGAATGGGGGCCCATGGGGCATGACTTAAGTGCTCAACATCATCAACCTGCTATGGCGTAGCAAAGTAGCAGGGATGGTTGGACCGATTTGACATGATTTGACACTATCCATCATCTAAATTTCATCTAATTAATATAGATAAATTCGAGCTTAATAGACCTACAAGTGAGATGGCTTGACCATGACAACGTTCTAAAATAGTATTCGCATGTGGAAATTGCCCAGTGTTGGCTTTCAACACTAAATTGCATACAACCCAGGTCAAAAGGCTATAGCACAGTTAAAATGCCCAGGAGCCCCATTAAAAACTTCAGAATTTGCCAGCAATAGTCTTTTCCAACGACCATTTTAAAAATAGTCTTCGACCGTCAGGGTGTGTATATATATATATATACACACACACACCCTTTTTGCTCCATGTATGGAATATTTACCAAGATCTCCCCCATAGATGACACAGTTTTGCGCCTCCCAAGGTAGCCCTGCCGGCAGTATCCGCCCGGATCCTGCTGCTTTGGATAGCAATGCCTTCAGGCGTCCGCGGGTCCCCGTCAAAGGGAACGTTGGTCCTCTGGTTTCATGGGAACCCTGGGAGAAATAGAGACGTAACCATCAAAAAAGCATGAAATATTGTATTTAACCATCAAAAATTAGGATTTTAACATCAAGAACTAACATAGATGTGGACAACCAATGGCTTCCTTGGGAAAATGATCTCCACGTGATTGGTGTTCCACATCTATGTTAGTTGACAGCAGGGTAATCAAGGTAATAATGAGATTTCAAAGATGTTACACCCCATACCCTCTGATAATTGAATATGTTGCTATTGTATAGATGGCCAGTTTAGTTAGATTATTTGCATATGAAAAAATGCTCATTGTCCCATAGCAAACTGTTAAAGTTACGGGTACCCGCAAACAATTGTATATAATTTATCAGACAGACAATTGCTATATTGACCAGCAAACATGTATGAACAAGGGGGTTATAGTCTATATAGTCTGTGTACAACCAGTAAAACCCAAGTTGGGTCTGAACATCTTTGCAACACGTTGCCATCCCATGGTATTGTCCAAATATGTCCAAATCATGTTCACCATTAAGAACATATTTTGGATGTATACTGTATACATCATTTTTGGACGCACCCATATATTTGATCAAATGGTGACAATTACCCATGGGTTCTGCACTGCAAGTCTAGTTAGCTTATATATATATATAATAATAATAACAATATTATTATTATGTTTATTATTATTATATATATAATTATATATATATACCAACGCCATCAGGAACATCGAAATCCTTAGGCCACTCCAGAAAAGAACTGTTTTCCATAAATTCTTGTGTTTCTCCGGGTTTTGGTGTGTTTTCTCGTGCTTGTTGCTGATTCTCATGCCACTGCTGTGTTTCTTGATTTCCCCCCATCATGCTCATGAATTTGATTAATCTTCACTCGCGCTGTCTGTGTTTCGCAGCAAGCAGTCTGTCAGCGATGTGATGCATCTATCGCCAAGCCATGAATCCGCTGGCGGTTCCAGGCAAAGAGGCTGCATAAAAAGTGTCGTCAAGGGCGCCGAAACAAAGCCACCTCAGAAGTTCACATTGCAAATCTCACTTCCCAAGCCTGTCTTCCAACAACATGCTCAAAATCAACACTCCTGAGTAAATTGGTTACGGAACAGGTGTCTGTGCGGTGTCCGTGCCATGGCTGGTGCCATAACAAAGATTATCTGGAAAAAAAACGGTAAACATTGGCCAAGGTGGGGCTTGGATTTGGAGGAATACATGTGCCAACTCCGGATTTTCTCGTTCCTTTTTCTCATGCTCCCTCCGACTTTTCTTGTATTTGTCCGCCTTTTCTCGTGCAAAGTCCGGGTCTGAAATTTCTCCGGGTAATGGCGTTGAATTTCTCCGGGTGTACTTGTGCCACCTCCTAGAATTCTCGTGCCTGTGGTCTGTGGTGGCCATGTTTTCCATCTGTCCGAGCTCCTCACTCGCCCAAGATCTGCGTTGGGAAGACAAGTTTAGAAGCAGAGATTTCCATAGATACCAGTCCGACGGCTCGTCAACTCTGTCACGAAGGGAGCTCTTAGTGGTTCCGTGGTGTGGAACAGTCTTAAGGTGAAGCTGCCAGGTGAAGCTAACCACTGCTCAGCTCAGTCACTGCTCAGTCCCCGCCTCTGAGAAAGGGAGGGCGGATACAGTCACAAGATGATTAATCCTTTCCCCCTAATAGTAAACGTCCCCCCCTATTAATAAACACGTCAGATAGTTTTTAGTATTGGGGGGGTATTTATTATTAGGGAACCCTATTAATAAAATTAAACCCCTTAATAATAAAAACTAGTTTTTTTCGATCTCAAAATCAATTATATAAATATATAAATTTCCTTATATAACGCAATTAAAATATTGCCAACAAATGGATTTCGAAGCGGACCCTATTAATAAAATGTTCAACCTTAATAATAAAAACTAGTTTGATCAATTAAATTTCCTTATATAACGCAATTAAAATATTGCCAAAAATTGGATTTCGAAGCGGACCCTATTAATATTTTTTAAACCTTAATTTAATAATAAAAACTAGTTTGTTCGATTTCAAAATCAATTAAATTTCCTTATATAACGCAATTATTTTTTTCACAAAAACCTAATATAAAACTAAAAAAAATTGGACGGACCCTAATAATAAACCCCCCGGGGGTTAACTAGTTTTTATTATTAGGGGACAAAACCCACAAATGGTAGCTTGATTTTTAAATTGTGTTCTAAAGGGGATCAATTAAAAGTCAAATTGGCCAATCTGAAATTTTCCGAAATTAGAGATGGACCCTAGTTTTTAGTATTTGGGGGACGTTTAGTTAATGGGAAAGGATGATGAAAAAGGGGCTCAAAGGGCCACGCGGGTTGAACAACACTGTGATCACTGTCACAGTAACACAATCAAATGTAAAACAATGACACCTGAATGTGTTGAAATCTGTAACTTACAATCAAACATGATCAAACATGGAACATGCAGCTCATTTCAAATTAAAAACATGCCTTAACAGGGCAGCCTGTTTGGGTAACGTCATGGGCACCTCCGGGCGCTTTGAACCCGCGTCGCCCTAAGCATCTGACTGTGGTTTTGGCAGCGCAAGCGCTTCTCATTTTTTTCCCTCAAGAGACCACGCTCCAACAAGTGGATTTTCCGGCTGGTCCACAAATGTAATGGTATAGGATGTTGAAAGTTGTTTGCTTCTTAATCTTGCGTCTTTGCATCATCAAAAAATGAACTGTAAACATGAGCTGAACCTCCGCAATGCCGGTGGAATCCACCAAAGGCAAGTGCTGTAACCAAAAAGGTAAGCTGTGGCAAAAATAGGCTGTTATGTAACAGGCCCATGTAGAAATTCTCGTGCCAAAATGTGCTGGCACAACTATTCCCGTTCCACTCAGGAAAAAATGTGTTTTTTGTAAAATCATACCAATCCGGCTTTTCTGAGGTAGCTGGTGTATATGTGTGGCATATATATATATATATATGTATATGTCCCGTTGCTTTAAATGTTATAATATTTGTCAATACTTGTTTCAAAGGGACTCCGGATCCCTCCAGGCTTGCTGCGTCGCTCACCCCCTCAGTGTCTTCTGAACGCTGTGCTGCGTCACTTTGGCGAAGACGCACGACCACTCGACGGTTGATGAGAGCCGCCAGGTTGCAAGCCCTCTAGTAAACTCAAACGGTTATGGATCAATGACGTTGATTATATCTAGAAAAAACACATTATGTAAATAGTTTTGCCAAACATCCGTTTCCAAGCTATTTTGATGTTGGGGTACAAGGTTTTGGTAGATCCCCAAATCGAACCTTTCGCGTTTTTTTGTAAACTATTTCAGGCAATGATAAGTGCATATATGATATGATATATGTGTCAAATTCAAAATATTTTACAGCAGGAATTGCATGGTTTATAATAAGAGGCTATTGTTTACTGCCAAACATAACCATTTGATACCATTTGTGGATGCATTGGTACCCCGTGTTCGAGTCATGAGCATGCAAAATATGTTTTTCGAACAAACAAATGCAAATCCCAAATACCATCCCTAGAAACTTTGGTTCTCTTCATGTTTGTCTGTGATTTTTGAGCGATTAAGAGGGATAGGATTTGGAAACCCCATTATTCATTGGCTCATGGCTTCCCATCTAGCTGTTCGGGGAATATGGACTTACTCATCATGTAAAGCCCGTTCTCAAGCAATGAAGACAACCTGTGATAGTATAAAAAAAAGTCAAATTAACATTATCCAATTAATACTCAACTATGATCAATAAGACTTGAATTAGGAACTATTGTGTTTCATGCTTTTACATGACATATTGTGAACACATCTTTCTATTAATTAATATTTGGTTTATATCTAAAATTATGATCATAGGCCTAGACAATTCCAATAATTCATGGATCACCAGTTCATTTATATCTTTATTATGATTCATGGGCTTAGAAGACTTAGATATAATTCAAGTGATTGGAATTGTCTAGGCATGAATCCCAAATTGGATCCCAAAATTCCAAACTTCCAGTACAAAGTGGAGCCCCCAAACGATGGCTAAGTTGGTGAGTTTATAACTCCAATATCACTATGGTTTTTGGTACTTTTCTTAACCAACAACACAGTTATAAACCCAAAAAACAGTTGGTTTATAAAGTTTATATCCACCAATAACTATAGTGACTGGTGCCATTAACTGTACTATAGTCAAGTTTATAAGTACCAGTCACCAATAACTATAAGTTAATTTATGGTACTTATAACTACAGTGACTGGTGGTTGTGGCCATTAACTCATCTCCTCCCAGGCCTTAGAACTTGGAGCCCTCGATGCGGCGGAACTGCGCCGTGCGGCCTTTGGCTTGGGAAAATCGGGATGCTGCGTGGCCTTGGAGGTGGGGAATAGCCATGGGGCCATGGCGGAATGGCCATGGGAGATCAGCTGAAATCCATGGGTTTAACCTTTTAAAAAGTGGGAATATGTCATGCTGGATTTATTTTGTGATATATATATATATATGATTTAATCAACTTGATATATTCTATTTTAGGGTGTGGTTGAAATGTTTGGGCGACTACTAGCCTGTTGATGAGGAAAATTAGGTTTAAGACCACTGGAGTCACTGGACTGGGGACCCTCGAGGGTGTTGGAGAATGTAAGCGGGCTGCCTTTAAGAGTAAGGACCCACAAATTATGGATGATTGTTCATATCTGAAACATCCATTCTGGGATGTCAATCATTTTGTCATGTCCCAGCATCTGGAAAGTAGGAATGAATGCAACATCCTGCAAACGTTCTGGATGCTTTTAACATGTTTTGATGATATATATATATATATATACATGTTCCAGCCTGGGATCGTCAACCACTTTTTCCAACGGTACTTTTGTTTGAGATGTTTTGTTCAGTTGAAACCATGGCGGAGTTAACCATCAAAAACCACAGCCGGGAATATACATTGCAGTCCACGCGTGGATGACAACCCCATGGAGTTTTGACATTGGTGTCTAGTTTTGCTGATGTTGCAGATTCAAATTCGATTATTTGGGTCAGGTAAATCCCCATGATATTTATTGTTTTTTGTTGGGTAATGTGTCTTTGCCAGTTGAACTCCTGCGAGGTGCTGGTCAAATGATATTTGTTTAGCACTTTGAGTCGTTCTTTTACAGGTCAAACCCGTATTAACAAACCAGTTTTATCCGATTTTCGGATTTGCGTTTAGTTTTTCTTTAAACATATCCATAAAACTTAAAAAAATAGCCATAAGAATCACTGAACATTCCTTGGTTTCCTTTAAACAATTCGGTTTTTGTTGGTGAACGGTTGCTTTCTACGGCACCGCTGCAGGAGCTGTACCTGGCACCGACGACTGTCTTACCGATGGTTCCTACGCTTCGGATCGAAGCAAACACGGAGTGACTTGGTTTCAAGCTTGGAGACCCAAAAAACATCTACTGGACATATTAGATATCAATTTAGATGTATCCATGCTAACATAATATTGTGATATATTGTGTACTATTCCTGACAGGTCTACATGTTTTATTATGACTCTATATATAGCATTATAAATATATGTATATATGTACATACGTGTACACCAAAACAGCATGCAAAACAGTTGCAAGCAAAATTGTCACTGGATTTGCAATTGTAACGCAGCATAAAGTAATGCAAATTTTTGATTTATTGTATGCATATACAATATCATTTGCCAGTTTAAGGTGCTACCTGCACTTGGCTGTCCTAGGCAGCCAGAAATGCCCTGTGAAGTCAGCATGTTTCATGTTTAAGAAAGTACGGTCAGGTTTTGATTCCAACAGAATTGTCAAAATACTGGTGGTTAGCAGGGAATGAGGGAATGATCCATAATCACTAGTAATAATCATCCCATTCCCCAATTCCCATCCATTCCCTACTAGGCACCAGTAAGTCAAACTACTCAATGAATTTACTCTTGTCTCGAAGCCACAGGGGATGAGTCAATGCCCACAGGACCATCGCATGTCCCAATGACTTGTCAGGAAAATGTCAGTCATGGCATGTTGATTTATCGGGCCGGTGTGCAACTGTGTAGATAATTCTTGTTTAACAGTTTTAGGTGGAGGGTAGCATGGCCCACTACATATAACTCGTATAACTCGTTCGAAATACTTCAGAAGCAGAGTATGAGTATATCATATCCATTTATTTTAAAATCACAGCAATATTCCATGAGAGTTCAGTAATATCATCCCATGTTACCATATGTTACCAATATCACCTCCATTTTTTCGGATCAATCCCCCAAAAAAAAACAGCAACAGGGCTGAGAGCAACGCTGTGTATAATCCAAGGTAGCTGGTGGCTTTGCAGTCCGGAGGGTCGTAAAGTCATGAGATGTTGGTTTCAACGTAATGTAACATATCTGGTAAATAAACAGTTGGACCCTGAAATAACCAATTTTTAATGGAAACTAATCTTCCAAGTCCTATTTGCCAGGGTCTATGTTAATTTACCAGAGGGTAACATATGTGATGTGATGTGTTGTAATGTGATATGATCTGGTTGGTGGTTTGGAACATGAATTTTATGACTTTCCACTCAGTTGGGAATTTCATCATCCCAACTGACGAACTCCATCATTTTTTAGAGGGGTAGGTATACCACCAACCAGTCACTATTAACGATTATTAACCATTACTAACCATTACAAACCATTATTGATGGATTTATATGCTTCATGTTCTCCTCATTTTTCCGCCAAGTTGGCGGAGCAGCGCGCGTGCACAAGACTTGGTGACTGTGCTGGACTTGACCCTGAGGCACCGCCAGGGAACCCTTCAAGCGTGGGCAGCAATGTGGGAAACCCAATAAAATCGCTAAAATTTAGGGATTGTTTATAGGACCCATTTATGGATATGGTATGACATGGTGATTTTGGGGATGGTTTACTGGACTATTGGGCTTGCTAGCATTACTTTACTGTTAATGGGGTAGACACTCATCAGTGTGTGTGTTTTTTGAATGGAGATCTAAGTTTGGCGAGTGCGCAAGTGTAGGGATTTAATGATTTTACATGATGTTGCCACAAAAAAAATATGATGTCCACCAAAAAATGATTTCCACGCGTAGACAATACAAAGAACTAGGGATTTTTCAATAGACAAGTTCCAACAACACATTTTGTTCGCTCAGGGGACAAAGATTTTTTTGGATTTAACCAATTTAAACCACCAAAATACCGAGATTTCAGCAAAGAACATGGGAATTAAACAACGTGGGAACCACGATCATCTTCATGGGGATGGAACCACCAAAAACAGCGGGGAGCAAAAATATTGCTATACTATTTACAGTATACAGTGGAAACATGTTTTTTTTGGTTCCATTTTTGGTTTGAGCATCATGAACCATGAACCAAAATTTGGTGTACCCAATCTGGTTGATGAGTTCCACCTCACCTTGGGGGTTGGTTGTTGAATCTCCATGTTGAGCGAAATCCCAAACCAGCGGTGCATCATTTTCCCCATGGCATTGTCTGTTTTGCGTTATATACAATCAATTACAATTATATACATAGTATATATTATATATATCGTGTATATATTGTATAGTATGTATATATATATAGTGTATATTAAGTATAGTATATATATATATAGTGTATATATATATATATATATATATATATACAGTGTGTGTGTATATATATATATATATATTTATATATACAGTGTATATATATATATAATTCGTTCAAAAAAACATGTGGTTTCCATAAAATCAATGTTATTTTTGGTGACTCGTTGCGCTGGAGGTCAAGGGGCTTCCGCCTTTCCAGTATGCTGCTGGTCCATCCGCTAGCAAAAAGATGGCCGCGGGGAATTGGGGATGGATGATACTGGGGTGATTGTGATGGAGATACCCTCTGGTAACCTAATATAGCTATGGAAAATCACCATCTTTCATAGGTAAATCAACTATTTTTATCAATAGCTATGTTAAATTACCAGAGGGTAATTTAGCTCTGTCAGTTTTGAAAAGTTACCATGTAATAGTTACCATTTAAAATAGATAAAAGCATAAATAGTTTTGATATTGCGGCAATTGTGATATACTTAGCTCTGTAAGTTTTGAGCTCTGTAACATATATATTAGCCGTTACTCCTGTACATTATACAATCGGGATAACTGTGATATTACCTTAGATAACCACCCCTGCAGATCCAGTGACTTTGACGATATGTGGAGCCAGGAAGCTGAAATTTTCGAGCGGCAAACACGGGGGGTATCAGAACCGGGTCCTGAATATGGCTGCCTGGTGGTTTCAAGTTCTTCCAGTCATACATTTGTCATGTTTATCCCCACATCAAATTCATTAACCGGTGTTGAATGGGCCATGAGTAGTAATGTGATTAAAACGGTGCCATAAACCCAAATCACCATGTTTATAGGTGGTATGCTTACCATTCCCTTAAATGGGTGGTTTATGGCACTGTCTTACCTACATTACAGTAATCATAACTATGGAAAATCACCATTTCTATAATAGGTAAATCAAGGGCCATCTATACAATAGCTATGAGTAGTACTGATGATGCAATATGCCCACTTATATCTTGGATTGTTTATATGGGTTTATATGGGTTATATATGGATTATACACCATGATACACATGGGGGTAAACCCGAAAATAGGGGTACCCCCAGTCATCATCCCTATGTTAGAATCGGATTTTGCCTTTTACCCTCTGGTAATTTAACATAGCTGTTGAAAATGGCCCATAAAAATAGTGGGTGTGCCCATAAAACATGGTGATTTCCCATAGTTATGTTAGTTTACCAGAGGGTAAACCACCCATTTTGGGTATCCCCATGACATGATATCAATCCAGCAGTCCAGGACCAAGAGTCTCCAGGAGAACCTGACGTGAGGATCTCAGATCCCAGCGTGGCATGTTGTTTTTTTTTCCCCCGAAAAAATGGGGACTCACCGAGCAAACAAAGGTTGAGTATGGGTGAATTATACATATTATATATTATGTATATATAATGCAGATATTAGATATAATTATACATATTATATTATAAATATTGTGTATCCTATATATATACATTATTTTTAGTACTATTATTGGTATTATTTTATATATTATATTATTATTATTATTACTATTATTATTATTACTATTATTATTGTTATTTTTATTATTATTTTAATTACTATTATTATTATTTAATATACTAATTATATTATAAATATAATATAATAATATATATATATATATTATAGCAATTTTTTGGTTACACCAAATTCATGATTCATCTGAAAATTGCAGAAGCAACACCAACTGAGATTTCACCGTGAAGAATGGGAATTGACACAAAAACGGCAATTTCAGCAAGAAACATGGCGACTCGACCAAAAATATGACTGTAACCAGAAATCTGGCTGTAAGGAACAAGAACTCAGAAATGAAGCAACAAAAACTGGATATACACCCCAAGAGATTATTTTGTATGGGTATAGAGCAATGCAACATGTTTGTTTGTTCTTGACATGTGCGATGGTCTCCATAGGGGAGGATGGTCATCAATCCCTCGAAAGCAGGCCAATAGGAGGGGTTGATATAAACATTGGAAGGAATCCGTGATGGTGGGATAACCAGGGTCTGTTGTATCGCCAAGGTGATACCCAAAGAGCCAGGACCAGAGCAGGCACCAAATCACTCAGCCGGGCTTGCATTGATCCACAGCAACTATGGTCGTACTTGGCAAATGGTAGGCGTTTCATGGCATTTCTTTTTGTATATGCCATTTGCAACTCAACCATGAAGCGGTTGAGTGCGAGCTCCAAGGCAGTGTATGTACAATATATATATATATACACACATGTATAGATAATACTCGTATGATACAAGTGGTCAGAAGTTTCTTCAAGAAAGAACTACATAGATTGGTTGTGGCAATTGCAGCTCAGACTTGGATTTTGTTGCTTCAACTCGCAATTTTGCAAATGCTTTGATAAATAGTTGATAACTAAATTCCGGGCTAAAGTAGCAGCTTGAGCGGACTACAGGGTTGAGCAACTTTACGACTATCTCATCCATGTGAACAGCCGGTCTTAAACTTCCAAAATATAGGCCTTTATACGCCTATCTAGCCATATGTTTGATAGAGCTTGGTGGAGAAGGCCATAGATGTCGAAGGTAACCCATTGAATCTCTGCCATCCCCTTGACTTGGGCCCCGGCCCATCTCGAGGTGACAGCTGTAGACCTCCAAATGCGTGATGGAAAAATGTCAGGAGCTTAGAGGATGGCTTATGAAAATGGATCGAAATTTGGGGTACTCTAAAATAGCTGGGGCACATGGATGTTTCTTCCCCCAAACATGGTAAGGAAGTGGAAAATATAGTATGTATGTATGTGTATATATATATATATATGTGTATATATATATATGTATATAATATGTTTAAGTTTACATATTTGGCTGGGGCACATGGTGACTCTCGCCTTTGCACTACATTCTGCAAATTGCACCACGAGCGAAATCATTGCCGAGCTCCTCGCCGTAGCTCTGTAAAGAAATGGCTAGGGATCTGTACACTGGCGCCGACCTGCAATGATTGCAGAGTGTGATACACATACATATATATATATATATACAAAGTGTGATATGTGTATGTATATATATATATATCATACATATTCCTTCCATTTTGGGTTTGTTTGCAGGGTTGCTCCAACCAAGTATAGAAAAATGATAGGCACAGAGGGTCTAAATAAATTCTTCATTTGACATCGCCTTGTAGTTGGTGTGTAGGGAGCAACCCTGTTATGGGCCTCAACGTGGCTTTTCACATCTCCTAAATTAAGACTTTCAATGGGAAAAACGAACGATTTATTGCAATTTAATTGAAGCTGTGATGCTAAACCATGGGATTTTGGGGTACAGTGTATTATATTTTCAGACAAATCAGACTACCTCTGCTGTAGTTCATGGATGAACGCTCCTCTACAAGGCAGGTATATGCATTTTACTTTTAATACTGCTCTAGTCTTGCGGTATAGTTGAAGAAACCATTATCCGTAAGCATGATGTCAGCTGCTCGGTGCTGAATTTTCAATCCTTCACCTAGGACCTAGTGACGGGTGACCAAGGGTTGAAGTGAAGATGATAAGATACAGCTGGCATGGCTGGCATCATGCATCAAGACACACTTTTTCCGGTTGGATGGTTCCATTTCTTCAGACTTCTGATTGATGGTTTGGAACATGACTTTTATGACTTTCAATATATTGGGAATTTCATCATCCCAACTGACGAACTCATATTTTTCGGAGGGGTAGGTATACCACCAACCAGTCATTGTTGGTAACAATTGGTAACCTCCCCATCCAGTTGCGGAGCCTACTGTTATTACATGGTTCATACGAGATGGTTTACGTAATCCCAATGATAAATGGTAAGTCAATGCAGCATAGCTATGAATGATAAATGGTAAGTCAATGCAGCATAGTTATGGAGAATCACCATATTTAATACATATATACCCTCTGGTTATTTGACATAGCTATGGAAAATGACCCATTGATAGATGATGTACCTATTAAAAGTGAGGATTTTCCATGGCTATGTTAAATAACCAAAGGCTATATAATTATAGATCTATATATCTATACATATGTCAGTCATACATTTTCATGGAGCAGTTTCATCCATTTTAACCGTAGCTTTCTGGGCAGCCCAGTTTTCCCTGGCAGGTTTCAAGTTCTTCGGAACATCGCTGATGAGGCCCTGGGATGATATGGGATGATTTCCGAGCAAACCATGCTTGATTCCCGGAGGGTATATTATATATATATATACATATCTATACATATCTATACATATCTATACATATCTATACATATCTATACATATCTATACATGTCTATACATATCTATACATGTCTATACATATCTATACATATCTATACATATCTATACATATCTATACATATCTATACATATCTATACATATCTATACATATCTATACATATCTATACATATCTAAGCGGTTAACCATGTGTGTAAATATCCCGCATTTTGGATTGAAGTCTTGCAACCCAACTCGTTTTTTTTAAACCTCGTTTTAGGGTCTTGAAGATTGGGGAAGATTTGGGGAACACAATACATGGATGATCGTTTCATATGATTATTTTATGTTTTGTTAGGGCAACCAAAACTCATAAACAATGATATACCATGATTTAACAGATGAATTGCTCTACGAATCATGGATGATTTAAGATCTGTTGCGAGAAAAGCACTGTGGTACAGTAGTTGGAGACTGACAGCGGCCCTTAACTGGACACACATTGATTTTTTCTCAGATTCTTGGGTCAATCTTAGCCATGAATTCAGAAATTACAACCAACTTAAGACGATTCATGGCTAAGACTGGCCAGGCCTTCCAATTCGTTGCCATCCTTTCTTCTCACGTGGCAGATGCCGGCAATTGTGAAGCAAATGGCCGAGAAGACCCAGGTGCAGGGCACAAAGGTGATGATCCCATGATTTTAGATGGGTTTTCCTATGATTTTCCCATGTAAACATCTATTTGTGTATGGTTTTCCCGTGATTTTCTTATGTGAACATTTATTGTTGGTGAGTTTTCCCATGAATTTTTCCCATGTAAACCATGAGTTTCCCATGTAAACCTTCATTTGTCGTTGGGTTTTCCCATGATTTTCCCAATATAAACCTCTATTTTTGTTGGGTTTCCCATGAATTTCCCATGTAAACCTTCATTTGTCGTTGGGTTTTCCCATAATTTTACCATGTAAACCTCTATTTAACCGCCTTCAGCGTGTTCCGCCGGCAACCATGGAAAGAGCTATCCTGTAGGCTGCAAACAGCCCTTGCGCAGGCCCAGCAAGATCATGGTTTTTGTGTAAAACATTGTGTTTGTGGATAACACAGTTTTTGTGTAAAACAGCTCTTTGTGCAAAAGATGGTTTGGACGCAAAGACATTGGTTTTGTTCAAACCACGGTTTAAGTTTAAACCAAAGCATGTGTGTTGACCAGGGTTTTGGAAAAGGCCATATTGAGAACGGCTTTGGAAAAGGCCATATTTAGAAAGGTTATGCGTGTAAAAGGTGTTCGGCACAAAAGCCAGTGGATCAAGTATTGGATATAAGAAGCGACGGAGCAAATCGATGATCGATGGCAAACACAAAAATAACGGAAACAACCATCGAAATGACAGCGGGGTTGGGTTCAAGTTAGACGAGGCAAAAATCCGCGCCAAGGGGAAAGTCTAGACAAGACAAAGACAAAACAGACAGTATAACTGCGAACAAGCAAGATCCACAAGACACGCCGGCAGGCCGGCGGATCTTTGTTAGGTTTTCCCATGATTTTCCCATGTGAACATCTATTTTTGTTGGGTTTCTCATGAATTTCCCATGTAAACCTTCATTTGTCGTTGGGTTTCCTCATGATTTTACCATGTCAACATCTATTGTTGTATGGTTTTCCTGTGATTTTCTTATGTGAACATTTATTGTTGCTGGGTTTTCCCATGAATTTCCCATGTAAACCTTCATTTGTCGTTGGGTTTCCTCATGATTTTACCATGTAAACATCTATTTTTGTATGGTTTTCCCGTGATTTTCTTATGTGAACATTTATTGTTGCTGGGTTTCCCATGAATTTCCCATGTAAACCTTCATTTGTCGTTGGGTTTTCCCATGATTTTACCATGTATAAATCTCTATTTGATGGGTTTCCCATGATCTTTTTGTTGGGTATTTAAGGAATTCCCTTCCCATTGCGACGCGACAGGTCTTGGTGACACGCGTGGACCACGAGCATGCGGAGCGCTTAGCCCGGGAGGCCTGCACCATGGGTACCCCTGGAGGGTTTGTGATGGAAAGTTCTTCTAAAATGGATGATTTGGGGGTACCCCCATGGATTGGAAACCTCCATAATATGTATGTGGATTATGTGGATATATATATATATGTATGTGTAAATATATATATATATTGGTATACATGATACATGAAGGTTTCATTTCATGTTTTTTTGGGAGAATTCATGATCTAAACTATGAGCCTTGTATGCCAATACTGTTCGTCGGGGGACTGTAGCTTATTGTTCTTGACAGATGGAATGATACCAACAATCCGCAAGGTTTTTTGGGATCAGAGGAGTTGAAACCACCGAGCAGTCTAGTGGAATGAGGTCATAAATTCAAGTTGTTGTTTTTTTTCCATTGTTATTTTTGTAAAGATACCATTCAGTACTGTATGATGACATATGATGATTGTGTCTGGAGGTGTCTCATCACAGCGATAGATAGCGCGACAAGAGCAGCGTTCCTTCGTTTCAGAATGCTAGCGGCTAAAGTGGGCGAGTGGATGGTTTCTCCAGTCTGTTGGTGGTTTGAGGGATTACCCTTTGGTAAACATACAAAAAGTTATGGACAATCGTCATCTTTAAGTTCGGTAAAACAACTATTTTTTATGGGCAATTTTCAATGGCAAACTGTTCAATTACCAGAGGGTAACAAGTTTAAACGACCGCCAGGTATGATTGGTGCAGCTTAGACTTAGAGTCGAGTATAGTCGAGTTATTATTGTTCAAACCGGTGCGCTTCGCAACAAGCGGTGATACTGCCCCGTTGCTTGTTCAATCATTGTTGGGCTCTTTTTGCCAAACTGATTTATAATCATATTCAAAATGATTTAAAATCATATTCAACATATTTCAACCAGTTCAACCAAGTGATACGTTTCATGTTGACACTTGCATGACAATATGAACCCAGGGAGTTACCCAGTTTCTTAGGCCCACCAAGTTCATCTGGCCATCAGGATCATCCCAGCAACAACATTCTATCCGGTTTCTAACTTAAAACACGTCAGCAAGTTCACTGGTGGTTTCATGTTTTTGTGTTTTAAAACAAGGTACCGGCGCTGATAGCGGACCTGGTGTTCTTAATGGTATTGATTTCAACCATTCTTCCTTGATTTGTTTAAAACTGTGGCGCCGTGACGATTTTGTTGTTTTGCCTTCAATTAGAAATGGCGTTTTCGTCCCACGTTACGCTAGGAATTTATTCATTGATCATTGAATTCTATTGGGCTAAATAATTGGCAAATGTGGATTTGGAAAACGGAATGAAAGACGGCGTTTCGTCCTCTTCTTTTTCTCCCTTCTTGGGTTCAGCGTCTGCGTCTGTTAACCTTAGCTGCCAGTTTGGCGAGACTTCCTTTCACTCCGCCTTGTGGGTCCAACGATAGGCGAAGGACCACACATACTGTTGGATTCGTTGAGAGTCCTTTTGGTAACCTTGTCTTTGCTATGGACGAAGAAGGGCACGAAGCGCTTCAGTTGCATCGTGATAAACCATCATTTGTCAGGTGTGTTCAATCCAATGAACAAACTAAAGAAACTATGAGATGAGTGATGTACGATCCAGACATGATAACAGCCTCTACTCTTGGGAACCCATGGTGTTAGCAGTAGAAAATTCATGGGTCCGATGTCCGGTAAGCAATTGATGTGAAACTCTCAACTCTCAAATGTCAACATTACACGCCTTACTTTGCTCACCTAAAAATAGAAAGACAAGAGACATGTTACAGCGTAGCATCAAAAACGTGTGACAAGTGACCAGGGACATGTTACAGCGTAGCATCAAGAGCGTGTGGCAAGTCACCAGAGACATGTTACAGCGTACCCCTTGCCCCCCCCACCCCCCTCCCCCACCCCACCCGGTTCCCCAAGAAAATCACACTATCGTTTGCGCACAACTTTAACTGACGTGCACAACTTCCAACTGAGGTGCACAACTTCTAACTGACGGGCAATGCGACAGCAAAAAACAGCAAAACCTGCGGGTCCGTTACAGTAACAGCACCGGTAGCTAAAAGGACCATAGAAGTGGATAGATATGGGATGAAATGGGATGATAATGCCCAATGACGTTCATATGAACATGTTTTCAGGGGGTTGACCCAGCTCCAGTAGGATGCCCTGCGCCATGCTAGGCTCACGTGGAAGAAGCCTTGAGCACCTTGAGTCGTAAGGTTCCAGCGGCAAAACGGCGGAAAAACGATGCTTCGGTGCTGATGGGTTCTACAATATACGGGTTTATGTAACTATATGTAAACTATATGTAAACTATACAATAACTATACATGACTATACTATGACTGTCTCTCTCTCTGTATATATATATATATACATACATATATATATATTTATATGGGTTTGTACAACCATGAGTCTATGTATATTGTAAGCACCAGAAAAATGGGAAAACCATAGAATAATAATTATGCTCGTATGTGTTAACCAATACACAGCTACAACTGTACCACAGAGCTCTAATATGAGCAATGTGGGCAATGGCAATCCTATCTCTAATTACAACCTTCCCCAGCTACAGGGGCTGAATGTGTGTATATACACATGGTTACAGTACACAAATCAAAATTAAGGATATATACATACATTTAAATTGGGTTTATCATGGTTTAGCATTAGTTGTCCAATTTACATTGCCATTTTGGGGTATATACACATATATGTATATATATATATATGTAAATATATTGTATATACACACAGTTTGTTCTACTTAGTTCCGAGTGCTTTTGACGAAGCAGGGGGTGTGCAAAGCAAACCGCGCTTTCACTTGAGAACCCCGTAGGCTTAGCAGAGTTGCCATGATCTACGTGGCTACACGAATAAGCCGCGCCAAACTGGAGTACTCTACTCTACCGGTAGATAGCCCATTCACTCTAAGGGTACGAGACACTATGATGTTGGGAGGGTGCACTGAAAATGAACAGTGATATTTGGATCTCTTAGTGCCCCTTTTTTTAAGGTCCATTACCAATATGTCAATGGTACAATTTCCACATGTGCATTGGTCAAATAATCTGGGCTGATTGAGTTCCCATGTTTGTTGGTCAAAATATCGTTGAATTGCCATGTTTGAGCGGTTTCATTGCTCTAAATTCCCCCTTCATATGGTCCCAAATTGGGTTGATTCCCTATTTTGGCACAAAACTATTCTTGGCTTTTCTTGGTTTATTGGTTCCATTCCCACTTTTATCATCTTTAACGGTAAACGACATCTCATATTTTTGACTTTCTTCCGACTTGGTATCCCATTCATTGTCCCCATCATATCCCCGTTACATCCCCATCATATATCCCCAGTATGTTTGGTGGTTACCCCATTTTCACAGGTGGAAGATGCATTGTCTGCGGCAGGACGAGGTGGGAATTGTTGGTACCCCCATAGCTAAGTTGGTAAACATAGGACTTATAACTAGGACTGTGGATATATCTATAGTTGTTGGGGTTAACCAATAAACACAACTCGGGGGCACCACTTTGTGTGTGCATATTATATATATATATATGATATACGGGGGTTGACTTAAGATGCAAGATCCCCAAGTGATCATGGGGTTCAATACTAAGTCATGGTCTACTGACTTGGATGATTTTGTGGTACCCCCATGGTTTGGACACCTCCATATTTATTTTTATCATGTGTACATGATTATATATATGTAATTACAATCTATGGCAGTAATCACACATATTTACATGTACTGATTAATTATAAGATTGCTTACACTTATACACATCATTTGTTTGTCATGTTCCAGAGTTGTTTTACTATTATGTTTTTTACATACAAGAATTTCTAGATGTACCGACGCTTCTATGTTTCTTCCTTGGAACTCATACGACACAGCCGAAGGATCAGGGGTAGGTCTGGTGGTCTGCAGTGAGGCAACATTGGGATTTAACAGGATTTAACAGGATTAAACATTTAAGTAATGGCATAACTGGATCAGTAATTAAGGCACCATGTGGGAAAACTGCTGGGAATACTTTTTTTTAATTGGCGTCCTCAAGCACATCCAGTTCATGTGTAATGTCCGTTGGCATTATATATTTGTTGTTTTTCCTTACTATAGCCACGTGTTTATGACTTGCAGGGAACATGGACTGCCCTTTCCTTTTATCTGATCTTATGCGCTTCCCTTTCCATCCTTTTTCCAGAAAAAACAGTGAGATCAATAATGATGATATTCATACTTTGTAGGCATTCTGGGTGAGGGATTTGTGCAAAGGGTTGTCCGAAAACAAAAAAAACTTAAAAAGCGGGTGGTGAGGCATTCTAACTGAATGGATTTTTGCCGTGGGTGTGCCGCAATCTAACTGAGGGGGAGAAATATTTGGAATTTGCGGCGGCATTCTAACTGTCACTTTAAGGCTATGATATGATATATATATATATACATATATTGATATGCCAGTATATTATTATATATTGTTTTTCAGTGTATTGTATCATATGATATTGTATTGTTTTTACACTATTTTTAATTCCATTATATTTTATTCTATTCTATTATATTATATGTTATATCATATAACATACGATCTGCATAATCAGTTGCATCAGTTACGGACAGGTTTTGTCGTGGACGACCGGGACGACCGGGACGCAACCAGGTCGCCGGATTGCTGGTGGTTTCATCAATAAAATTGGGAAAAATCATCAGTTTTATATGGATTCAATATGGATTGCATATGGATTTATAGTGTATATGGATTTTATATATTTGTTTAAAGGATTTATAATATTATATGGATTTAATCTGTTGTTTAAAATTGAGAGTATCAATTTGTTGGTGGTGTATTGTTTAAGCAGCTTTAATTGTTGTTCGGGAGAGTTGTTGTTTGTTTAAGCTTTCTGAAAAACAGATTCGTAGATTCGATGGCTTCCAGGCCTGTACGCTGAGTTGTATCCTGAGATGTGAACTGAGTTCGACATAGGAACTGCTTTGAATTGTGCTTACATTAAATTGATTTGTGTCAATCTTGAGATTCAACAGTGCAAGAATTAAAACGAACCCAAAGGCTACCAGCTTTTCCACACGACATGCAGATGCGCGGGATCACATCACCTATTGGGACCCAACACACAGATTCTAGTCATGCTCAATTCAAGTACAAACCATCCCAGTATTGCCTTACCCCATGACTTGACTGATAATTACCCACAATGGGGATGTTCAAGCTTGTCTATGCGGATAGTTTTTGAGTGGGTTATGGCATGTTAGAGCCACTTGTAACTGCGATATTTGGGGGATTTACCTCTCTTATGTATCTCCATTTTTGATATAGACCCTGCGTGAATGAAAGGGATGCTTCATAGGTGCTTAGAATGGAGCAGTGTTGGAAAATTGGCACTTAAGCAATCTTAAGCCGCCAAACTGCTTTCCGTCTATACGGGCTTTTACTATGGTTTCTGGACGTCTGTCCAGGAGTCCACGGTCGAATCATGTTCTATGGAACTCTGGGAATTCCCACAATCAAGCCATAAGAAACTGGAATTGCAACATTCTCCGGGTGCTGAAATTCCCAGTCATCAACTTTACAGATTTGTTTTCTGATGTCATTGGCTTCGTGAACTCGTTGAAGAAATCTGGCCAACCCCGGTGTCCAGTGGAGATCCCAGATCAATGGGCTCCATGGATCACTGATCGACTGGCTGCAGTGGTTGAGGGTCTAAACTGTGTACAATTTACCGCGAGTTTCCATTTCGAGAAATTATACCGTAAAATCATATTGAATTACGGTAAAATGTCGCGGGGAACGCTATATGGTAAAGAAATGCAACAAATGCAAGCAAAGTCATGTTTGTTGGGCTAAACTATGACTTGTGTACGAAAATATGGGTTTGTCTCAAGATAGGATACCCCAGTATCAGTTCGTTGGCTAATCACCATTTTCCGTATTAGAATGTCCATACATTGGGGTATATCAAGTTTTCAGACACTCCCAAATATCTAATTTTATCAAGTTGGCTAGTGATCTCCCATCAAATAATTATCATGAATATCCTACCAAATCAGAATTTTCCAGGTGACCCTCTGGTTATTTAGCATAGCCATGGAAAAGCACCATCTTTAATAGGTAAACCATCTATAAATGGGCCATTTTCCATGGCTATGTTAAATAACCAGAGGGTATGGTTTTTTACATGATCATACTAAGATGGATGTGGAAAAACCCATGGTTTCACCAGGAACTCTATTCACGCGTGGCCCCACAAGGCCGGGTTTACCGGTAAATCGACCACGCACTGCGGCTCCGGCACGGCGTCCTAGGGACGGTCGACCATGGAAATCTCAATATTTTCCAGCTGGTAAACATACAAAAAGCATAGAAATAGTTGAACTTACCCACAAAAAATGCTGGTTTTCGATACTTATGTAAACGTTTACCAGAGGGTACCAGCTGGTAATTGAACTTGAGTATGAAAAATGGTCCATGTTGTTCGATGATTGACCTATTAATCTGTTGAAACTTGTGATTTTCCGTCAGTCGTTATGTAACAAATTTCCAGAAGGGTAACCAACAAGAATGGTTGCACAATGGGGATATGGTTGGTGGGTTGGAACATGTTTTTCACAATATTGGGAATGATAATCCCAACTGGTTGGTGGTTTGGAACATTTTTTATTTTCCATAATATATGGGATAATCCTTCCCATTTACTAATATTTTTCAAGATGGTTAAAACCACCAACCAGCCAACTGACTTTCATATTTTTCAGAGGGGTAGGTATACCACCAACCAGGGATAGTTTTGGTGATACTGTCCCAAAGATCTGGATCATGGGTATCAACCAACCAATGGGGAATATAACTATAGGGGATAATGGGGGTATAGCCTATGAAAACTTATTCATTAAGCAGTAACAAATGGGATTTATTGTTGATGTATTTGGAAATTTGTTTCATTTACCTCACGTCACGACGTCCGGACGTAAATGATTGTGAATTCAATTCTTTACTATCCCAATATGGCCAAACAAGGTTTAAAAAAGTAAGGTTGGTGAATCATGATTCACCCAGAAAGATTCAATTTTACCACAGGATATATCAGGATATGATAATCATGGCCCTTCCTGGGTTCCATGTTGAAAGTTGCGGGGCAATTGGAGTTGGCTATGTGATAAATTGGGATTGGGATGAACCCAGGAAGTTGGGAGAATGCCCGGGCTTCCGCCCGGGCCCATTGGAATATCCATTCTTCAACCAGCAAAATGGAGGTCTCGAAGCAGCAACAATGGATAAATTAGAGGACCTCTAAATTAAACATATGTAGAAAAAATGTGGTTTCAGCCAGCCGTTTCTAGATAATGTTCTCAGGTTGTCCACATCTATGTAAACGTTTCCATGGATTGTTTACCCAACAGAGAGGGAATATGAAGCAACAAATACAAGGTGGTGCCCCCGGTCGATAGCTAAGTTGTTTTTTTTCAGAACTCTAATTTCACTAGGACTTGTGGCAGATATATCGAACATTATTTTCACTAGTTAATGGTGTGATAAACCTTAATTTGTAACTGATAATAAACTACATGGACATGTAGCAATATGTAGCATGCATCTATCATTCATCTATATCTATATTTTGATGCCAATGGTGCCAGGCATCGGTGCTGGGAAAATCCTGGTGTTTTTTGTTTTTTTTTATCCTGGGATTCTCACTGGGACACCATGACGACTCAGTCGGCTTTTCTTTCGATCGTTGTTTTGTGGTGGCTCAAGTCTTAGCTGGCAGCTGGTACCTCCCCAAACGGGGAGACGTTTCTGGGACTGCCAGCGCTACGAAAGATAAAATGAAATCATGGAATCATGGAAAATCGCTTTCCGATTGAATGATTTACCCTCTAGTTATGACTAACATAGCCATGGTATAGATGGCCCAGTTATAGATGGTTTACCGGTTTACCGAACTAAAAAATGGTGATTTTCCATGGCTATGTTATATAGTCATAACCAGATGGTAGATCATCTCCCTTGAACCAATCCATTGAATTGACACCGTCAAGACGCTTGGCCCAGTGGTGAGTTTCCGTCGTCTCGCGTTTTGGGTTCTGCCCCGGTCGCGGCCAAGCCGAACGAAAGCTCGGGGCTGTGCCTAGACTGAGTGCGTCAGCAAGAACCGGACATACAGATCCTTTGAACGAGGAAATTGAAAAACCTGAAAGCTTTGTTAGTGATTCGCTTCCATGGACATTTCCTGAAAGGTTGAGATGATCAGCTTCTCAAGATTTGCTACAGGATGATTTATTGTTTTTGAGTTTAGTGTATAACATAGTCTAACATAGTGTTTCTTACAAGCAGCCTACAGCATCAGACTTGTTACCATTTGAAGAGGTTCCCCGGTTCCCACTTCGAATGGAAGTTGACGCATAGGATGTTCAATCGATCTACCCTTTGGTTGCAGTTTGCTTTACAAGAAATGGTCTATTTAGTTCGATGATTTACGTATCACAAACAGGTGATTTATCATAGCTATGAAACAATTTGCAAGAGGGCAAGTAAATAAGTTGATGCATATTGATACAAACTATAGCCTACCAAGTGCATTGATACACAAGCTACACAGGGCCAGATGAATAAAAACTAGTTATATCTATTTATAATATATATATATATGTGATGAGATGTGATCAAAATATGTGCAAGTAAAACTGATGAAGGGATCTTCTAGTAAGTTCATGCAGAGATGTTTTCAGACCACATCAACCAGTATCACCAACAGGTTTACCAACATAGTCCAACCAATTGTGCAAAATTACCGACTCCTAAAGCACCAAACAAAATTGCGACGTACTCATTCTTCACGTGCCATGGGACAATGCTGTGGAACAGGCTGTGACCTGCGACCTGCTTCGATGGTGTTCTGACTGTTGACCATCTATCAAAAAAGACCGGTAAGAAAAAAACATGATACTACATGTAGCATAGATGATGGCTAATAGATGTTGCTATTTGCTAATATGATATGGGGCTTCTTTAAGGTTATTCCAGACCTCAGAGCAAATCTTTGGGCGTGTTTGATTGGTACAGTTGAAGCCCTTTACCTGCTATTACTATTAGTATTGTTATAAATAGGGTGATCATTCCATAATGGGGTGACTGTACTCTCATAGTGACCCCAAGTGCTTGCTTCAGGTGAATCGGTTATCACCATTTAATTTTAGTCCTATGCCGCTGGGAGTGGTTTTGGGAGGTCCTGATGTTGGCAGCTGTTGCTCACACAGCCGTGACATTTTGGGAAAAATACATATTATGAATATGTTCCTTATTATTCTTGTATTATCCTGCATCCGCTGCATCTATAATTATCTATATATATATATATACATAGAGAGACATACTAGACTATATACATAGCTTTCTAAATCCTAGTGGAATATACATATTATGTTATACTCGAACGTACCTGATATACTTTAAATAGTGCGTGTATACATATTATTGCTGTTCGAGCGACTGTGGCACTGGACAAATTCGGTTTATGATGATCAATCCCATGTGATGAGCGACTGCCGGCCCTGCCCGCCTGGCAGGGATCAAGAAACACAGAGGCAGTGTCAGTGACATCCACCCAGATGCTTGGTTGCTGGACATCATTTTCTAGTGTAGTTCAAGGATTTTCTTTTCCAGGTATCCTGCATGCAACAAGGCTTCTCCGCAAGTCTAGGGGTCTGTGAAACCAGTGCCATGGGACTTCTCTCTCAAGTCTGGAACAGTTTCAGGAATGATTTAAAACCAACATATCGAACCATTAATTAAGCCAAATTTGCCGTGCAGAGCTATGTATTACATATGTACATATATATATACATATATATATATGTATAATACACATGTACATTATCATAATATATCATTATATATATAAACATATTTACTATTGGCATTACAATGTTACACTATATCATTTGTATTTATACCATATTGTCATATGAATCACATGCACCTGTTGTTTTTTTCCTCGTTGAAGGAGGATTCTTAAACACACTGTAAGTTTCGAAGCTGCAGCCTGGGTCGACCTCAGGTCGCGAGAAACCCTGATGGTTAACAAAGGAAATCATCCCCACTTATTTCTGGTCAGTTTTTTTTTGCAGATGGATATGTATGTATATACTGTGTATATTTTTTTTTTTCCTACAAGCATAGCAACCAACAAAGGTTTTCCTGTAAGATCGGCCATGTAAAACGGCGCTTCTAGGAGACATGCCATCTGTGTAATGGTCAGCCGTCTCCGAGAATTGACATGCCCAAATTGGGTTGTCAATGGCCATTAGTTACTTAAAATATCTGAATATTCTATATATAATATTCCATAATATTCTATAGTTTGTTTCAGATATACAATTTTTATAGCAAATTTCGATCATTGCTCATCAAAGTTTGAGTACCCGAAACCCATGGGTTGCAATCCCTGGTGGTTGGAAGACGCCGTCAACTTAGTCGAGCGTCTCAATTCGACAATCGTTTAGTTTGGCCATGATAGGTCATGCATGGTCTGCACATGGTCCTCATCCGATGTATATACTGTATATAATTATATTTATATATACCTGGAAAGCCATAATCCCATTTTTTTTGGGTCAAACGGCCTTGACCGTTTTTTTTGGTCATTACGGCTTTGATCGTCTGGAGCCACTTGTGTGAGAGTTGCTACGGCTTTTTACGGCCTTTTTTCAACAAAATGTCGAAAAAATACTGTTTTGCCACGGGTAGGCTTGCGTGAGAGCTGCTACGGTTTTTTACGTTTTTTTTTCAACAAAATGTTGAAAAAATACGGTTTTGCTACGGGTAGGACTGCAATGTTCTTTGATTTGACAATTTTTTTGGTCATTACGGGTAAAAACAATATTTTACCAACAAAAATGTTCATTACGGCTTTTTCCCATAATGACCAGAAAGTTTTGTGTTTTTGGCTTTCCAGGTATATATATATATTTATCACACCAGTGGATAGATTTAACACCATCAGGGCATGTACATTCATTAGAATACTACGTTGTATTTCTATGTGTATACTCTTTGCATTTAAACATGTTGGGTTGGTCCCCCTGATGGCTACCTCCACGCCCAGGATGGTGCAAGGGCTCATCAACAGCTGTCCACCATGTGGGTCATCAAGGTGCGCAACGTCGATACCTGGCTCCGTTTTTGTCAGCTTTGAAGCAATGGGATTCATCAATAATCAAATAATAAATGATTGCTTTATGGTATTTTTAATTATGTCATTTATCCATAATCCCATGTTTAATCATTTATAATATCATAAATTATGGAATATCAATGGATAAATCCCATTATACATGATTTATGTCCACTATAAATGAACAAAACTAGGAAACAAACATGGGATTTATCCAACATCTTTTTGATGTTTTGGGAAAAGTCACTAAGGCTCAGCAACATAGATGGGGTAGAAGTGGCGTTTTTGCATGATTCAAATGATGTTTGTTCCCCCACGAAAGTATTGTCTTTGTAGGGGGATTTTTTCATCATCAGCCAGGACGACGAATGGAAACCTCAGTGTTCACCCTTGAGGCCACAAGTTGAACAAAACGCCAGAACAGTCCCACAACCAGAACGCCAGAAGGTGGACGATGAAAAAGGGGGCTAATCTCCGATTATCACAGTCCTGAGATGTCCTGGACATGTGAAAAATCTGGGGGCATTCTCCAGCTCCAACAAAAACTACTGACCAAAAACACTGGATGTGTTTGGTTTTCAAAAAACAAGTTTTGTAGGCCAAAAATTATACCCCCATTTTTGGGCTCACTTGGCTCCGGGTGCTTCACGTTTGGACCACAAGATGGGGTCTCACCTACATGTGTGCCTAGTGAAATTTGTATTTTTGCAAACCTCCATTTTGTGCTCATTAATGTTGAGCCATTGTGTCAATACATATTTTGTTGTGATATAAATCATTGAATCACCATTTGAAAGAAATATGCTTGTTTAGTCCCCATGTTGCCCACTGCATGTTGCGGAGGTCCATGATGTGATGCGAATGCGGGGTAGCCCTCCATGTGCCTTGGTGGTGGACCAACGATGCTTCAAGGGATCTGCATTTTGTGCTGCTAGGGTCAGTTGAGGATTAGGATGTGTAGAATGGTGTACACGTATATGTATATAATTATATGTATATACATGCATATGTATAGTCATCCTGGAGTACATAGAATCTGGAAGTGTCAAAAATCATGACAATCATGGGAGTATTTCTGAAGTACAATTTTCTATCTACTTAAGGAGGATTTTGTCTATATACATATGAATAATTATGACTTTTGAATATACGGATGCAGATATCTACAATGCCAATTTCCAGCAGATTGTGACATGAGCCCCTTCGCTCGGGATTACAGTTGACGGTTCTGAGATCGAGCATGGTGGGATCTAGTGGGATGTACAGTAGCATGTTATCCCAAGACAATATGATACTATTAATCAAAAACTGTAGATAATTATATAGGAGAAACTGGGCGCATAGTGACATAGTGAGCGTTGGGTGTATTTTTTGAGCCTAATGTGTTCTATCCCTGAAAATGGGATGATTCGCCAATTTTTACTGGAAAAAATGGGATGATTCGCACATTTTAACAATATGTTATCTTAAGGGATTGGCTTAAATGGGGAAATCTCCAGGAAAATTTGGGGAAAACCCTGTATTTTCCTGTAAATGTTCCCTTCAAGCAATCCAGGAAAAATGTTAGAAAGTGAAAAATCCAATGCAATGATCACCCTGAAAAAAAAACAGCTCTGGAATTCAGGCAGAGTACTGGTGAAGAAAAATGTGTATGTCGTCTTGTGTTCTGGACAAGCACAAATCATGGTTTTTGCATACATTTACGTTACTCTTTACATGGTACATAAATACATGATACGTGTGGTGACAGTGTGGTGTACCTACATACAAACATACATACATACATACGTACATACATACATACATACACACACAGACATACATACATGCATGCATACATACATACAAACAAACAAACAAACATACAAACATACAAACATACAAACATACATACATACATACATACATACATACATACATACATACATACATACAGTACATACAGTACATACAGTACATACAGTACATACAGTACATACAGTACATACAGTACATACAGTACATACAGTACATACAGTACATACAGTACATACAGTACCTACAGCACATACAGCACATACAGTACATACAGTACATACAGTACATACAGTACATAGTACATACAGTACATGCAGTACATGCAGTACATGCAGTACATACAGTACATACAGTACATACAGTACATACAGTACATACAGTACATACAGTACCTACAGTACCTACAGTACATACAGTACATACAGTACATACAGTACATACAGTACATACATACATACATACAGTACATACAGTACATACAGTACATACAGTACATACAGTACATACAGTACATCAGTACATCAGTACATACATACATACATACATACAGACAGACAGACAGACAGACAGACAGACAGACAGACAGACATACAGACATACAGACATACAGACATACAGACATACAGACAGACATTACTTTACATTACTTTACATTACTTTACATTACTTTACATTACTTTACATTACTTTACATTACTTTACATTACTTCACAGTACATTACATTACACCATTAAATAAAAAACATACATACCATACATACCATACATGCCATACATACCATACATACCATACATACCATACATCCATACATGCATGCATGCATACATACTTACCTTTCCCTACCTTTCCTTACGTTACCTTGCATTACATAGATACATATACACACATAGATACACACATAGGTGTAACTATAAACCAAACGTTTTGCATCATATGCCACTTCTACATGCATGCTTGCAACGTGTACATATCTTTATATCTATATAAGCATACCATAAAATGCAAGTTCCCGCATGGGGTCAAAAGCCTGGTAAATGAAACTTCATCCCCCAAAACATTGACTCATCCCCATTTCCGTCTTGAAATCTTGGAAAACGCTGTCAGGTCACGAAGATCTCCAAGCGGCCGGGAAATTAGTTCCTCACCATCCGTACCTCGACGATGACCCCCAGTTAAAGCATTGGGTCCATCCATGATGGAACCATGAAACATGGTGATTTGACCAACACAAATGTGGATTTATTTGTCACCAATAAAGAGTGGGAACATCACAATTTCGAAGATTGCGTTTATGAACGACATTGCCATGGGGATTTATATAAATGATTTCAACATATTTCAACATCGAACTTGGTGACTCAGGCAGCACTTAAATGGGTATGGATCAATACCTATACATACCATTTTTAGGGGGATGAACATCCATTTACCAGCTATTTTGGGGTTCACTAGGTACCAGGGTTTTGACCCATCCCCAAATTTGTAACTCCTTGGCTTCGCCTGCCGCGGCTTGGCGCCGCCCTGGGCCCCAGGTCCTTTCTGACGATTTTTGTGTCGCACCAATGGCTTGCCATCGATCACCCAGATGAATCAGGAGAACAGCTGGCCGTCCCTTGGCAAATTCCGACATGTTGGAGGATTATGGAGGAATATGATGGAATCTGTGTGTATATACAATGATATATATATATACATTTATTTATTATATATGTAATTACATATTTATTTTAGGTATAATTATATATAGAGGTACATATTTATATATAGGTATATATATATAGGTGTATATATATAGAGGTATATATATATTGTTTAAGGATAGTGTTCGCAGTGTTCTTCGGCATATCGATGTTATGTACATCTCCACATACTGTAGTTGTTCCCTCGCAGCATAGTGGGGGGGTCCAATAAACCTTTTTTGCAAATTTGCAAACACACTGTTTGTTTGTTTGTTTGTTTTTTTTTTTTGGTAGTTGTTTTTGTTCATCCTACTTGACAACAACCTCAAGTGGACACACCTTTGGGAATCAACAGCTGAAGCGGCCCAGCAAGGTGTTGCAGGATGCCTTAGCAAACATCATCGAGGGAGTTACCAAAGTGGTCTCCTGGCACGTTGGCATGGGAGGTGACAGAGTGAGGATACCCAAAGGGAAAGCCCAAACGGCTTTGCCAAAAAATAGGGGATATATGATATGATACATATATATATATGTATATATAGATACCCCAAAACTACTATTTCAATAGGGAAAAACATTTAGTGCAAAAGGTGACAAACCCACATTTTATCAAATCAAATGATTTTCTGATACTTACTACAATTATGACATATTATGACCATTTTCCCACCGAAAGTTCTCCCGTGATATTTCTCAAACCGATGGCCGCAATGGTACGCAATCTGAGTCCATTTACTGCTGGGATGATGGTGCTATAAGTCCACAGGTTTCATGAAACGGGACTAGTTTCAAGCAAATTTATATACCTCCTGAAGTCACCTAGGCAAAATTGGTGATAGAATGCTTCATACAACTAGTCAGATAGACTGGTGCTAGCTTCAAGCATCAGCGCATATCTTGCCGCCACCCGGCAATCTGTTGGCCAAGATCATTGCCTGACTAGGGACGGTAAGAGTATGGTACTCAGAGTAGCTACTCGTGGCACACCATGTTATATCTAAACATAACACAAGTTAGATACCCTTTGGCAAGTTGATATAGAGATGGTTAAAAAAAAAAAACACGCATAAATAAACACCATGTGTAGATGATTTTGCCAGGGACACCATGGTTCTCTCTATACGCATGGTCACATCTATATGAGTTGGATGGGGGGGGTAACCTTTCTTCGATAGTTGGAGATTTCAATAACCATAGTTACCATGGCATGGTTCCTTACCATGGTCCAAAAAACCCTCAGGAATTGGATTTGCAAGCGCAGTTCATTGGCCAGCACAAAACGCTCAGCGACCAAGAGCGGGAGGAAATCAAGGTGCTCAAACCGTGGTGATCCATCAAAGAAACCAGCAGAATGTGCTAAAACCCAATAAGAAACCATTACTCTCTAGTAAACTAACAGTTTGCTACGGAAAATGGCCCATAGAAATAGATGATTTACCTATTAACAATGATGATTTTCTATAGCTATGTTAGATTACCAGAGGGTACAGTCGTATTGGATGGAAACATCACCCCAAATGCGAACGGCTGTTCGCGCCGCTGTTCGCGCCCATTCTCTAACGTTGCTCCACGTGTTGGCCTTTCATGTTGAAGATGTTCAATACGGGATCAAATACCCCACCCCCGTCAAACTATTACAGTGATTGAAGACTTTCCATGAGGAATCAAATCCCCCTCTGTGTTAAACTGGTGCACTGATTGAAGACTTTCAACACATCCCCAACCCCCTTTAAACTATTGATTCAAGACTTTACGGGATCACATCCCCCATCCAGTTAAGCTGTTACACTGGTTGAAATATCAATAAGGGATCACATCCTGAGGGTGTATGGCGTGTGGGGAAAGTGATGTTGTACGGGAAATACCACGTGGCCATTGCGGGCAAACGGTATGTAAATCCTGCCGGGTTTGTTTACTAAGTGGGTTTGCCAGATTGTTTATATAGTATAATCATATATAATCATGAATACTTGCGATATCAACCACCACATACGGGGCTGGCATGACTCCAGGTTACTCCCTTCCCCTTGAAACCGAGGTTAAATAGTTTCATCAAAAATCGGCTGCACGATGGTGCCAAAAAAGTTGGTTTAATCATCCTGAAATGAGATAATATACATGATATATATCAATATACCTGGTATATACCTGGTATATGCCCTGGTATGCCGCCTATATCAAAATGACACCCTGACTTTAGTATGAAAACTTGTATCTGTAAATTGGGTCACATGATCGAGACATAGGATTCATTACAGAAAAACGACGGGGTCAATCAGTCCAGGAAGGCTACATCTGGATGGATTGGTTTTCCGTGCCACAGGACGGGTTTTGGATGGAGCATTGGAACAGCAGGGAAATACGTTCGCTTTTTGGGCATGCTTCGGAACGAAGAATCAGAACATTTCATGATTTATAATTTATTTCTTGGAATTCACATCCCCTGTGTGTAAACCTATTTGCAATTCAATAGATTAAGTATAGTTTGTTATATGCCAGGCTGGGTGACACCAGCAGATTCAGATGATCTTCCCATTTTTATTGCTTGATGTGACGCTTTTGGATGTTACACATCTACTTATTTTTTTTACACATAATCACACATACATGCGGTACATCTATGAATCTATGTACATCTAGTATCATCTAGTATAGATTTTGGTGGAACAAGTATTGTGTTGCCAAAAGTTCTGTTCTTGTTTGCCAACATACCTAGAGTATGCAAGTTTTTGTTGAAACATATTGTAGTTTGTATGTTGGATCCTGTTTCAATGGAAGGTCCGCCATGCCATGCTGTACTACAGAAAAAAGTAGCGTAGATTACCGTAATTAGGCGCACAGCAACCATGATCTCATCCACAGAACGAGCGTTTGTCATGCCTTAGTATGTCTCACGGATTTTTTTCCAGTTATATAAGTTATATCAACGAACTTTATCATGTCCCTAAGATCCAGGATGCAACATTCATGGAAGGTATTCAGAGGCGGCCCCGGCGTATGGCTCCGGCCGTGCCGCACAGGAAAGGAACTCGAAAGGAGCCACTCCATCAGTTGCTTTGGCCAGTTGAGCTGCAAATTCATCATGCTATACATACGACTAAGAAAGGGAATACCATGGGATTTCATGGTATCTTAATGTACTCTAACAATCTGTACATAGAAGAATCTGATATATAATTATATAACGTAATCATATGAATCCAACAATTCTCATTCCTGTTGGTTGTTTGGAAGATATTGACGTTCAACCATAAATGATGATCCATAATTGGCCATATTTGACCATTTTTTCCGAGGGGTGGTTCAACCATCAATCGGTTCTCGTCAATTCTCAAATAAACTTACCGCAATGATTGGGGGTAAATAACTTCTTTTTTGGACGAAGCCACATTGTTTGGGGCGTGAAGGGCTGCAACACATGCCGGACACACTCGGGATTACTATGGAGATGTTGCCAATCGAACAGAGGAAGTTTGTGTTCCTTGTGTTGTGGATTCATTTTACTGTATGTATGATTATGTATGTATATGTATTCACCTCTCAACATTGCAACATATTCGAGTGTATCAGTAACAGAACTATGGCCTCACCCTTGCAAGTGCTTTCCCGTGAAGTCAAGTGTCTGCCAATTCGATCACCACCAAGTCAACATATTATTTTCCATGTCATATATTTCTTTGCCGTTTTATCGGTTTCAAGTGTTTTGGCTAGGAAATACTGATACGCAGATGATAACGTAGTAGATAGCCAATGTCTTGACATGTGACCCATGACTGGGAATTCCATCTGATTGCATTCCCACAATGATGGTCCAAATACGAGTCAAAACAGGTTTACCCATTTGGACATGTCACTTAGTAAGGGGTAGCTATCCCAAAAAGTCGCTTCACACGTCAGGTTGGTGAAACACTACATTTTATCTACCCTCTGGTAATTTAACATAGCTATTGAAAATGGCCATTTATAGTGGATTTTCCCATGAAAAATGGTGATTTTCAATAGCTATGTTAGTTTACCACAGGGTACCCTAGAATCTAGAGCAAGTCCAACAAAAATGTGGAAAACCCCCTGGTTTTCCCGTGGGAAAATGATCGATTTTTTTCATGGCGAGGCCCCCGAACTAACGAAATCGCGAACGGTGTTTTTCCGCAGAGTTCACTTGGTGAAGGTTTGGCTTTGCAAGTTTACATGTAGGGAATATAACATATATAATGAACTAGTTAGCCTCTGGATCCCTCTGGTAAATTCACATAGACCCTCTTCAGAACAACACAATAATAAGCTCATCTTCCCCTGGTAGGGTCGAACTGTTACTTAACTGGGGCACTAAGGCAATGGGCGCCAGTCCATCGGCCATTTTCAGTCCAATGAATTTCCTTTCCGAGCCCCGGCGATGGCGAAACGCATCGAATGGCGTTGAAGACCTAGATTGTCTACATGTTTAATATCTTTATAATTATTTAGATATCTTTATAGACAAGTACAAGTATATAAGTATAATTATATATATAATTATATATATATATGTACAAGTATACAAGTATATAATATGTATATAATTAAATATACTAGATGTATAACTACATGTGTATAACATGCACAGCTATATATACATACATACATCAATCCTATTATATTAAACCCATTAGTATAGATTATATCATATATGTTTCATCATAAACAAGATTATATATATTCATATGATTAATATTTTATATCATTGAAACTATAATATCATATTAGTATTTTAATTACGATCATCATTAATATATCCGCGTTAAAATCTCAGCTACAGATTGAAGGACCCTGGCCTAAGAACCTAATGCTTTTTACATCATTTTATCAGCGAAACAGGGTTTTAAAAATGCACCCAGGGCCACCATTTTGTAGCAAAGTAGCTTTTTTAAGGCTGTGTGTGGGCTTATATGGTGAGGCCGTGAATCCATTTTGTAGCTGCTCTTGTTTGGATAACACATGATAACATAAAAAAACCCAAACCATTTTGTAGCAACTTGCTGTTTGACCCGGAAAACATTTTGTAGTTTTTTGGTTGGCAATCAAGAAGAAGAACATGTGGGAGCGGCCCTCATGTGGCTACAAAATGAAATCCCTCCACTGGATCTGTAGAAGGATGTAATAGCTACAAAATGACCTGCAACAAAGCAAGAAGTAACATGTTGGATGTTGAAGTTAGAAATAAAGCCATTGGGCATGACATTTTGTAGCAAACCTATGTTGATGCCCCTGGACCCTGGGTTGTAGTTGGGTGTTTTTGATGGTGGTTGTTCATTTTGTAGCAAACCAGGGTAAGGCCCGAGGTTTGTACTAATAAAATGAGGGGGCACGGGGGCTCCCCGGATATTTCAACCCGGATATTTATGTATGCATCGTGTTTGGCAGGCACTGGGTGTGCATTATCATTAGGGTGAGTATGTAAGCTGATGAATCCATTTTGGCTCAAGTCTGAGCCAAACTGGCTTCATCATTCTTTCTTTTGCTGGGGTACCCACGCCACTTCTAGGGAGTTACCCTAGGGTTTGTGGTTTTCTCGTTCCTCTACTAGGGAGTTACCCTAGAGTACGGAGGTTACGAGGTGGGAGGTCACCCCCCGATGCCCAGGGCCTCTGTTGTCGTCCGGCCCGGGTGGAATGAGGCTGCCCACACCGATGCGGAGCTTCTTCATGCTGCTGCCTACTACGAGTTCAAGACGCACGTGGAGAGCTTGCTCCAACGGGGCATGGTGGCCCAGGCCACCCGACTGTGGGCGTCTGTGTGCCAAATTGATCATTTCCCCCCACATCCAATTGGGTTGGGGGTGCAGGGACTTCCCCCTTTCAGACGGTCACCTTGTATGGACGAAAACTGTAGGAGGTGCACTGAGTATCAGGGAGGATTCAAGTTCCCTTGGATCGGCACATGGAACAGCTCAGCTGTCTTGGCTCTGCCCGGGAGTGACCCGCGGCGTGCGTGGCAATCCTACTATGATCGCCTGGGTGAGGCGAGGCTGGATCTGCTACTCATCGAGCCGCTGCGGACTGATTGGACGTCTCGGGACTTTGCGCCGGACAACATCTTTGGTTTGGTCGCCTTCATCGAGCACAATGCCGATAGCATGGTCGACCTCACCGAACTGTGGGACGTGTGGCGGACCTGGCAATCCCCACAGCGTCGATGGAGGGATCCATCGTTGGTGCCCATCCCGGCTGACCTGGTTGCGTGGAGAGCACCACGGGCCAGAGCAGTCCGGTCGTTATGGGGCTGGCTTGGTGCCATGGAGGCTGGGGAGGAACCCTTGCCACCTTGCAGGGCTTGTGGACTGCCGACACCTGAGCTCTGTGAGAGGTGCTTCTCCTCCGTGTGCAGTACCTGTCCACCCTCCCAGTGTCCAGGATGTCACCCCGTCTTGCGTCGAGACCCATCTGCAGCAGCTGCGGCCTAGTGATGTTTGTTTGTTGCCTGATGATACTGAGGTTTGGCCTGCAGTTTCAGGCCCAGCCCGTACGCTCCGGACCTTGGCGGCGGTGGTGTCAGGCGTCGCCATGGCGTACCACCCAGGCGCCTATGCGGTGCAAGCTGCTGGTGAAGCGCCGCCTTGTGCAGAGACGGCGATGGAGAGGGTGGCATCCACTCGTGTCGAACAGTGGCGAGCTCAATGGGGACTACATGATGAGACTGACTTTGCATATGCGTTTGCATCCTATGACAGCGCAGTGGCACATGGAGGACACCATGTGGCAGATGCGTGGTTGCAAGCGCGATCCAAGACTGTCGAAGCTGACCTCATCCCTCAAGCAGCTGCTGTGGCTGAGAGCTCGGGCTCCAGAGATCGGCCAACGACATGGCCTGCGCCCAAGGCATCCATGATGAAGAAGAGCAAGATGGTCCAAGCTCTTCGAGTTCGGCCAGGCCCAGACCAACCAGAGACGGTGCTGCTGCGAGCTGCGGCACTGAGGAAGGCCTTTTCCCAGGCCAAGGTCATGCGTCCTCAAGGGGAGTTGACCCCGGAGAGGTACGCTCAGTGGCAGGACGCTCTGGATACTTTGTCGAAGCGGAAGGTCACAGAGGCCGAAGGAGCGACGGTGGTGAATGCCCTGAAGTCTTGGGCTGAGTTGCGGGCCTACATGGAGCAGAAGGACCGCTTGTTCCCACCGGATGCATTGGACCTCTATGGCTTCTTGCAGAATGGCACGTCGGGGCCTTACCGAGCATTTCACTCCTTGAAGTGGTTCTCCAAACATGGCCGTTTGCAATGGGACTTCAGTGATGTACCAGTCCCAGCTCGTAAGAATCCACCCAAACAGGCAAACCCAGAGCAGGCTGTTGCAGTTGAGCCCCCAATGATTGCAGCGCTTGAAGAGAAGATTCAATCGTTGTACGAAGCAGGGGACCCGCGTTGGAGGGGCTTACTGTCTAGCTGGCTGGTTACTTTTGGTGTCCTGCGATACCAGCACATCATGCGTGCCAGGCCAGTTAAAGTGACCCCTAGCTCATTTCATGGCTACTGCACGAAGGGGAAGCAGAAGGCCAACAGGGGCGGGTTCTCCTTCAGCATTACTGCCACATTCGTCAACGGATGGGCTTGGGGCTCGGCCCTATTCAGGGACTACAGCAGTCTGGACAAGGCGAAGCAAGCAACCTCAGGGTTATGCTTTGATGCGGAGGGCACCGCATACACCTTGAAGTTCGTCAACGAGCTCAATCGTGAGGTCTTTGAGCACTTGATCCAGAATACAGAGGATTTGTCTTCCTATTCTTGGCGGCGAGCAGCACCTACAGTGGGCACTTTGATGAAGCTGACGCCTCTCGAGCTATGCTCATTGGGGGACTGGGCAGATCACTCCCAGATCCCAAAGGAGGCGACGATGCCTATGCACTACAGTGCAGCCAGGTATGAGTCTTCATTGAGGACCAAACACATTGTGCGGCTGGCTATGGAGAAGCTGCTTGCCCATGAGTCATGGGAGACTATCCCAACGGAGACCTACGCTGAGGCCCTGGAGTATGCGCGCCAGAATGTGGACAAGGTGCTGAAGCAGGAATCCAGGGTCATTTGGGCAGCCCCCTTGACGAAGGCTGAGATGCAGGCGCGCTTTCAGTTGTCGGAGGCGCTCAAACTCAAGGCCGCGGCCAAACGAGAAGAGGCACAATCCAAGGGTGGCCTGTCTGCGATGCCGGCATCTCTCAATGGGAAGGTGCTGAGCGCATTCATGAAGAATGGGGCACCCATTTGTGGAGCTTTTCAGACACGGTCTTGCCCCTTGGAGAAGGAAGTGTGCCCTGGTCGCCATGCATGCGCCATTCTGCGCAAAGCTGGACGAGTTTGCGGTGGAGGACATCCGGCATGTGAATGCCATGACAAGAAGTTCTGGAGGAGATGGCTGGCGAAGGGCCTGGTTCGGGATCTGCTAAGGCCAAGCCTACTAGCAAATCCACGGAGGAGCGACCTCCGGAGCCAGCTGCCCCTCCTAAGGCGTCAGTGAGGCGCCCACGGTCCCCACAAGGGCCGCCGTCTAAGGCACCGCCAGCGAAGAAGGCCAAAGCAGCCCCAGCTCCACCTCCGGCACCATTACCAGCTCTGGTGACCAGTTCGGAAGAAGAAGAAGTCGAAGTTGAGGAGGAGGACCTTCCGATTCCAGAGGCACTGGATACTCGAGGGCCCGACCAGAAGTTCGACAGGTTGGCGACAATCCACGGCAAGACAGCAGAGAGCCCGAGCCTTATTTATCAGAATCGGGCAGGGGGCAAGCTGTGGCTGAGTGGAATTCCAACCAGGAACACGGCACACCGCTTTCCGGAGGGAGTTACCCTTCAGATTGCGTGCATGGCCGAAGCCCCATCATAACACCTGTGTGTGGCCCATGGTGGTTCGAGGAACAGGGACTTCGAAGAAGTTTGGCCTCTGCTGCGCAATACGATGTATGCAGGTGAGTCGGCCTTGATCCATTGCCTATCAAGGCGCCACCGAGCAGGTGTTGGGGGCTGTGTCTTCCGGGCGCTGCTAGCCCAGGAAAGCTGGGATGTTGCAGTGGCCTATGTGAAGAGCTGCAGGCGCTCGTTGGACATTCCGGGGATCATCAATGAATCGGGTATGAGGTCGTGGGTTGACACGACTCTCAGGACCAGCTCCCTCAGGAACCCGTTCCCAGAGCCCTGCGGCTACATTGCGACACTGCGATCAAAGGTCCATCTGGAGCTCAACAATGGCCAGACCCTCTGCTCCCACAAGCAATCTGCTGAGCGTGCAATCCGCTTGGTGAAGCCAATGACGACGCAGGACATGAGGGAGGCTATGGCTTGGGGCCGCGCTTTTTGTGATGGTTGTTTGGTGCGAGCAGCAGCGAGCTGGCATCCACGCTGACCTTGTCAGGAGTGGCGCACCAGA